TATTTAGATGTTGAATGTAAAAATCTAATATTTTTGTAGGATAAAATATTGAATTTTGAAGAAAATTGGGGCGGGAGGTCCTCGCAGAATTTGGCCATTTTTATTGGCCTTACTTGTTTCAATTTCGTGATATTATATTAAGGTGGCTCTATGAAGTTTAAGGAAATATATGTTTGGACTTCAGAAAATTCACAAGTAACCTCTATTAATGATATGAAAGAGCTGTTCAACAAATGCCTCAGCATGACGTTGTACACACGTGAAAAAGTGGTTACCATGGCAACAGTAATAGAAGCTTTATCTTTACAAAACCTATGCAACATATAGGCCTACAACTGGCTTTTGATGTGCAATGCATTTTCTTTCATTTTTATTGCAGTTATATTTAAGTAGTGCAATCTGGTCATTAGTTTTAGTATTATTCATTGTACTCTCTTCTCATTGGCTAAGAACCTACAGGCTACAGATAATTCTAGGTTTGTGCTGGTGTTAAACTAATTACTTGACTAGGACCAGCCTGATTAGTGTATTTATATGCGAAAATGCTTATCATGGTAACAGCTAGAGGTTTAATTTTTTTAAGCGAAGTCTTGTGCAAAGCTACACAGTGGTATGACACTTATCAGGCGGTTGTCATGCTAATCAGGCAAACCCAGCTTTCATTAAAAATCCCCATGTCTGAACCTCTTTATTATGAAAACACATTCAGCATACTTTCTTATTTCTTGTTCATTAAAAAACATAGGTGTATGGGCCCTGAATTTGTGGAATTCTACTGGGCCAAACATCAATTAGCCTTTTAAGTGACAATGCACAGCCACCCAGATGCGCCCTACTTTATTATTTTACTCTGTCTAGTGCCAGATTATTTCACTCTGTCTAATGCCAGATGATTTTACTTGTCAGAGGGAGAGTGCTGTGCTGCCACTTAATGGGTTAAATCATGCATACATATAATAAGTTTGCAAAATATCACAATTTCTAAGATCTTTTCTTGCAGGCTATTGAAGAAAACAAGATGAAAATGAATATTTATTAAATCACAGATTGTTAATTTAATTAATTATGATACAATTCATTCTTGTGTGAATATTAGAAATACTGTTAATAGTCTATTGTCAGATAATCATATCTTCAAGGTTGTAATTGTAATATCATAGATACAGTAGCTATAAAAAATATCAGAGCTGTGAAAAACAAACTGAGAAAGAAGCGTTTTTTGTTTAGCTAATAGAGGGATGGATTTACTTGAGGGTTTTTTGGGTGGGAGGGGGGATATTTTGGGTTAAATCTGAGGCAATTAACCAACAAGAAAATAAAGTATTGGACCTTTATGACCATATAGGCAACTTTGTTTTGATGTGCTTGGCTCCTTGAGCCTGTACAGTGCCCTTAATAATGATGCATCCTGCCTCAGTTGATGGTCAGGCCCTGCTTTATGACCAGCCCTTGTTCAGTAACCCCTCCTACCAAATCAAATTACATCCATCCCTGGCATAATAAAAAATTGCAACTGTAGGAGTAAAGTTTGTTCATTCACTGCAACCAGGTATATTAATAATGTTTTGCTTGCTACTCTGGTTTAAATAAATGATTACAAAGCCCAGAGGAATACATGCATCTCATTGGCAGGTGACATCATCCCTCGGGTATTTGAAGCCATGATTGCAATTTTAGATCACCCCTGGCCTGATGGAAACCTAGACTGGAGTGTCGAAACGTTGGGTCTTGATTACAATTCGACTGGGCTTTTTAATCATTTATTTAAACCAGAGTAGCGAGCAAAATTCAATTTATTCAATTGTATACAGTATGGCAGCAGCTAGGTTGCATATGCATAATGGCTGTAAATGATTAAATTTAAGGTTACAGGACACCCTTTTTGGCGTTTTGCGGAAAATCGCAACTGCGCACTCAATATCAGTCCGATTTTCATCAAATTTTCACCAAATGTTCTCCAGTGCATGCAAAATATGGTAAAGTTGTAAAATTAACAAACAATAAAATAATGTAAGAATTTAAAAATGAAAATGAAAGCCCAGCAAATGACTTTCAGACAAGACATAACAAAATATAAAATTTATTGACTAACGTTTTGTTGTATTGTTAACAACATCTTCAGAGCAATTAAACTTATTTACAAGCGTGTATTATTTAACAAATATAAAACATTTTCCGTGTTGATATACAGTTATATCAACACGAGTGGAAATTGGGAAAACGAGAAATTGTGTGGAAACACGACGCCCGAAGGGCGGAGTGTTTTCATACAATTTTGAGTTTTCCCAACTTCCACGAGTGTTGATATAACTATATATCAATACGGAAAAAATGTTTTATATTTGTTTTATAATATAGCAATGTCAAAAGCCTGAAGAATAAGAAAAATTTCCGTGTTTACAAGCGGCGGAAAATTTCCCGTGTTGACATGGAGTTATATCAACACGGCTCTTAGCTAATCAGCGTTCAGAATTTACAAATGCTATATTATAAATATATATATACAAATAGTTTCAAACGGTTACAGTATTCAAATAAGCGAATAAAAGGAAGGATGAAAAACCACCTGTCATTAGTAAATTAAAGATATAATGGTTAGTAATAAGAGATCTAGCAAAGCATTAGAATGGGTATACATAAAGTGCGAGCCATGCCGATGTTGCGAGCCACCACAGATCGGTGCGAGCCACGCGATGTGTGCGAGCCATGTGCAATAAATAAATATAAGAAATTGGTCTTGACCAAATGGTACTGAGTACACCTTATCTCCAGGACACAATAAACAACTTGCGTGTTAGACTGATTTTTGATCTAGGTAAAAAAGTAACTTCCCGTAAAGAACTTGTTAAAACTGGTGAAAATGCAAAGTTTGGTTAGTGCGAAATGTTGTAGAATACGGAAGGTGTGGCCTTGCGGGGTTTGCATGCATGTTTTGTATATGTTACAATATTGTATTTGCCGAAAATGCTAATAATTTCCGCACATAATACAAACATTGCAGGGCTGTGTTTACCAGGGTTTGCAACATTTTGCGGCCGAATTTTGCGATTTTGCTAATTTCATTATGTTCTTTTTAGCTGTGGTATTTGATTCCCTACTCTTTCCTTGGGTTAAAATTTGGTCTAACATGCAGGTTGTCTATTAGATCTTAAAACACCAAGTTATAATTTGTAATTGAGTTATTTGAGTTATACAATTCCTGTAATTGAAATTGGGTTCTTGATTATATTTATATTTCGTTTCTGAATTTTCTCTATTATTTTACTAATATACAGTCTTACATTTCACTCGTTAACCATTTTAAATCATTTTAAATACGATTCGCATGGCTCGCACCTTGGCTGGCGTGGCTTGCACTCTGGCGCATGGCTCGCACCTTGGCTCGCTGGCTGCCTCTGGCTGGCACTCGCACTCTGGCACATGGCTTGCACCTTGGCTCGCATGGCTCGCACTCTGGCTCGCTAGAATAGGTCAAGAGGAGTTGACCTAATGTTGGCATTTAAAGTAGGATTAAGCTTGGATATGAAAAGGCTTTTGCGAATGAGCAAATCTGCTTCAGAACTAGCAGTGGAATGGATTTTAATCACCCTTGGATTTTAAAATCCTTTCCACTGCTAGTTCTGAAGCAGATTTGCTCATTCGCGAAAGCCTTTTCATATCCAAGCTTAATCCTACTTTAAAAGCCAACATTAGGTCAACTCCTCTTGAGCTATTCTAATGCTCTGCTAGATCTCTTATTACTAACCATTACATCTTTAATTTACTAATGACAGGTTGTTTTTCATCCTTCCTCTTCGCTTATTTGAATACTGTAAGCGTTTGAAACTATTTGTATATATATAATTATATATAATACACGCTTGTAAATAAGTTTAATTGCTCTGAAGATGTTGTGAACAATACAACAAAATGTTAGCCAATAAATTTCATATTTTGTTATGTCTTGTCTGAAAGTCATTCGCTGGGCTTTAATTTTCCTTTTTAAATTATGCTTTCCACCCGGTGTATCAATCGCTAATGTAAGAATTATTCAGGAAAATCTTAAATTGCGGTACCTTTACGCTTTTGAGTTGTGCTCCTGCTGGTTTTAAGTTATATTTATGAAAATATTTTTATACAGTAAAATAGTTGTTTTAAAAAATTGTGTTCGGAAATTTTTGTTTATTTCATCATTCTGCTGAGAAAGAAATCTTTGACGACTGCAATATATTTCTGAATTGTTTGAGTGAATTGCTTTTTATTTTTAAAATATCCAAAATTTAAAAAAAGCCAAACACAATTTTGAAACTGACGTATTTAGCTATGTCCTGTGAAAATTTGAGAAAAATTGGTTAAAACCCACAGGAGCACAACTCGTTTAAAAATCCGTAATTACTGCAAAATTTTTCGTGAAAAAATTGAATTTGAATATTACATTTTCAATGTTTTTCTTATTGCAGCGAAATGTATTTTATTAAATAACTCTGCGAGTTTTCAACATTTTTCATTCAAACTTGGTCAGATAGTCGAACTAGTCTAATGCTTTCATTGAAACCAATAAAAAATTTTTAGGCAAAATTAACACTGAACGTGTTCTGTAACCTTAAGTAAAGGGATTTATATTTGAAATTTGAAAATACTCATATCCTTCCTTGAAAATGGAAAATGCTTTCATTAAAGTTTTGCATCATCCAGTTTGCTGGCCATCATCCAGAAGACGAGACCAGTCACTTTCAAGTTTCAAATCAGTTTTAATATTTATTTAAAAAATACAGCAAATGGCAGTTTCAAATGCTTACTCCTGAGTGAGGGGGCGTTGGGGCCTATTAGAATCCGAAAAACCGAACAAAAACACAATAAAAACTGCAGTAAATTACGAACTAAACCGAAAACCAAAACTTATCAAACCTGAAACGTTTCACATCCCAATTTACACACCTTTTAAAACAGCAGTCGATTATTAAACCTGACCGTCCTTCCATGCCGCGATCTTGCTCCAAAGAGAAAGTTAGTGGATGTACCTAACTCATCTTGATGATGTCCTCGTCACTGCTTTCATCAAATTCGTCCTGGCCTTCGTCAGGGTTATTGCCGTCAATTGCATCCTCATTCGGTTCGATATCGTGCAAATCTTCATCTTCGTCCAATTCAAAATTTAAACTGACTTTCTGGCCAACTATGAGATGGCGTTGATGAACAAATTCTGGTAATGTTCCGTGTTTAGCCATTGTTGTCTCCTGGCGTACTGTCCTTTGTCGCACTGCTGCACCATATGCTGAGGCCCAGTTGTGTAAAAGCTCACAGTCATTTGAAGTAAGACTGACCACTGGTAGAGGTGTCATCAATGGTACATTTTGAAGGGAAACTGTTGTGTTCAGCTTTGGGTACCAAGACCTTCGACTGGTGTGGTAATATGCAGCCCAGTGAGCAGCACGTTTGACGCTCTCCTTCATTGTTCACTTGGCGTGGACGGTGGCGTGGCAATTCTCAATGTCTAGTGTCATACAGCTTAAAAGATTAAGACATTGGTAGTCGTACTCTGCGAGGATGCTTGCTAGTCTTAGTAGGCCCCATTCCATTAGCTGAATATAGTCAACTGTTTTTGCAGAGACATGACCTTGGGGACCATTCAGTGCACCAGTGATGTTACTTTCAGTACGTATTTCATATTCATACTCTTCAAGGGTAGTTTTGCAATGGCGGACTAACTCAATTGCTTCATTGGTTGTCTTTGTTTCATACAAAGCGGCCTTATTATGAATAGAGAAAGCTTCATAGAGTGCACCAATCGCCCTGAGGAACCTTGCACAATGATACATTCTGCTCAATAACTAGATGCTGTTTGTTTGCACATCACATACATACACTACGCTGTCAAACTCTGTTGCGATTCCCATTGGTTGCCTGAAACGACACGTGACTGGTCCATCCAAGGAACCTTCTTTACCTGCGAAAACCTCGACATCCCCAGTTGATTGCAACCTCCAAACAGAACAACTTTTCTGATTGGTGTAGAGCAAATCAGAGCCAAATTTAGCTAAAATGCAGGGGTCGTTTGGAGCACGAATGATGAGGGAATGCTGTTGTGTAGACAAATCTAATCTACTTATGCCACGCTGGTTAGACAAGAAGAGGGAGCTCCCATTGATACACATACTATGTACCTTTCCACAGTCTTCATCATACGACACGATAGCATGTTCTTCAATACAAACAAGCCTAACACCATCTCTCTGCAGGTTTAATTGTACAATCGTGCGTTGACCATCTACCGCACTCTTTGTTGCATACAAAAGCATGTTGTCCACGCACGCCATCGAATCAAATGATGGTTGGTTATTATTTTTTGGGAAAATAATGTCGTCTTTATCCGACGAAACACCTTCATGATTCCACTCAGTGTTCTTAAAGTGGTCTTCAATATGAGTTTTAATCGCTTGTACCGTGCCCAGGGAGTTAACTTTCAGCTGATCAGCAATCTCTATAAGCTCCACTTTCCTCTTTCCTTTTAAAATGATTCCAATGGAATTAGGTAAAACTTCTACAGCCTTGAGTGGGCCACTTTTGCATACAAGGAATGCAATCCCATGAGAACAATGGACTTCTTTTGCTCTTCCTTTTTTAAGCAAAACGATTTTGTCAATTGGACTGTGGAGTCGAGCCTTATACAGCGTGGATGTATTTGACTTAGCATCAAATGCCAAAAAGATAATCCAACCATAATTTGCAACAGCAACATGCAATTTTCTTGAGTAAACTTGTCCAGCTCTGGGATGATAGTGTGGCAGACGTATCCGATTTCGGTCAGTTCGTCACTCACCCGTTGGCTGCTTAATTGGAGAACAGCAGACAGGTCCTGTCGATCCTTGTTCCTCACATGATCGTTCTTCGGAATCAATTTTCGGAACGTTTCTTTCGTGCTATTATCTGATCGGTTTCACAGGGTTCTTAGTTGGGAGAGGTTGCATCTTTCATTCCCACATTTGAGCCACCAGTTTGAAAATGATGCTTTCATATTTTGCCTACATGTGGGCAGTCAGGCAAAATCGAAAGTAGGGACAAATATTGATCTATTTGCCGATTTTCAATTTTGTTCTTGATTATCTGAAACGCTGACTTGTCACCCTGTTCACAACCTGTTGACAAAACCAAGACAACCATACGTCTACAAATGAGTCCATTAGAGAGGCAATGATCACAGCATCTCAAGGACGGGATGTAGCTGATATGTCCCTTTGCCTTAAACAGGAACTATTTCCTATAATAACCTTAATAACATGTTTTTATTAATTATTTTTTATTGTCTTAATATTCATGTTTATCAGATATAGCGAAATGATGATTACTTTTCACAATCTGAATTATCGAGGTCAGAGTCGATTGGATCAACGCATTCCGTATGATGTGTCTGGTGCTTGGTCTTTTCATTTTCATTCTCTTCAGGGGCCGGTTGTATCAAGCCTGTTTAGCTTAAATGGTGGATAAGTCAAAATTAAATAACACTTTTATATCTTTTGTGAATCAGTCAACTTAAATATTCTGCACTGAATATGTAGTTGTAAACAATATCGTTCTATTAAGGTTCAAAACTTTTAGTTTGGCTGTTTAATGAATCTATAGACTTGCTTTCTATTTTGAGCTTAACCACCGTTTAAGCTAAACGGGCTTGATACAACCGGTCCCAGATGGCTCTGTGCATTCCTTGCGCTTTGTTCCAGTCAAATAACCGGTGATGGTTGATTGACCTCCATTTGTGTCGCATTGGGATTGATTCTGCTGTCGAGACTTGCATTTGGAGAAATGCTCTAATCATAAATAAATAAAAGTTTTCAATGTCTGTCCCCTTAAAGAACCTTAAAATATACAAGTGCATATCACAAAATTAGAATATTTATTGATTCTCATTATTTTCAGAGAGTGATGCATCCCAATTTTAGATAATAAGTAAATGTTCACTTATGCACTCAATATTTGGTTGTGGATAATTTAAGCTTGGTTTTACACTTGTTGACGTATTACTGCATCAATGCAGCGAGGCGATAAACTGGGGGCACTATTGACACTATTCCACCATTTTTCTTTATAATTATTCTAATTTTGTGAGATTGGAAACTGGAAAACCATTGGGAATCACAAAAATACTTACGTCGGTCAAAGTTAGACAGTCTTCCAGCATGACTACAGTCACAGCAAAGCAGAATGTTGTGTTGGTAAAACCCACATCTAATTTTCCATGGCCAGTAAACATTCTTACCGCAGATTTTTATGTAGGTGTGTTTGTCACACTTCACGATCACACTGCCATTTCTTAATGCAAGATCTGAAAGTTAAAGAGTACTTACTATACTTATTATGTCTATTATCCATTGTGTAAATTATAGACAGTTCATGTCTAAGTTATACAGGGAAATTCCTTTGAAAATATATATTTACAAGTCTTACAAGGCCACACTGTAAATTGTTGCCATAAACTTGAGATATTTTAGTAACAAAATTTTGGAATCAATAACCAAGAGCAATTATTTTAACTGCATAAATAGTCAAATAGACCTAAAGTAAACAGGTTCCCAAGTTTCCTCCTACTACTCTAAATTCTGATATGCATCGAAATAATGTGGTTCATATTTGAAGCTCAGCTTACCTTTCTTCAGGTTCTCTTTTTCCTTCTCTTGTAGGTGATACTTGTCCCCATTATTTTTCGCTTTTGTTTCATCTTTTCGTGGATCATTTGTTGAGGTCGTGGAGGAGCTTGAGTCAGCAGATGTTATTACAATTGTTGGACATTTTTTCCCAAATGATATCTTGATAGGGTACACAACAACTACAGTAAATAAAAAGAAACAACAATTTATTAGTGGACTTAATCATTCATCAAGTTAATATTTTACCCTGGGAATGTCCAGAATTGACATTTATACATCAAGGGAATCAGTAACGATATAAAATACAATTAAAGTTTCTACTTTGGACACTACAAAAAAATTAATAAAGATAATAACTATAAACAGTTTTACTCACTTTGCAGTCTGTCCCTTCCATAGACAATTTCTGGCAGTTCCAGTGCCAACTGCTGATCTGTTTCGATGGCTATGCGCTCTGTTCGTCCATTGGTTTTTGTTTCTCTGTAGATTAGATTGCAAAATGTATTCATGTTTTTATCGAAAATCATACACATATTTCCAAACATACACCCTCCATACACATTCATTGGTCTTTATTGAGCACTTTTTGTTTAAAATGTAAATTATTAAAAAACTAAATGGGAATAATACATAACACACCTGTTTATTTGGACTTCAATGCTTTCACCCAGTCCTAAACTCTTTGCAATTTCTCGGAGGCCAGCAAATTCACTGTGAAAAAACATCAATATATTTTAATGATATAAAGTCTATAAAGGCTAAAGTTACAATCAATAATTCTTTCTGGGATATCACATAACAACTGGACAATATAGTAATCCTATACAGTGTCCTAAACTATCACTATGAAATATTTGACAGCCAGACAGGGTAAATTAACAACAAGGGTCAACAAAGATTTTTGATGCTCAATTAACATAATTTGTATTGAAATTTACATCATATTCATATTGTCCATAATCATTAAAATATGCAAATGTTCATACGATTGATGTACTTACCAGACACATTTCTTGAGCTTCTTACTTTGCAGCGAAATTTTTTTTTCTTCTAAAATTCTCACCACCTTTTCCTTCTTTGTAAAAAAGGCAATACAATCCACGACAACTTCTTGTCCAAATTCTTCATTTGCTGAAATTTCTGTTGCAATATCGTTGGACGCCATATTTACAATATTCCGCACGGTCAACTACTTCATGTAAGGATAGTATTTTGTGTCCTTTATAGAGAAAAATTTCTAAAACCTACTCGGATGTAGGAAGAACCTGCAAAAACCGAAAAACTACACCCCATGCCAAATCCGAAAAACCGCTAGCATTTGGATGAAAACCAAAAACCGACCTGCTAAAACCGTAAAAACCGTAAACCGCAAAAGTTACCGAAACCGAAAAACTGCAGTCATTTGATGCAAACAAAAGAAGACAGGAAGGAAGGTATCATATTGCTGATTATGCTGAAAAATTTTAATAAAATAAACTAAAGCAGGAATTGCCCATTGCACTTGGGTCCCTTGGATTCAATGGTGCTGGCCATATTCTTACATTCACTGTTTTATCTTGTTCATGAAGAGTGAGGTATTATGCCTTAACGTAATTTTCCAAATGATGTTGGTAGTTTTTCTCATGAGCAGCACCGATGCACTTGAATGCTACAGCGTGGGCGATTTCTTCCTCATCACTTTCATCTTCTCACTTAAACGTCATTACTTGCTGCCCTGTCACCTCTTTCATCATCATATCCATCCTGAACAGGTTCAAGACCAGCCAACCACTCAAGTAAATCTCTTTCTACAAAATCATAACAAGAAAATTATTATTTGATACATTATCATCTCTAAAATTAGCAAACATGTAACCTCTAAAATTATTCTCACAACCATCCACAACTAGATACAAACAGGCATCATACTCAGCAAAAATTTATAATAAAACAATACATACAAATAACTGAATAACAATATAACTTCAGACTCATCTGAGAACCAATGTAACTATACTGTATGCATATTTATGTAAAAATCTATCCATACAAACAGGCATCATACTTCAGCAAAAATTTATTAAACAATTCGTTTAACTCAAAACATGTACATATGTATCACAGTGACACAGTACATATACACACACAATAGGGTCAAACTAGAGGCATTATAATATATTCATAAGGTATTCGGAAAACATTGGAAAATTGTCAAGGAGCGATGAGTGATGTCTTACTGTAATATGAATACGATAAAACATTAATAAATTTACATATATTTTTATGTGAAATTGAACAATCTTTCATGAACACAACATAGGTTGAGTATTGTAAGTGCAAGAGCTCTTGCAGTAGTAAGAGGAAAGAGAATGGTAGCCGAGGATGCCCTTGCAATGGTCGAAATGTTGTGTGCTCATCAAGTTGTTGATGTGGTACTCGAAATATACCTTGTACGAATAAAGTTAGTCTGTCAATCAGATGTTTTAATACGTTCATTTGGCTTACAGTTTGATTCATTAAAAAATCAAATAGTTTAGTAGACATTTTAATCTTTACAATTATGATTCAGGAACGAGGAGAAAACTCACAGGCCACAGCTCGAACTATGTCGCAAAGAAAGTCGCCTTTCTCATTCATCGGTTGATTTTGAAGAAACACAAAGAGAAAAGAAACACAAAGATGTAAAAGTATGTAGAGCACCAGAGGTCTGTTTGTTTCTATATTTAGTTTTCTAACTAAACTTTCCTGCATAAGACATAATTTGCTAATTAATTTGCTAACATACAAACAAGTCTTAAACCAAAAATGTACTGCAAGTACTCAACTAGTTTGTGCTGTTTGTGTGTGTATGTGGTGTCTAGGCAAAATGATACAGCATCGTCCCAGTTCAGGATAGCCTTATCCCTCCCATCCTTTGACATTAGGAAATGTAAGCCTCTATACAACCCTGAGCTCCAGCGGGCATCTGGATTTATTCGCACAGTAAATCCCTTTCTACTTCTCCGGCATGTAATTTTGGCAGCTCCTTTGTATCTAACAGCAGATAACTGTTGCTTGATGTACCACTGTTCACTTGTACCACTGTTCCATAACCAATACTCAACTAACCATGCTCAAGTATTCTTAGATTCGCTTATAAGTGACCTTCGGGGCAATCTTTGAATTGCCATCAAAAGTTAGTACACCTGTTTGCCGCCATGCATCAGCACCAACTTTGTGCGATTTAAGAAATTCTTCCATTTCTTCACTAATGTTTGGGATTTAGTAATAATCTTAGATACTGCATTTGGCACTTTTCGTTTCAAAAAACAATTCTTGGCCTTTTTATGTCAAAGAATCGCTTCTTTCGTCTTCTTGCAAGTTTTTGTTGCTTCCCTATCTTGTTAATACTGTCTTCTGACACACAGTCATCTGGATTGTCTGATTCTGAGTCTGTCACATCTAGTAATTCATCACAGTATTCTTGCTTAGACTGACCTATACATACTGTATATCTGTTCCATCCTCCGCCATTTTATTTTCTTCATTATCAGAGATCCAGACACATTGGCATCATCAGAACTCTCATCAGAGTCGCATGATTTATCACTTGACAGAGTAATTGGTATTTGCAACAATTTTCTAACTGCTTGTTCACTCTTATATGTGAGATGTGGGGAACAAGCTTTGTAGGTACTTGAAAGTTCAACAATATCTCTATCTTGAACTTGTTTAGCAATATCAACCTGACCAATCTTTACATTCAATACTGTCCAACTTATGAAAAATTGAACAATAACAAGGCCTAACAGTAACAAAATCATCCAGGCTAAAATCTGCTGGTAAAGGCGAAATATATAAACCACTTCCTATTTTGTATTTGTCACCTCCTATGGACTTGAATTGCATATATCTGTATAATTACATATTAAATTGCCTATTCTCATTCATCACCATTAAAAGTGAAACTGTCTGTCGATGACTTTGATGCTTGCTCGTCTTGTGCGTTATTAGTATTTTTTGGCACGTTGGATCCTGAAGTGTTGGGTACTGGAAAAGCTTCATTAGCCTTGAGGAAATCCTTGATGCTATTTGTTGAATCAGATTTACTAGAACAAGGAGCACTCTTGTACTTTTCTTTGACTTTGTAGTACAATTGAGATTTTATATCCTTTTTGATCTTGGATATGACCACATCAACATGAACAATATCGCATAAATAAACACTATTAATGACTGAGCACAATATGTTTTGAATCTATGTTTTGATTCGTATGTAAAAATCATTTTGATGTTTTTTTTTGTGATATAAATAATGAGAGAACAACTTTGTTCATAAACTAAATTTTAATAAAGCATTAATACACCACTGCACTATATTAGATAATGGGACAATTGCAAATTATAACAACATTTGTTGTAGGAAATTGGGGATTGCATGTTGCACCACATTATAATAAAGCTGATTGCATAGAGCATCTTCAACCTTCGGTTTTGACTCTTTTTATGAAACTCTGCAAAGCTTGGTTGCGAAATGTTGTAAAATGCGGAAAATATAGCCTTGCAAAGTTCGCAAATTTTGTATCGTTTTGTATTGTGTGCAGGAAATTGCTACCACATTTGGGCCGAAAATGTAGCAATTTCCGCAAGCAATACAAAAGTGTACAAAATTTGCAAACTTTGCAAGGCATATAGATGGGAATCATAAGCTTGTGAGATGGAGGCTAGTAGTACATCATGGCATTGACGGGTTTAGTAGATTGGTGGTGTTCGCTCAATGTTCATCAAACAATCGAGCAGAAACTGTTCATTCCATCTTTTTGAAAGCTATTCCAATATATGGGTCGACCACTTAAGATCCGAGCAGACCTTGGAGGTGAAAATGTTGATATCTGGAGAGATATGGCTGCTAGTCATAGTGAAGAAAACAGGCCTGTACTTGTTGGAAAGTCTGGTACACAATCAGCATATAGAGAGACATAACCGAGACCTTAATGAACAACTTCTGTCTGTATTTAAAGGAGAATTCTACCGACTAGAGAGTGAGGGTGTTCTGGATGTAAATAACAATACAGACATCTTCTGCCTCCATTGTATTTACCTGCCACAGATTAACAAAGCTCTTAATGAGTTTGTTGCTGCACTTAACAACCACAGAATTTCAACTGAGAACAATCGAACGCCAGAGCAATTATTCTGGTGCAACATCAGGATGGCAGATCATTACAATGGAACTTTCCCAAATCATGCTAACCACCCGAGCATGGAAGATTTGTATTTCAGAACCATCCTCAGAGATACGAAAAACTAGTTTCATATTAATCTGACACTGCAATCGACCAACAAAAAATTTGTTGGCTCAAGCGGGTATCTGGACCGCCGCTCTACCTATTGAGCTATCGAGTCAACAGGGATTGGTAGCAAGTCTTATCCAATTTAAGTGCACAAAATATTTTCGTGACGATTTAACGCTTGTCTTAGGGGATGCACAGTGTTTCAATTCTATTTCAGAACCATCCTCAGAGATATGAAAAACTAGTTTAATATTAATCTGACACTTCAATCAACCAACGGAAAATTTGTTCGGGTATCTAGACCGCTGCTCTACCTATTGAGCTATCGAGTCAACAGGGATTGGTAGAGCGAGTCTTATCCAATTTAAGTGCACGAAATATTTTCGTGACGATTTAACGCTTGTCTTAGGGGATGCACAGTGTTTCAATTCTATTTCAGAACCATCCTCAGAGATATGAAAAACTAGTTTAATATTAATCTGACACTTCAATCAACCAACGGAAAATTTGGAAAACTAGTTTCATATTAATCTGACACTGCAATCGAGCAACGAAAAATTCGTTGGCTTGAGCGGGATTTGAACTCGCATCTTCGGGTATCTAGACCGCCGCTCTACCTATTGAGCTATCGAGTCAACAGGGATTGGTAGCGAGTCTTATCCAATTTAAGTGCACGAAATATTTTCGTGACGATTTAACGCTTGTCTTAGGGGATGCACAGTGTTTCAATTCTATTTCAGAACCATCCTCAGAGATACGAAAAACTAGTTTAATATTAATCTGACACTGCAATCAACCAACGGAAAATTTGTTTCGGGTATCTAGACCGCCGCTTCTACCTATTGAGCTATCGCGTCAACAGGGATTGGTAGCAAGTCTTATCCAATTTAAGTGCACGAAATATTTTTGTGAACACTTGTCTTAGAGGATGCGCAGTGTTTCAATTTCAATCAGTAAAACAATGTATTCTTGTATTTTAATATAAAATGTTTCCATAGTGTTCACCCTAACTGCAGAGTCAGAATCAAATGATAGTGAATGAAGTGGAAGTCAAGTTTGCAAGCACCCTGTCACTCAGGCAGACACTCTGAATTTCGTCCCTAACATATCGTAGTTTGTTCGTGCTTAGAACACTATTGACACCTATTTTTTCTCGAATTTGAAACAACTCTTACTGTCTTACAGCAACTTGTGACTACCAACTTGAGATGACTTGTACTATCGTCTGATTCAGATTTCAGTATTTATAGTCATTTTATATTTTCTTGAAATGTGCTAGCCAGCATATCGTTGAAAACTTATCTATATCTACTTATGGCAATCCAAATGTAGGTGAGTTTAAAATGGCATCATCTATCAGCTCTTTGAATATGTCAAATTGCACTTCTTTGTTTTTGTGCAATGGACGAAACTGTATGTTGCTGTAAGTATTGCTTTTTCGGCGAACATTATCCCAAAGAGGATGGTGGGTTTTGGTTGGAATCCCAACAGGGGGAACCTTGTCAGCACCAGTCGCAAAAATAAGAACAGATGCCAAGTTAACTGGAGATTCATCGCATTCTACAAAGTAGTTAAGGGTATATGCAAATATTAAATATTTCAATATTCTAAATAATGCACACTTCTGCCTTCTGGTTCTGAACTCAGCAAGATGTGCCCGCAACTGGCCAAAGTACATTTATCATTAATACACCCTGGCAAAATATAACCCGAAGTGATGGTATTTCTCGAGGGTCTTTGCCCAAGGGAAATATCATCCCTGAGTACCCACTAAGTTCAGAATAAACTTTAAAACTTGCTGAATATTAACTAAGTGAATACAATTTTTAATTTCTTATTTATACCAGAGTTTTTCGTGTTTTCTATTCAAAACGTTTTAGCATGTATCCTTTGGATCATTGAAGGTAACTTACCTCTTCAAAATCTTTAGTTAAATTAATATTTGTTCTGTACAAAATTACAAACAGCTCACCACATGTCACATGTAAGATACTACAATATTTCACGATACAGTAGAACTACCTTGAGATATGATGTCTCACGCTGCATTGCAAAATCATAAATTTTGGTGAAATACCATAAAAAGTCACATTGGCACATGGTACAAATGCTGTTTTATGATTGGACAATTTGAATTTGAGGTATAATATTTCTTCTAGTTTTGCCAATTTTTTTATTGCATACATTTTAATTGAAAAGACGAAAGGCATGGAGATCATTAACATATGTTTTATATGACATTACCTTCATGCTCTTGCAAATAGTCTCGCCAGTGCATTATTATCAATTCTTCTCTTTCCCGTACTTTACATCCTTTGCCCGAATAAACCGGCTTGAAAATCTAATCAACAAGAGTGGCTGTTAATGTTGTTGCAATGTAACAAAAATATGGTCAAAAGATATGAGGAAATTTTTTCCATTAGTTCCAGTATCTCCAGAGTGTGTAATCCTTCCATGAAATTTTTAAGCGCACGTCTTGCCTTATCAATGATGAAAAATTGGCAAAGTTCTTTACAAAGTTTGTCCTTTCTTTCGAATTTCAGAACTCTGTAATAGCCAGCTTGTCCGGGAATCCTGCTTGATTGTATATTATTTGATGGGCTAAAACTGTAGTATTCAGTGGCGTAGCCAGCTCAATAACTGGGGGGGGGGCATCTTCATATATTCGTGTTCTGCATTAATTTCTTTTGAAATTGATTGTTTTTAAGGTCTGTGAATACAAGTATATGAATATGGTCCCACTTATCGAGCTAGCTACGCCACTGGTAGTATTTTAATATTATACCTCATAATAGACACTTGCCGAATTTGTTTCCTGGCAATGGAAATAGCTGAGCTTACATTACATTACATTACCTACTTCGATTTCAAACTATTGCCTTGTGTTTAAGTCTATAAGCTTGACCATAAGAATTAGGTTTGTACCACTTCAAAATGGTATTTTTACAGTGAAAATGCAAAAAGTGTCCTGTTTCCGCTTTTGTAGTTTGTTGTGATTTACTGTAATATTTTTTTCTGGAGCGATTACAAACTTATTGACAAATACTGCATTAAAACTTAGTTTTCTCTATTTTTAAATATGGTAATTTGTAGAAAAGGTAATAATACATTTTTCATTAGTTTCATTGCGTAAGAGGTACAACATTTGACAACTTGTGTTCATATTGAGAATACCACCCACATTGGGCTGTATAATTATGCGTATCTATGGATATGGAATACAAGAACTTGAGACCTATAAGTAATCTGCAATTTGTTTCCAAATTCACCGAGAGAGCAGTGTCTGATCAAATCTATAACCATATTGTGGCTAATAATGTGTTTCCCCCACTACAGTCTGCTTACAGGAAACACCATAGCACAGAAACGGCGCTCCTTAAAGTTATAAACGATATCCACGTTAACATGAACAATCAACAGGTAACGTTATTAGTATTTCTGCATTTGAGCTCTACGTTTGATACTGTTGACCATGATATTTTGATTAATCGTATACAAACAAGTTTTGGAATAACAGACACTGCTTTACTTCTGTTAAAATCATATCTATCTGGCCGCTCTATACGTGTCATTATTGACGAAAGTACATCGGAAAGCCTGAACATGCCTTACGGGGTTCCACAGGGATCATGTCTGGGCCCATTATTGTTTACCGTTTATGCTAGCAAACTCTTTGAAGTGGTAAAACATCACCTACCAAATGCTCATGCGTATGCTGATGCTACCAAGCTTTATCTAGCGTTCAAACCTGAAACCACACAATGTCAAGAAGACGCGATGGAAGCTATGGAGAAATGTATCAAAGCCGTAAGAGCATGGATGGTAATTGATAAATTGAAGCTGAATGAAGGAAAAACAGAATTCATGATTATTGGGGCTCGTCAACAGCTGAAGAAAGTCACAGTTGACCAGTTATTGGTTGGTGACATACGTGTTACTCCTGTTAGCAATGTGAAAGACCTTGGAGTATGGTTGGATTCTCATCTCAAGTTTGATGTACATATTACTAAAACGTGCAGCACCGCTTATTATTTTCTTCATAACATCAGAAGAATAAGGAAATACTGCTCAAATCTTGGTGCATGCTCTGGTGATTGGACGGATTGATTATTGCAATTCTTTGTTCTATGGTCTTCCAAAAACTCGACCAAGAAATTGCAAAGAGTACAGAACATGGCCGCTAGACTTATTACTAATTCTCCATGCTATTGTCATATCACTCCTATTCTGTATCGACTCCACTGGCTGCCAATAGAATATCGAATTAAATTTAAAATAATGCTGATAACATTTAAGGCTATCCATGACTTGGCACCAGACTATATTAAGGATCTTATTAACGTGAAAAACTTGTCCGCCCATAACCTTAGATCAGACTGTCGTTTCCTACTAGCTCCGCCAACATTCAACTCAAAGAAGACAACTGGAGATAGAACTTTTGTTGTGGCAGCACCAACCTTATGGAACGAACTTCCATCTGATATCACAAGGGAAAATAACATTAACACTTTTAAGAAACGACTTAAAACGCATTTGTTTAGAGAAGCATACGCTAATTCTTAAATTGTCTTTTTCTTGTTTACATTTTTAATTAATTCTTAAATTGTCTTTTTCTTGTTTACATTTTTAATATTTACATTTTTAATATTTACATTTTTAATATTTTAGTATATTCCATATTTATACATTATAGTGTACATTTGTTATATTTTGGAAATTTGTAAAGCGCATTAGATCATATAAGTATATTCCATATTTATACATTATAGTGTACATTTGTTATATTTTGGAAATTTGTAAAGCGCATTAGATCATATATCAATGTTATTTTGCGCTATATAAATATTAAAATTATAATTATTATATCTGATACACTATCGCATTAAAATATATATGCACTGCGATGAACTTCCAGCATTTAATTTGTAAATTTTGCGCTGGCTATATTCTATAAGATTTTCTTAAAATTTCATATATTGTATAACATATGCTCTTTCAAATGGTTACTTACACGTAAGTGGTGCAAGCCTGAAAATGAACGAAAATCCCACTCAAACATGGTACTGCACGCCTCATATATTATAAGCCAATTAATATATGCATGTGAGCTTTGAAGAACTGTGTGTTTAATTGTAAAAATCTTGCCGGCTATTTTATAGGATTTTCTTAAAATTTCATATATTGTATAAATTATATGCTCTTTCAAATGGTTACAAACACGTAAGTGGTGCAAGCCTTGAAATGAACGAAAATTTCACTCAAATTTGGCTGTATAATTACACGCGCATTTGATACACTAAGCAATTATATATGCGTTGCGAGGAACTTCCTGCATTTAATTTGTAGATTTTGCGCCCACTATTCTATAGGATTTTCTTAAAATTTCATATATAGTATAAAATTATATGCTCTTTCAAATGGTTACTTACACCTAAGTGGTGCAAACCTGAAAATGAATGAAAATCCCACTCAAACATGGTACTGCACGACTCGTATATTATAAGCCAATTATATATGAGCTTTCAACAAGTGTCTTTTTAATTGTAAAACTCTTGCCCGCTATTCTATAGGATTTTCTTAAAATTTCATATATTGTATAAAATTATATGCTCTTTCAAATGGTTACTTACACGTAAGTGGTGCAAGCCTGAAAATGAACGAAAATACCACTCACATTGAACTGTATAATTATGCGCATCTATTGAACTAAAAATAACTGGAACGATACCTCCAACCAGAAATGTGAAGGCATGCCCACTGTTGTCATACCCAGTCTTTTCATGCAACAGAAAAGCACGGGTTTTTTTAATTTCCAAAAACGGGGTCAAAATGCACTAAAACATCATTCAAGACGACGTAAAATTCACCTACCAGCACCATTTTCTTATGATAAAAACATCCTTCAAAACTTTAGAGTAAAATATTTTTAATTTATTTGTGTAAAAGTCATAATTAAATTTTCTGTTTTGAGTAAAGTGTTGAGCGAGGAGTGGAACTTGCTGCAGAGCCTGAAATAATGGCCGGCGGTTTTCCGACCAAATTCCGATTTTTCCGACCAAATGCTGAAATGATCGGAAATTTTGTCTGGCCAAATTTTGAGAGAAAAGAAAAATGTTTTCTTAATGATCGGGTCGGCGCTCAGCACAGTGAGTACCATCTGTAAGTTTGGATTATCTGTATTAGGCTAATATAAAGTAATCAACTGGAAAGCATAGTTCACAGGCTCAATAAACAAGCTTACAGCGTGGTGTTGTCGTGAAAATGTGAGGCGAGTTAAGATTAGTTTGCAATTTAAATCACTCGTCAATCAATTTAAAACACACGTGGGCTCACGACCATTTTGAAACTTTTCGCTACAGTTACAATTACCTTACACATATCATGCATTAACAATTGCCCGAAATAATTCACAATTGAATTTAACTCCTTCGTTTTTCAAAGACAGTGTTTTAAAAAATAAATATGCTAAAAAGTAAGATATTCTGGCATTTCCATCCTTGTACTTTGTCTAAGTTGTTTGAAATTGATCCCTTCTTTTTTTGTGTTTGAGCTGCAGAACTACTAAAAGTGGCCGTTATCCTTGATTATTATTGGCAACTGCCAAGAAAATACTATATGCTATGATGTCGAACCGTGTCAACGACGCAAATGAAGGGACAATATGTTCAAAGAAAAGTAGGGTGAAACCTGAGACGTTTTCATGGTTGGACTACTCCACAGAGAAGGAAAAAGGCATAAATGTTGTTACACAGTTGAAGTGTAAAATTTGTAAGAAATACAGGGAGTGAATAACAGGCTGCAGAAATTTTAGCGATAAATGGGTAGTAGGAGCTAGCAGTGTTAGAGAGCCTGCTACGTCAGACCAGCATGTCCATGCCATGAATCTGCAAAATTAAGAATTCGCCCGATCTGAAGGAAAGTCCCTTGTTCCTAGAGAAGCCCCGATTATACAAGCTCTGGAAAACCTTTCAAATGAAGAGCAGGAGAGAATGAAGATAAAATTTGACGTGGCATATCTCGTGGCAACAGAGCAAATGGCTTTCTCAAAGTACCCCAGTATCTGTGCTCTAGAGAAACGACATGGTGTAGATATAGGACAGTCTTACCTGAATGCTAACGCCTGCAAAGAGTTTGTTCACTGTATTCTGATATTGTGAATGAGGACTTGATATCTGCAGTAGCACAAGCAAAGTTCTTCTCTCTGTTAATTGATGGCTCAACAGACAAGAGCAACGCAAACAATGAGGCTACCCTTGTTCTATGGTTTGATCCGGAAGGTGAAAATGAAAAGGTTTGTACCAAGATTGGATATTTGACTGTTTATCGACCACACCATGTAACTGCTGAAGGGCTTTTAGAAACTGTGAATAACAGTCTTCGTTTTCTTCAAGTTGAAACACTGGATGGTGACAATGTTGATGATGAAGCATTAGATCCAGGAGTGGTAGCCTGCGAACCGTTCATTATTTATACCCTAAGGTGGGGTTGGGAAATCGATGACTAATGAATTTGAATATCTGCCCCGTAACGTTCGTTTTTCCAAATATGGAATGTCTATCCTTATATGGTGTTGTTTACAACTTTCGTGCAAACTAAATTTAGACCGTGCAAACTAAATTTAGACCGTGCAAACTTTATACTGTTTTTCGAAATATAAGATATTCAAGCAAAAGTTCCAATGTTTTAAATACTGTTTTCTCAAAACAGAACATTTCGTGCATTGAGATAAGACGGCCAAGACCAATTTGATCAGTTAATGTGTTTTTATGCATAGTTTCAGCAGTTGACATATATAGAGCTCAGCGGAAACATATAAATTATAGCATCTGACCAATGAGAATTTCGCGTCACGATTTGAGACGCAGATATTCAAGTTCATTAGTCATCGATGCAGGCTCTCAATTCAGCTTGAGAGCCTGTTCGCAGGCTACAGGAGTGGTCTCTCGTGTAACCAACACAAATAGCAACAGAAAGTTGGTAGGCATAGGCACAGATGGTGCTTCCAGCAATGTAGCAGCTCGAGGATTGAAGGGGTTGGTAGAACAGAAGCTACCATAGATTTTTTGGATGTGGTGCTTGGCACACCGGCTTGAACTGGCAATTAAAGACGCGCTCCGGGGAACCTTCTTTGACAGCATTGACGAAATGCTTTTGCGCCTTTACCATGTGTATGAGAAATCACCAAAGAAGTGTATAGAACTTGAATCCCTCTGTGCTGACCTAAAAGAATGCTTAGAATTTGATGAAGATGGAATAAGGCCAGTGAGAGCAAGTGGAACACGATGGGTGAGCCATAAGGTAAAAGCAATATGAAGAGAGTATTGTGAAAGTATGGTGCATATATAGCTCATCTTACATCCCTTTCAGAAGATAAATCTGTGAAAGCAGCTGAACACGCCAAGCTATAAAGGGATACCTCAATGCCAAGTACATCCTTGGGTGTGCAGGATTTGTTGATCTGCTAACCCCATGTGCCACGTTCTCCAGGTCAATGCAAAGTAATGACCTGGACATTCTGGCAGCTATCAGCCATATTATCAAGACCCTGAATGAAACAAACAAGCTCACTTCCAAGCCCCTGGAGCAATGGAAAACCTATTCTGATACACTAAAGAAGGTACAACAAGACGAGAAAGGCCAGTCAGAGTACCAGGTAAAAAATTCATGTCTTCAAATTTATAAATTTGTATTATTTACTTTATATGATTGAATAAAGTTATAATGTAGTAGTTTGCTCTAATTGCCTTGCGTATTTTTCTTATTTCTAGACACAGATTCTCCCGAATCTGGAAGGAGCCAAGACGTTCTTGCTCCAGAATTCCAGAGCTTATGGCAATGCTGTGACAACTTGCATCAAGTCCAGGTTATCGTGGTCAGACTTGCAGCATCTGCGAGATGTCATCCTTGTGTTGGCAACTGTTGGGTGGGAGAAAGTAATGGATAAGCTGGACGCTCACGGGGACCAGGAGGAAATTGATGACACAGACAGTGAAGATCCTCTGAATGCCAGACAGGCTTGTAGAAGCATACAAGGTGCCATTGGAAGGAGCAGGTGCTGAGGTCGACCAGGTTTGAAGCTATGATGGCATATGCTGTCCAGTTTATCTCCCTTTCCACTTAAGACTACCAGAGTGTCCGGTGGCGCTTGTTTCATGCATCTAACAAATCTGAGTGGCCCAACATACTGATCCTTGCCAGTCTTCTCTTTTCCCTACCAGTGTCAAATGGCACAGTTGAAAGAGTATTTTCACAACTGAATTGTATCAAGACCAAGAAGCGAGCTTCCCTTAGTAGCAACAGCCTAGATGATCTTCTTACACTTAACCTAGCATAGTCTGGTTAACTTAACCAGAAAATCCTGGTGAAATAAAATGAACTCCATTTCCTGGTTAACATTAGCCAGGGTGGGTGTTAATAATTTTACCCTTTCCTGGTAAATTTTAACCCTTTGCCTGGTTAATATTTAACCTAGCATAGTCTGGTTAACTTAACCAGGAAATCGTGGTTAAATAAGATCAACTCCATTTCTTGGTTAACAATAACCAGGGTCTGTGTTAATAATTTTACCCTTTCCTGGTAAGTTTTAACCCAGTGCTAGGTTAATAGTTAACCTAGTCCAGCCTTTTAAATATAACCAGGAAAAGCTGGTTTAAAGGCATTATTTTAATTTCCTGGTTTACATCAACTATAATATTTGTGAATCAAACAAATAATGTTCATTTAATAAACTTGAGGAGTTCTAGAAATGTATTTATCATATATCCATGCATGCAATTGACTGCTTGCTTAGTCATAGAAATAACATAGGATTAAATTATATAGTTTCACCTTAGCTGCAAACATCTTTAAACCTTTTGAAAGTTACAAAACTATATAGTGTTATCATATTATATAACATACTTAACAAAGTTGATCAAGTACATGCAGACTTCTAAAGGTCCACTATGCATATGAGTCAGGGTAGCACGCATCGAGATCACAGCTGAGGTTGTTTTTCTTGGAGTCTTGTCTTCCAAACAGTATACAACCTTCTGGAAAAACTCCCATGTAACATTACTCTGCCACGGATATTCCATGTCCAGGACATAAAATAGCTTGAAACAACTGTCTACAGCTTCAACTAGATTGGACCTTTCCAAGCATTTCCCTTCAAAAACAAGAAATACTTGGTGGGGGTGCAGGCTTGGCGGGGGTTCTCTCCAAGAACAAGTATGTGTGGCTTAAGATTATCCTCCAAATACTTTGGTATATTTGTACCTGTCTAAATAGAAAAATAAATCAGATTCACCATCTAACTTAAATGAGACACATGTATGTAAGACAAGAGAGGCCGGGGGGATCCAAGATTTTGCCAAAAATTGCAAGGAAACAAATTTTTAACTAGAAAAAATTGTTGGGTTCATTTTGCTATAAACGTCAAATACTTACAGGTTTAACATCAATAAATGATGAGAGCATTGTCAATGCTGCATCTTTTCTTGCATTTTCTTCCTGCAGGCAAAATGCATGGAAGTATTGATAATGCTACATTTTGCTTTGCTTCATCTAAAAAATGGAACCAATACACATTATACTTAATTTAAAAATATTATATATTTATTTAAAACTGAAGGGCACAAAACCTTTTTTGTTTTGGGTTGGCCAACTACCGCTGTAAGGTTGCAAAAATTGTAAGGGCCAGGGGGGTGTACATCCCACCCTCTCCCAAGATAATCCGTCAGCATTATAATTTTTATTCTCTTCATGAACATTGAGGCTCAAAACGCAAAAAGAACGGTGTAGCTAACGACCTACAGTTCAGTAAAATCACAATACCAAGCATCTTGTATATACTGTATATAGTTAGTAACTTACAGTCAAACCGGATGTTCTCTTTCAAGCAACATTGCAATATTGTCCCACAATATTGCAATTTTGATAGTCAGATTGCTCTAGCAATTTGCAACTGACGAGAACAGATGGCAAGTTGAAATCCACAACATATTTGCAAACAAAGCCCCTGATTAGACTATAAGAAAGAGGAAAGCACCAATCCAGTTGCTCAGACTATTTGATTGGCTTTCCCTCTTTCTTATGGTATAGTCCAATCAGAGGCTTTATTTACAAATCTGTTGTGAAGTTCAACTTGCAATTTGTTTGCGTCGGTTGCAGATTGCTAGAGCAATCTGACTATCAAAATTGCAATATTGTGGGACAATATTGCAATGTTGCTTGAAAGAGAACATCCGGTTTGACTTTAATACAGCTTATAAATAGAATAGCCTAATATAACTTATTTATATGCATAATAATTAGACATGTGAGCTATGATAATGACATGTACTAAGAATATACTTACCGGAGTTAATTTGTTCCATATTTATACCCAGGTAGACTTGCCATTTGGCTTGGTCTTCTGCATATTTAATAACTTTATTGGCAAAGGAAGGTGTCCACTTCAAGAACAAGTTATCTGATACAGATTCAGGTAGAACCAAGGCGAAGTCTAATTCAATCTAAAAAAAATAGAAAAACACATTAAAAGGCAAACGTACGGTTGCAAAAATCGTGGGGTTTCATACTGACAGTCTGGCAGTACCAACGGCACAGGGTTTTCACTTTTCAGAGTTATTGTCGATATATCGTGTATTTTGTTTCGTGTATATATATACTTTGACCCTTTGTAGTGTTCAGTGTGTGAAAATTATTATTGAGACATTAAAATACTTTGTAACTTCTTAAATCTGTTTATGATTATTGAAAAATGCATGTAACAGTCGCTTACATATTTTTGTCATATCCGATGTTTTGTATGTGATTAAATGTGTTTATAATATTTCAACTGTGTCTAAATTACTTAATACTTTCTTTCAGTAAATTCAGAATTGACAATAGCAATTAAGGTGGAGTAATTGCTACAACTTGAAACAAAATTTATGCATACTGATTTATGCGCATGTTAATTTCAATGTTTACACATACATTACAAATCACGAGGCATTTAATTTTGTTACAAGTTGCAGCAATTCTGTTCCTCGTTATTACTCCAGCTTTAGCAACAATGCAGGCTACCCACATGTAAGCAGCGTGTACCAAAATCCTAATACAATGGTTTTGTACAAAGTCAGCAGTTCTACATGTATGTATGTATGTAGGACATTTAATCATGATCTTACTAGCAATTACACTTACAAATCCCTGGCCTTCTTCATCTTTCAGAAAAGGAAAGTCCTCAACGACAGCCCTTGCCATTGCCATTTTTATATCCGATTTTGGTCTGTTATAAAAGAAAAGAACAAGAAGTATATTATGATGCAATAATGGTCTTCCAGTGATGAGCCAAAAATCTGCCATGAGTAAACAGGAACACCAGAAATCCAAACTTATGTACACCGAATACTGCATAATAGCCAAACCTGTCTCCAAACATTGTCATGAGCTCAGCTACCAGAATCTGAACCATTTTTTAGTCTGTTGTTTCTTGAAAGATTTCCACTTCCCAAGTCTTTCGGGATATTTTCTCCAGGTATGGATTTTTCAAGTATTGATCTTATGTTCTACATGTAAATTATGCAATAATATTAATTACTAGTTATTTATGAAATTAAATTGGAATTATTCTAAAAGGAACTTGTTCTATACGAACTGTATGGAATCACATGGCAGATGCATTACTTTTGTTAAAAATAAATTTGTTATCAGTTAACTTACAAAATCAGGTTTGAATCTCTTTGGTGAAATCTCTGTATTTTCTGAAGGGGATATAGCTGTGACATTTGAAGTGGATGCCTATAGGTGAAATATAACAGCTAGAGTTGTATAAGACAAAAGTAAATATACGTACCGTATAGACAACAGCCTATCACCATTGCAATGTAATGTTAGACATGTCTAACTGCATTCTCCCCGCCATGTCTTATACCAGATTCTTTTACTCCTGCTTATGATAGATGATTATAATTTTTTCAAAAATATAATTTATAATTAAGGAACTTACTTGCTGATTGCACATTATTGGTGGTGGTGCATCTGGTAGTTGTGTGACACTGATAGCTGAGTCCATGGTAAGCACTGCCTTAATTGTGTAACAAATATACCATTTTTAGGTAAACAATTGGTTTTAATGATATTCAACCCCACACATACTGCCTAATTGTTTACCGGTATTTCTGTCTATACAGTAGATATATGGTGTAAGGGTTACCTAATTATGGAGGAACCCTCATAGTGCTGACCTCATAGGCATGAGTGCATGGTGAATTGAAAACTACATTGTACTGTTAATTTGTTAATATGTATATTAAAACCCATAACCGTCAAGGCAATAATGACAAGGTACTTAGGATGCATTTACATTGTATTCAACCTAATTAGTTAAGGTTCAATAGTGCATGCACCATAGCTACATTGGAATTTTAATGTAATCACCAGACTAATTTGTAACTTAAAGTATATACTGTATTATCATGTCATTGAGGTCAACACTCAAGCCAAATTTAAAGTGTACAATTAACAGTAGATCAGGTTGGCGTCAAGTTAACTCTAAGATTAGACCCTGAGCAAACCCACCTTTTTACAGTCAAACCGGATGTTCTCTTTCAAGCAACATTGCAATATTGTCCCACAATATTGCAATTTTGATAGTCAGATTGCTCTAGCAATTTGCAACTGACGAGAACAAATGGCAAGTTGAAATCCACAAAATATTTGCAAACAAAGCCCCTGATTAGACTATAAGAAAGAGGAAAGCACCAATCCAGTTGGTCAGACTATTTGATTGGCTTTCCCTCTTTCTTATGGTATAGTCCAATCAGAGGCTTTGTTTACAAATCTGTTGTGAAGTTCAACTTGCAATTAGTTTGCGTCAGTTGCAATTGCTAGAGCAATCTGACTATCAAAATTGCAATATTGTGGGACAATATTACAATGTTGCTTGAAAGAGAACATCCGGTTTGACTTTAATTGGGTTCAAACTGACCAACGTCAAACCCTCTATGTCATTATCATTACCTGAAGTTAATTTATCCTATAGCGTAAGGAAACATAACTTAAATGTTCCCATTCTTTATAAGATTTTGAAGCATGGTATGCTTGATGGTCATATAAGTTTTCAACTGGGATGACAGACCAAATTGGATTGACAGCTGGTTGAACAGCATATGTGTGAGTATGGCGATCAAACTTGACAGTCTGCCAGGGGGCAGTTATAAATGATATCTTTGTTCCCATACATAGAATGTAGACAATTAGTTCAAAGATGGGGAAAGAATCCTCTGATTTTGCACTGATTACTAGAGTGTTTTTGCAATATTTGATCCCATTCACAGTTACCCACTTAGCAACAAAAATTTCACTTAGAAGATCAACGCCAATTGCTCTGCTCAAGAACTGCGCTCTTTCTAGAGAAACAACTAGGGTAGAACATCCAGTCCCTATTTCCACATCTCTGTCAACAAGCTCTTTCCCACACATAAGGTTGTAACATAGAAACATTTGCTGCCTGTTAGCAAGTGTTTTAAGAATGTTCCGATAATTACACACAATATGCCCTAGACGCTTGAAGAATCTGTGCTTTGCCTCAAAACGCATTGTCCAATAGTTGATCAGTGGACCTAGTTGACGGATCTGGTGGGGGTAGTGGGTCATGAAATGGTGTTTTGGCTTCAAATGACGATTTGGATACAAGTGCAAAAAGTAACTGTGGTGATCTTTAATTAGTTGCTTCAGAAAAAAGGATTCCTCAACAGTAACTTCTGGGCTGAAGATAAAATCCATACACTCAAGTAGAATTAGGAGAAGTTCCAAATGTTCATTGCCTTCTGGAACTAAGTCGCCAATTATTAGAGGCAAATTTCGAATAAGGCACCACATCTGTGATGCAGTTTGCCCTGTTGCACCATCTGGATTCTGAATCTTATGCTTAGTGATTGGGGATGGCTTGTTTTTCGAATCCGAAGGAGCATAATCAAAGCTAGTAATCCTGCTATTTAACAAGTCCAGGTCAAAGAAACCAGATTGGACTAAATCTGCAACAACTAGATGAACTTCCAGACCAGCAACTCCTTCCAACAAATCATGCATAATATCAGGTGCATAGTTTGTGGTAACATGGAAGTGTTCTACATCATTCAAGAGACATGGAGCTTTAAAGGAGCTATGTCACCATCTGCGCATCTTTTCTGCGCATACCTAATATATTCGGAAATTATTCGGAAAACGTCGGAAAGTTGTCAAGGAGCGATCACTGCATGATGTCTTCCTGTAATATGAATACGGTAAGAAAACATGAATAAATTTACATATATTTTTGTGGGAAATTGATCGATCTTTCATGAACACGACATAGGTTGAGTATTGTGAATGCAAGAGCTCTTGTAGTACTAAAAGGAAGGAAAATAGTAGCCGAGGATGCCCTTGCAAGGGTCGAAATGTCGTGTGCTCATCAAGTTGTCGATGTGGCACTCGAAATAAACCTTGTACGAATAACGTTAGTCTGTCGATTATATGTTTTCAATACATTCATTTGGCTTACAGTTTGATTCGTTAAAAAATCAAATCGTTTTGTAGTCATTTTATATATACAAATCATGATTCAGGAACGAGGAGAGAACTCACAGCCCACTGCTCGCACCACGTCGCAAAGAAAGTCGGTATTGATCATTTGATCGGTTGAGTATTGATCATTTGATTGAGATTTGGTGATATTGTTTGCAGTGAAAATCTCTTTAAAATTAAATGATATACATGCAGTAGCTGTCAAATAACCTTGTAAAAGGCCATGTAAAGTCCGTAATGTAAACAAACGCTTTGTTTACATTTTGAACTCAGTGCTGTAGTTGTAAAATTTGATTAGATATACTGTATGTCTTTTGGACACATGGTGAGAGACCAAAAATGTACTGCAAACAGTATTCAAATAGTTCTAAGCTGAGAAGCTATATATGTTTATCCTTAGGTTTAATCAATCTAATTTGATAGGTACTGTATTCATGTATTTTAGGACTTTATTGCCACTTTGGATGAAGCGATGGTGAGGAAGGTAGCTGTTTGGGGCCTCAGGAGGGGTATTGGAAGTATGGATTATATCCTTACCCTCCTAATAATGGAGGATGACCTTGATCAGACAGAACATGATGAGGATATGGGTGCATTTGAGGAAGATTCAGGAGAGCTGCGTAACGATAAAGATCAACCCCATAGCTCAGCAGGCCCACCTGAACCACACAACCACTTGCCTACATCAGCACCAGACTGGTGTGTATGTGGATATTGTAGACCCATGACACAGGAGATAGAAAATAAATGCTGCAGACAAAAGAATTGTATTACACTAACCTCAAGGTTTGCTAAAATATGCTTAGACCCAGATGTTTTGGAGTTATGTATTCGAAACACTGGGGACATTCGCAACGATCAGGAGGATAATAGTACCCGAGCATTTAGAAAAGCTGGATGCAGACAGTTTGTATTAGCACCTCATGGCCACCTCGGAAAGGGAAATAGAAGAGTTTGCCCATCTTGTGTTGTGTTAAAAATACGGGGACGATATCCATCTGTCACAGGAGTTTATATGGGCTTTAGGGAGCACTGAATCTATTGAGATTGAAGTCAGGGACTTATTTATTTATGGCTATTGGTTGACAAATTGGGGTATAAGGAAAACTGAAATTGTATTTTGTTAATTTAGTGTACTGTATACTGTACTGTATATATATTTATTACTATATATATATATATATATATATATATATATATATATATATATATATATGTTTTTGTGTGGGTGTGTGTATATATATATATATATATATGATTTGGTGTGGATGCGTATCAAGCCTATACTCAGAAAAATTCTGAGCCCTAACGGGAATTGAACCACGTAACCTTCTGATTACCGGACAGACGCTCTAACCATTGAGCTATAAGCCTTATAGCTCAATGGTTAGAGCGTCTGTCCGGTAATCAGAAGGTTACGTGGTTCAATTCCCGTTAGGGCTCAGAATTTTTCTGAGTATAGGCTTGATACGCATCCACACCAAATCATATATATATATATATATATATATATATCCCATTGAGTTGCATTGCACCCTGATGCACCCTACTTTAGTATTTTACTCTGTCTAACGCCAGACGATTTTACTCGTCAAGGGGAGAGCGCTGCCGCTTAATGGGTTAACTGGCCTATCTGCCCATGTGTCTAGTTAACCCATTGAGTTGCATTGCACCCTGATGCACCCTACTTTAGTATTTTACTCTGTCTAACGCCAGACGATTTTACACGTTAAGGGGAGGGCGCTGGCGCTTAATGGGATATATATATATCTTCATGTGATAAGAATAATTGATATTTTCATTATTTACATTCCTCTGTTGCTATTCCCATACGCCGGACTAGTTGATTGCCTCTACCCTTTGATCTGTCCAGCATGGGTGACCCTGCCAGGAGCTTATGCTCCAGCCGGCATAGCTCTAGGGGTCATGGAGGCAAACAACTCAACAACTCATGAACTCAAGCCCCCAACCATGGGCTTGGTGGTCTCCAGGGATTGTTCCAGTTACTATTTTTTGAATCGGCTTCTTCGCTCCGCAATTTCTTTCGTAGATGGTGGTGGAACATGGGCAATTGTCATGGAAATAAAACCAGGATCACTTGTGTTTAGGGCAACTTTCTGTGTGACATTCCCTGATAAGTCATCAGCTCTGCTCCTGAGAACTCTAGATGTCATCACTGGAATGTATTCATAACCCTTGGCAACTTTGATTTTTTTTATGTCCCACTGCCTGGTCCTAGGATTATACTTTCGGGTGACCATGCATTCGCCAGACTGTAATTTTGCTTGTGGAAGGTTGAGATGAAAATTCCAATCAATGGCTGCCAGCTGACGTCGAGCTTTATAAACTCTATAACCAGAGGAGGGTGGAAGCTCTTCCCAGCATGCATTGCAACTCATTAATATTCACAATCATGATTTTTCACAATGTTAGTTGGAAAAGTTGTGGATATTTATTTCGATATTTCACCACGAAAAGTTCGTATTTTTGAAGGTAAGTTTTTATAATTGTTTTAAATATGAGTCAAATTAACGATTTTTGCTTTATTTGGTGTTTTAACAACGTTTAGTTATATGTTAATCGCAATTTGTATTGACCTGTTTTCCGGGTCAATGCACAAGTGTCAAAAGTGGCTTTCAAAACCGCTGGGGACAATTGGGTTTATAAATGAGTAAATTAAATAAAAGACACGCCATCGTATTCAGGAAGAGTTGTTCTTTCTATGAGAAGTTTAAAAAATGAATTGTCCCCATCAAACTGATGAGTAATCGCGGTTTGAAAATGGGGCATTTTCGTATATACTATGTCGCCCATCGCGGGAATAGTCGGCCGCATGGGAATTATGGCGCGAGGAAAATTACTGTACGAGTCGTTATTATTTTTGTTTTATTTCGAAGCATGCGCATATATGTCGATCGTTGTTGAGTTTAACTGCTGCTTTTAAGTTAAATACACTGTATTTTACCATTATTTTTATAGAATTCGAATATATTTTGTGAAAAAAGAATCTGATATTTTACCATTATTTTTATAGAATTCGAATATATTTTGTGAAAAAAGAATCTGATGATGGCAATTAATGCTGTTTATATTGTTGATCCTAAGTATGGGAAAAGTTCAACTTATGAATTTAATGCTGATTTAGAACTGTTATTGAGCAAACTGTTCCTACATCCTGCTTTGGCAAATGGTATAACATCTAATCCAGCCAAGTTGTGCTCATGATCCATTCAACTGATTCAAGCAATGAAACTATTGAACCAGAATAATAAGAGCAACCTGTTATATAAATTTGCCCATACCAGCCTTTTAATAGATACATATTTTAGTAGACATTTTACATTTAAATATTGGTGTATTGGTGACATGAAAATGTTGCAATGAATCTTAAGTATTTACTTTATATATTGTAACTTTGAATAAAGCATTTTATTAACATCAATTATGTATGACCACTGCATTTATATGACCAGTATCAGGGGTGGATTTACTGGTGTGTGTGCACCCCCCCCCCTAGCCCTGGCCAGAGGGTATGCAGGGGGGGGGGGTATTTTCATGATAAAGCAAAAAATATTAGAGACAAAATGAGTAATTTGAGTAATAACATGATGATAAGTAAACTGTTAACAACAATTACAATACAGTAGTCAAGCAAGACTTTGCTGTAGTCAAGTAAGTTGATGGGTGGGTGGCGCACCTGACTGACACAACTCATTACAATACAGTAGTCAAGCAAGACTTTGCTGTAGTCAAGTAAGTTGATGGGTGGGTGGCGCACCTGACTCGCACCAGAGCTGGCAGAGCACCCTCCCTACCACATACTGGATCCATCTTTAGATCAGTGATCCATCTGTGCTAAATATACAACAGTTAAAACAGTGTTAAGAACACATGCACAAGGTGGACTATAAGATAAAGTAGGGATTTGATGACTGCAGTAAACAAACACAGCAAATTGAGTTTGAAAACATTTATTTATTTGAAAAAGGAATGGTAAAATTATATTTAACAATTATTCGCCGAAGGCGAGGTGATTATCGGGGAATATTTGCCGAGGTGAATATTCCCAGATAATCACAGAGCCTGAGGCGAATAATTGTTTTAGTATTTTTGCACAAGTTTTTTGTATTTTTCTGGTCTGAATTCATTTTAATTTCGCTTATTTCTTTATTACTAACTTCAACAAAACAGCTAGCCGCCATTTTGAAAATTTCGATTTTGTTATAATATAACAGATTAATACGTCAAATTTGACCAATCACCTTGTAGCATTTGTTATGTTCACTTGTGCAAAAATACTAATATCAAATATTTACCTGAAATAACAGTGTTTTAATAGGAATAAATTTATATGAAAATCTCAACTAAAAATGTCTTGCTCATGTTCTACTTTAAATTTCAACTTGAGATTTTTTGATCATCTATACATGATTATCACAAGTTGCATGGTATCTTTGTTCTCGCCAGGAACCAGCTACAACAAACTTCTCAGGATACAAAGTGTCCTCCACAATCCTTGTTTTACCCTTCTCAGGATACAAAGTGTCCTCCACAATCCTTGTTCTTAATTCTCAGGATACAATGTGTCTCCTCCACAATCCTTGTCCTTCAGAATCCTTGTCTCCATCATTTCAGAATCCTTGTCTCCATCATTCTCCTAATCAGAGCTTGAATCATTCATGTATTTAGCATCACCAGTAGCCTGTTACACACCCAACAATTGGGTGAACTGCTGAATTTCATCAATCTTGTCCATGTCTGCAACTCCACCTTCTGCACCAATACTTTCAACATCACCAGGCATCTCTTCACCATGAATTTTAACCAAACACATAGGATTTAATGGCTGTTTAATCATTTAATGCAATTGCATAACAATGGCTCATCTAAATTCACCAGTGGTAGGTCATTCAGTATATCCTCTAAAATATCCAGCTTGGGTGGTCAGATTGTTACAGAAGTTGGTGATGGAATAATGTTAAACTCCCACAACAGAACACAACATAAGTACTACAGGTAAAAAAAGATTTGATGCATTTATACAGGGACGTTGGAACAATAAAAAGGCAAGGGCACCTTTATAATTATGTGTTGACTTGCCAATGAAAGCCTGATTGTGCATGTTCCATTGACGATAGCTGTTCTGTGTTCTGGAAATAAAGTCTACTCAAGGAACTATAACTGCACAAACACACTTAATCAGGTCACATTCAAGTTCACACCTCATGACTTTGCCCAAAACTGGGGATAAGATTTAGCAGGCAGAATTTCTATAACACAAAGTGCACTTCTGCCCCCCTTGACCCTCCCCCCTGCTTTTATGTTAAAATAGATTTGACATAAACTCATAAAGTCAAATACTTGTAGTCTTGTATGATTTCCGAGTATAAATGGCCCATTTTCCCACCAATTAAATCATAAAATAATCGTACCTTAAGGTCACAACTAGAATAGATTTCTATCAATGAAGGACTATCGCATTCGGCGAACATATAATAAGTCAACTTTTACGCCAAAGCCCAAATGTTGTCGTTATCCATAAAACTAGAAGTTCGACATCCCTTCACGAAGCTTAAGCAGCTCCAGTCGCTCTTTCGACACACAATGTACATAAAGATTGTCACGTCCATCCAAATCAGTAGCTTTGTTGCCACGAACAGTACGAAAATTCGCCATGATTTACAATTTTCAATTTGTACTTTTGAATACCGCTCCTTGTAAATTGAGTAGTGAACACAACGAGAGCCAGTCGAACAATGACGGCGCGTCCCGGGAAATCGATAATATGAATGAGTTACAATGCATGCCGGGAAGGGCTTCCAACCTCCTCTGCTCTATAACTGAAAGGAACATTACGTCTTGGTACAGGTTAAATGACTTTTAGATTCACATATTACATAATTTGGCACAATGCTTTCATATAAATTTCTGGCTAAAAAAGCATAATAGTACCTAAATGGTGTTCGTTTAGGGGTGTAAACCAAGCCAAGATTGTTTGCACATTCAATGCCACCAGTGTGTCTATAAAAGTTTAAAAAATATACATAATTGGCAGTAAAGCTAATTTCACTTGTAAATACCTGCTTTCTTACCGGAAATGGGTATAGTACTTGAAACTGCCAAGTAATTCGGGGTTTAGGATGACTTTTTGTAATTCTACAAAATCCTTATCCCGACGATCGAACCATGGCAGATTCTCATCATGTTCACCTTCATCATGTTCACATTCACCACCTATCCATTCATGCTCATTGCAGATGTGATGGAGTAAACCAATCCACATATCCTATAAAGAATTACAGTAAAAAAATTTCAAGCTTGACAATCTGACATGTTGGTAGAAAAACAACATAGAAGTATGACTATTGATGATTAAAAATAAACATACCTTCATAATCTTTAATGCTTCTTTATCAGAGGTTGTCTCGTCTTTTCTGCATGCGCTGGAACAATGCCAAAAGTGGGTAATAATATGAGCTGACCAGTCCTTAACCTTTTTCATTGCCTTTGGTTTTCCAAGCTGAAATATTTTTAAAAAATGCCAAAACAATGTTATGTTAGGGCAGGGGCGTAGGAAGCAGCGGGGAGGGCACGCCCCCAATATTTTATAAGGGGGGGGGGGATAGCTTTTGCCCCCCCCCCCAAAAAAAAATTGGATTTAAATACTGCAAAATTCTCGAAACTGGAAGTACTTTAAACCGTATATATCATATTAATAATGTATCCGCAATTGTTTATTGTTATGCGATACACCCAAAAGCATTCACTATAGTCCAAAAATGCTATGCATATTGCAGTATATTTTTCCAATCATTTACTGTAAGCCAACCATTGTAATGTTAGCATAAACTTAGGTCAACACTCTGTCAAACAGGCAAATCCTTCGTCAGACACTTTTTAATGCTTTTTGCTTTGTGCCAAACATCCAAACTGTGTACAATATTGTCATATCGTGTTTCTGAAATGGAAAATATAATAAATTAACATATTTTTAGTCATAAGCGTACGGTCAACAAAATCTTTACGGGGTGGGGGGCGCCGCTTTTGCACAATGTCTAGTGACCTCCAACAACACAACCCCACTGCCAAATTGTTTTGCCCGGCGGTGAACTAAAAATTGCCCGACTTGGCAATATTTGGTAAATTTAAGGGGGGATTGCAGTTGCAATTCAATATTACAGTCAATTTCAGCTGACTTTTCATCGTAAGATTCCGAACTTCGTTCCGAACTTCGCAAATTCGTTGCCAAGTTCAAAAGTTCATAATGAAATTCACAAACAGGTTTGTAAACTGGGCATTTGATTGGCTGGTTTGATTTAGTAGCCAATCAGAGGCTTTGTTTACAAACCTGTTTGTGAATTTCATTATGAACTTTTGAACTTGGCAACGAATTTGCGAAGTTATGAACGAAGTTCGGAATCTTACGATGAAAAGTCAGCTGAAATTGACTGTAATTAAAATCTAAAATAGTGCCTGCCAAAATACAAAAGTGATTATTGTCATGGCGATCAGTACATTTTTCTACATGAGAAAGTACAACAATTATATACTGAATAATTCATATATCAGTTTTATTCCATTGTTCATATAACTGTTGTTGATTTTCAAAAAGAAAAATACACAACTACAGTATCATTATAATATCAACTTACCCAGCAATGCCTTTACAGTTGTGGATGCATCAGTCACCAACTGACCAACATTTACTTCCTTGGTGAGTCGATCTAGACACCGCTGTACGGCTTCCTTCTCCATGTTGGTGGATACAAGGCCAACGTGTCTCTTGTCCATAACTTCAACGTCAAGAATATGATTTGTACTTTCCTCCATGATGAAGTAACAAAGATTCTTGGCATTGAAGCCTGGTGAGTCACATTGACCATCACCACCAACAACAATCTCCTTGTCAGCAAACTCTACAAGAATTTCTTTCCTCATGCCAGACCACCACTCATTTATCTCTGGAATAAGGTATAGTCTTTGAAATCTGTAGTAGGTGGAACTTGACAGGAACTCCAGATTAAAAAACTTTGCCATCCGCTCAATTTTAGAAAATTGATTGCCAGAGAACATAAGTGAGGTTGCTGCTTGAAGATTGTTGGCATAAATATTATTCACTTGAGGTGAAGAACAGAATCTATATTTATGCCCCTCTGAACAAACACTGTTGATAACCACAGTAACACCAATGAAGTGATACTGGATTTGACTTTCAGCTGTGCATCCAGGTGTCTGACATCGCGACTGAAAGATCTGAAGCAGTAAATCAAGAGAGCATACAAATTTTTTTTCTTTTACCATTTTGTATTCCTTCTTCATCGAATACACCTCATCCCCTCTGGTGAATCTGCAATGCGGTCCAAAGGTGTCAGTACACTCAGTGGTGGAATGTGACTGTTGTTGCAGGTTCATGTCATCTGTCTCGTGTTCTGCATCTTCTTCAGTCACCATTTCAAAAATGTCATCCGCTAGCCCAACACTTTCATCATCACTAATTTCATTCATGACACTATTAATAAAATATATTTTAGATTTAACACTGCAAAAATTATTGTTGTGGTGCAGTAATTTATACAGAAACATATCTTTAGAGTTAAAACCACTAATTATGACAGATACTCTATTACTACATAGCATCCTTGAATGGAGATTAAATTAAACATATATAACAACTTACTCAGAGTCACTTTGTCTTGTCATGTCCTCTTGTTCAGCATTCAATTCTTCCAGAATTGACTTTGTAAGGTCATGTAAGCTGTAAAAATATATGTTACATTAATTTTTCCTGTGTTGGTGTTATGTACTCAGGTGTATATAAAGTTTGTGATGTTACTCGGAATTGAATCTCAAAATATGACATACCCGAACCAACCTGACCACATAGATCAGTTGGCAGAGCATTGGGCTAGTATTCCACAGGTTGTAGGTTTGATTTCCACTGTGGCCAGGCATATTTTTCAGGCTTGCCCAGTGGGGATATACAATCAGAGTAACATCCCAAACAAACATCATATGTTACCTTAATTATACCATAATAAATGTAACTTCTGAGGGCATTGAACTAAAAACATACCTGATATCTTCCTCTGAACTGTTGTCATCAGTAATTTCTCCCTCATCATCGGTAAACATAGATGTATTGCCTTTACACAGGTCAATAGATGAGCTGTATTTAATAAAAATAAGTTTTACTATAAGTATTATACAGACAGTACATGTGAGAAACTGATTTCTGTGGGTTGTGGAATAAAACCTATACCAGGTACCTTACCTTAATTATTGCTCTTACTTTATCAACTAGTGCTTTTCTGGCATTTATTTTTATTTCATCCTCCCCCCCACCCCATCCCCACTTTTTCCTCAAGACATGAGAAAGCAATGTTACTATCATGATTGTGTCACTAGTAATGCAACCCTTTGAATTCATGAATTGTCAAATATGGCTATTAAAATACCTTTGATTAAGGGATACATCAGTGTCCACAAATCTTTCAGAGTCCTCTTGACTTCCCAATATCGGAGACACAGATGGAATGGTCATGGGATAAATAGGTATGTCCTTTAGGGGAGTTGATATCATTGAACCTAAAAAATAATAATAATTTATATCAATGAATTATAAAATATTAAAAAACGTAAAATAAACATCAGGATTGCATGGCATTAAATAGTAATATTTACATTTATTATATAGTAATTTAAAGCTTCGTTTGAGTTTACCTTCGGTGAGTTCCTGCTCGTCTGATTCACTTATATTTGTCGTTGCAGTCTCAGTTCCCTTGTGATGTTGTCTAGGTTGTTGCTCCCTTAGATATTGGAATAAAATATAAGTTCAGCTGTTTATTATACAATATGTATTTGCAAACGAAAATACGAAATATGATATCCTTACCTTCTGCGATATTCCAATTTCGCATCTCGCCATGCCTCGAAGTCGCAATCGCTAGATGCTTCATATCCAGCCTCTGTTTTCGCATCTCTCCATGCCTCGAATATTTTCAACGAAAGGTATATTCGCCTGTGTTGACTGTTCCAGCCCTTTTGCGATGATACCGAACCATCGTATTTCCTTTTTCGTCCTGAATTCTCGCGTCTCCCGCCACGCGCTAGCTCCCCAGTAGCTGCCATCTTGGATATGCTAACTTTGAAAACTACAGCCTGTAGTTTTCAAAATTGCTATATGCGCAAAACGTATGCGCAGTAGACGACACAGCTCCTTTAATTTTGGAGGTTGGTTGGTCACTACTTGACGGTTCGACAGACGAGATCTCAAACGAATTCGAGACGCTCTCTCCAGTCCAATGACTGAGGCATTGCGTTTCGCCAAGAAAATTTTGGAATATGCGCCCTTTGACCCCGGAAATTTGCTGGTTGATGTGGGTGATTATTACTGTGGGTGAATTCTCGTAATTTGTTCTCATTTAAGTTCATCATTTTTAGTCTTTGACCACTTGATACCCTATCAAAACCATGTGCAAAATTCTTGTTATATGTATTGCAAGGGACACTGTTTGGTTTTCTAGCAAAGTGGTTTCTAGCCTTATTCTTTTGTGCTTTGTGTATTTTATTATTTATTCGTGGCTGTATATGGGACCGTGTGAAATTACCGCTGTTATTATGATTGGTAGTTTGATTTGCATCTTTTGTCTGAAAAACAATACAAGAGTCGTCTGATAGTAAAAAGCTTTCTCCTTTTCCGGGTTCTTTGGGGGTTTCTTCAGCCGTGAAGTTTGTTTCTGTTTTTCCTAGTATTTTATTAATTGTTAGTGCTTGTTTGTGGAACCATGTGAAATTATCACTTTGTTTTCCTTTGTACTCCCGTAATTGAACTACAAAGTAATTATCATTGTCATTACATTATGCTAGTTGAAACCCTGGCCGCCAGCTGGGGGCTGTGCCAGGATTTAACAGGACGTTGCAGGAGAAAAACAATTATTATTATTATTAAAATTCATGGCTTCATTATTATTATTATTATTATTAAAATTCATGGCTTAAAATTCATGGCATGGGTTTTTCAGAACCCATTTACTTTAAAAATGCGTATCTTAGCAACGAACTGCGGAGGAAGAAAGGTGATGGAATTTGGATTATTTTGGTGCTAATATGAGCCTAATCGACCAAATTTTATGCGATTTATAAGTATAAATGTAACTGTAACAATGGAAGGAAAGCTGTCATGTTGTGTATGCAGGTTATTCGCGTTAGATGCTGGATCCACTGCTTAAATAACGTTTTATATCCAAAAAGCAGACCGACTATTCATATAATAAACCTCAATGATGGCAAATCACTTGGACAAATTACTCAATTACGTATAACCAAGACAGAATTTGATGGATATCGAAACAGTTTGGAGAATGAATAGCTTTAACAGTTTGTTGCATGGAAATATCATACATTTTATAAGGTATTAAGATGATATGCTTATATTATTTGTGAAAAGCAGAGCAAGTGTTAATTCTGTTAACCATTTGTGTAGTTCAAATAGTTTGCTTGAATGATTGGATATTGGCAGTATCACAGCTTCTGCCAAGGAAAACAAAAAAAAATTATTCATGAATAAACTAATTTTGTAATACATAAAACATAGGTAACTAGTCACCATTTTGAAGAGCAAATTTTGTGCACACATGCAGTTCTAATGTCTGTGATTTCTGGCCATGAGCATAGCAATAGTGCCATCCAGTGATGGTTTAGTGCATCCAGCCACTTATTGTTATGACATCAAACAAATGGATGTAAATAACTGTTTAAGGTAACATATTTATGAAATCTAGAAGTATAGGTAATCACATGGGAAGGATGTTAATAATTATTGCACGGCTTGCCCATGTGATTATTTATTTATTATATGCATGACAAAATTGCTTTCTTTAAACTTCAACTGCATTTTGTCAAGAGTTTTTAATTATTTTGTGAGCAATTTGGTATAAACAAACTTGGGAAATGATCATAAACTCATAAAGACACATAACTTAAACTAGAACACAAGATTCAAACTCAAACAACATATCCTAGAGTAAGAAAATCATTATACATTCTATTACAGACTTACATAGTCACGTTTTGCTGTATCCCGCCGAGATTATTTCTTAGAACTGTTTCCAGGTATTTTCCACAGGCTCTTTTTGCCATACAATGTCTTTTAAACTCATTCTTGTGCCAAAGTTTAGTTAAATTCGTCCACATTATTTGCACCCACTGATTGCTGCAGGAGATGTCATGGATGTCTATGTTCAGCATATCAGGTATAGGGTTGACTTTTTTAAAATAGGATTTTAGGGTTATTTATTATTTAATTTTATTATTTAATAAGAAATGAACTTATTTTGTAGCTAAAAGGTTAAATTACATAACATCTTCTGTATATAGCTAAAATCTATTATATTACTATATTACATATAAGAATAATATAAGACTAAACACTTAAATTACGATTGATATTAAAATTATATCCTATTTTCTTTACAAATCATTTTGGGTAAAAAGGAATGTTTAAAGTAGTCAGTTTTGTAACTATAGTCATTGAATTTACGAGGAAACCTTAAGTCATAGTTTGATGTAAATGAGTCTGGATATAAGTCCGTCATTTTGTCATTAATATTTTGTTTAAAGAATTCATCACAAAGTCTTTCCCGCCGGTCATAAAGGGTAGTAATTCCTGTAATTTCTAATGCCTCCTTGTAAGTTGAATTTGGACCAATGATTTTTGCATGTTTCTGGATTTGTTCAATATCATCCGATAAAAAGTTTTGAATGTTAAAATGCCACACTTGACAGGCATACTTGAGTATTGGTCTTATTACTGTTATATAAAGAATGACCAGAGTCTTCATATCCACTTTTGGTTGTTTAAGTAACCTCAGTATATACAGGCGTTTACTTGACTTTTTAACAATATGTTCTACATGAAGGTTCCACTTTAGATTGTTTTGGACTACGATGGCCATGATCTTTTTGGATTCGACGAGCTTAATTGGGTTGCCATCCACAGTCAGAGGTTGAAAAGATCTCTTTTCATTAGTAAAATCAATTATTAGTTAAATCAATTATTAGTTCTTTGCATTTGGCAATATTAAGTTTCATGTTATTATTAATAGTCCAAGTAGTGATATCATTCACTACATCTTGTAGGTGAGATGGGTAGGGTTAGGTTTATAGACATGGTTTATAGTGGGAGATCCAAGTGGTAAGGAAAAGCATGAGTGTACATTGACAGATGTTTTTATATAAACAGGTAATTGAAAAAGAGTGGGTAATTAAAAAAAAGAGCAGGAAAATTTCCCAGGTGCTAAGTGCTGGTGGGGAATTTTAAAGAAATAAAAGACTTTTTTTATGAGTGTAACAACATGAGGACCATTTTTACTAAGTGAAACCATTGACTTCACATAAAAAATCTCAAATTCTATCAAATGTTAAATTGACAGATATTTAACAGCCTGAACATGTCTTATTATGACGTGCTGAAAATACGTACACACTAGCGCAACATTTTTGCATCACCAAATGGACAAAAATTATTATAACATGCACAAATGCTACTCAAAAATCGACAGTCTGTCTCGGCTATTGCCTCACCAAACTGTGGTTATGCATCACTAACTCTATAGAGCAAAGGAACTATAAACCATTTTTTACTATAAATTAATCCGAATTTCAAGTTTTTAGCCATCCGGTGTTTTATACGTACATGCCTTACGTACATGGTGGCCATCATGAGTGGCTTCAAAGATGGCGCCTAAGGTATCTTTCCAGTTCCCTTAAGTCCTGTTTACACTACGTTCAATTTTTGGTACGGCACTGATAAAATTGGTACCCGTACCACTTTTTTGGTTCTTGGACTACACATTTAAGCCCTGTTTACACTCCACTCCAAGAGAAAGAACCACCGTACCAATATGGGTACCAATTTTATCTGTGCCGTACCAAAAATTGAGCGTAGTGTAAAGAGTTCACTGGTTTAAACTGAATGTGAGTACCTTATTAAAACACCCTCAGTTTGGAAACTTTTGCTCTATTGTACATGTAGGCTAAACCTGTGTATATATGCTACACCACTATCAGACATAAAGTGTATATGCTACACCACTCTCAGACCTTAGTAAAAAAGAGTCGAATGAACTCAAGCTCACAGTTCATTGAGCCGAATGAACTCAAGCTCACAGTTGATCGAAATGGATCCCTGACATGTCAGTGAGGAGCAAAATCTGGGAGAATATTCCTAGCATCAGGATCATCATATCCGTCATGTACTATGGGGCCTAGTGGGGATGCTAGACAGGGAGCTGTCGAAACCTTAGGTCCTAATGGCTGGGCTTCCCTCTACCTCTACTCATCCCCCTACCTTCCCTCTGGGTTGGTGAGTGGGGTTCTCATGACTCATCAGAACTCTACTTCCCTGAGGCTATGAAACAGGAACAGCAGATAGGAACAGGATCAATATATTCATCAGTGCGAATAAAAACTTTTATAGAGATCGGAAGAGCTCACTTAAAATTATAATAAGAGCCAAACTAGTAAGATATAAGTATGAATACTTGGCTATTATGTATGTAACAAACAACCAAACATGTGCTCAAGGCTCATTTTACTTCGCCTAGGAATCAGAGATTTTTATGCCTAAAACACCATAAATTTTCGTCAACAATATAAATAAATACCATTTATATTTGTCAATTTCAGTATGAAACGATTATTTCAACACAAAAAAGGGGTATGAGGACATACTTGGTCGTACTAGTGAAGCTATACTAAATACAAATAAATTTACAATGCCATGGCAATGGCAAAACATTGAAATAGAAATTGTCTAGAAATGATACAAATACTCTAAAAGATTTCCATATCAAAATCCATATCTAGGGTAAACAAACACTCCGGAAGTGATTCCTGCAGTCTTTTACCAGGAAACTGTAATGCTTTACCAAGAATTTGGCGTCCGAAGTTGGCCGAACACTTTCACGAGAATCGCCATAATAGGCTTAGATTTATATATCACAATTTCCCGAGACTGCTCCGAGCTATAGAATGGAAGATGGCGATTCTTTTGGTATATTAGTTATTATTATATGTTGAAAAGAAGCAAAAAGACGAGTATTTGAATCAGACGGAACATTCAAAATGCAACAGAAAAATTGATAATGTGTCATTTGCATAAATTTCACCGCATTGATCATTTCAAGGTAAGAAATTCGCTTGAAATTGAGCGAGAAACAATAAAATTAAATGAATATTTCTGAATATATAGTATCGATCAAGCGGAATTTTTTGGTTGTATTTTCGTATGTCTACTGCAAATACTCGCGAAGTTCTTTAATATTTAATCTTCCTGTCAAATTAATATTGGCGGATTGAATTGAGTTAAGAGGTGAATCTCTCAGATTTTCAATTTCATCGCACATCACCAAGCTGTCCACTGTTATTCCAGATGGCGGTGTCAAATTGATCCATGGAGGGGATGTGTTTTACACAGTTCGCAGAAGGACAAAAATAAAACGTTGTTTCCACCACAAAATTCTGCTCATATGGCACGTATAACCCATCATAAATCACCATCATGCTGTTTTTTCCTACAGCAACAGCAACAGGAAATTTTCCTCTTTGCATTGCCTTTCTCTTGAAAACCCATACTCTTGGTTGACAATTTCTTCGGTCGGTCAGCAAAAGACTCATCACAATGTCTTGTCTGCTTTGATTCCTTGCACCAGGAACATATTTCAATCCGTTTGGAACTGGTGGTGTATTCCTGAAAATTTCAGAACATTCTGCATCTGTTAAAAAAACCTGCTGTAAAAGTTCACTTTCTTCAGGCATTCGACAAACATACAGAAGAATTCAAATGATACTACCATTTGCAAGCAACCGCAAAATCCAAACTTTTTTTCACGTTTGTTTACGTTTCAAACGTACACGATGGGCGGGTCAAACGTGCGTGTTGACACGTAACAATCAATTAGTTTGAACCGCGAAATAGTGACATTTTAGAAATCCCGCCCACACGTTTGAACAACGTGAATGCATGTTCAAGAATAGATATCTTGCATTTCTGACACAACTTATACTTTCCAGATATACAATATACTGTAAAATGTCTGTACAAATTAAAATTTTGTATGGCCCGGAATATGATCGTTGCAAGACCAGTACGATGTCTACAGAAAGTTTGAAAAAATTAAATTTAGAGAGGCTTTATAATGTCATGCAAGAGACGGTAGGAACCTATTATCGAGATTCGAAAACACTAAGGATTCAATATAGAGATGACGAAGGAACGTTTGTAACCATTACAAACGAGAGAGATGTAAAAGATGCCGCTCGTTCGTGCAAAACAGTGCCACATGAAGAAACCAAAATGATCCGCGTATGTTTGCGAGTTGACGATTCTTGTACGCCTGTTGGGAATGCGTCCATCGCACGCAGTAAATTTGCCCATCCATCATCACCTCCTGAAAAGCGGCCGCGTACTACGGTCGATTCCAGGAAAAAATTATCATTTGATTACGACCAAGAAGACAAAATACAAGCAAATTATTCATCTGACGATGCCACTGACGACTGCTCATCAATGATATCAGGCATTGACACACCCTATCAAAGGTATGTCAAAAAAGTTAAAAACGACATAGAAGGGAAGAAGTCTGAACTGTTCGAACTCGAAAGGAAAGAACATGAAATACAACGTAAAATCTTACGAGTGAAATCTAATCCATCAGATGGAAAATTGTGCTGCAATTGCCACATGCGACTAGGGCATACAGCGCGCAGTTGTGAGTACGAGAAATGTTTGTCTGTGTTTGGTTGCGGAGAAGAAAAATTACACACAGGTGAACTCGATTCTCACAGTACACATAGTTCTATTCAGAAACTTAAAGGGGGGACATTGAAAAACTTGAAAGAGACTTAAATCTCAAGGAGACTACAACAAAAAAGCTTAGTGAAAGTTTGGGAAATAAGATTGAAACAGCCCTAATGCATGAGAATGGAAACAAGTATATAGAAGGCGGAATAAAGAAATGGTCACTCTTGCGCAAACATGTGTTTATTGTTGAGAAGTACTGCAAGAAACATTTTAATGGCTCGATACCTCCAAAGCATAAACTTTCCGATATTATAAATGTCGCCCTCGAAGACTACACGCCCGAACACAAAACCGGACAAACAATAACACAAGTTAAAACCACAAGGGCCAACCCCGCAAAAAATATTTTGGAAGTGCAAGGAATCTCCTTTCCAGATACTGGTATTAATGTCAACAAATGTTCTAGTTCTACTTCGCATGCAAGTGCAAATTTGGCTTATCGCTGTGCCCCCTCTAATAAAGACGAAGAACAAGAACAACCAAGTATGGTTTTGAAACAGAGTATGCTCGAGTCAAATAGTATGACTATGGCTCCCCAAGTTGTAATACCTAACCAGCTACAAACGCCATATCCCAGTAATATGTTTCATCAGCCAAATTTATATTATACACACCTTTATCCACACGCGACAGAATTTCCACCACCACCCGAAATGTGTGCCAGAAACCCCCATGTCAATACATATGGCAGCTTTCGTCAGTGCACTGAATCTCTTGGTAACGTGGCCCAACATCAGAGCACGATTAACTGTGATGAGAGTCACATATCGGCAGAGGAAGATGCAACGAATGCCGCTTTACAACTTGTATCTCTCTCGTCGTCTTGTAATACTGGTATGTTAAATGATCAACAAAACTGCTCCAACAACAATCAGTAATTCGAACGTATGTTTTATATAGTATCGTTGTGTTTATATATTCAGTACATTTGTGATTTGCATGTTTAATAATATATTCAGACACTGAATTGAACAAACTATAAACAGTATTATGTCAGTATGACATTTGGTTATTCTACTGTAGGCTGGGTTTGTTGGGTTTTTTTGCATTATTTTACATATTATTATGTAGAATTGTTTTGGTTTAAATAAAATATTTGAAATCTGAAATCTGTGACTATGCATGATCCCACGGCCATGGGGAATTATAGACACTCAACAACAGCGTTCTGTCATTTATTTAATTGAATGTTTGTCTCGTGTATTTTCTTACCCTGCTGGCAGTGGTTTCTAGTATTTTCTAAAATTAATTGAAAGTCAACAAAACTGAACTTGATTTATTCACACAAAAGTATACCGGCTTCATTTACAGAATTACATTATATATATATTAATTTATACTGTTTGTCTGTTTCTATTTTTAATTATTACTATATGTCCAAGCTACGTACGCAGCATCCAATGATAGTATAAGTAGTTTCTCGTCTTGTTTTTTTAAAACTTCTAAGTATAAATATAATTTTTATATTATCTGAGTATATCTGAAAAGCAGCCACGTTCTACGGTTGATTCCAGGAAAAAATTATCATTTTATTACGACCAAGAAGACGAAATACAAGCAAATTATCAATGATATCAGTTATTGACACACCCTATCAAAGGTATGTAAAAAAGGTTAAAACTGATATAAAAGGGAAGAAGTCTGAACTGTTCGAACTCGAAAGGAAAGAACATGAAATACAACATAAAATCTTATGAGTGAAATGTAATCCATCAGATGAAAAATTGTGCCGTATATAAATATTTGCCACATGCGACTAGGGCATACATCGCGTGGTTGTGAGTAAAAGAAATGTTTGTATGTGAATTTTATATTATCTTCAGTTTTATTAGAAGTGTGTGTTTCTTATGTGATTTCTAAAATTCATTTGAAATCAACAAAACTGAACTTTACCTAAACACAAAGTACCGGCATCATTTACGTTATATGCTGTTTCTATTTTAATTGTTACTATATGTCCAAGCTACGGTCAGGAGTACAAGCGCCTACACCTCAGGGAAAAGATACGACGTCGTATGATAAAACCTTCTAACATCCAATGACGAGATTCGGTCGATAGCCTCAGCTACAGATAATTTCAGATTATTATGGACGTCTTCTGAGAAATGTCTGTTTAATTCGTTTTTAATCTTATTAAAACAAAGTTCGATAGGGTTAAGATCTGGAGAATAAGTTGGAGTAAACAATAGTTCTATTCCCATCTCTGCCAACACCTCTTCAAGGATTTCTCCTCCTTCGTAGTGATGGACAGCCAGGTTATCCATTACAACAATGTCCCCTACTTCGAGGGCTGGGCGACCAGTCACATAGTTCGAAGCATTACAAGTTTCCGAAAAAAAATTCCAGAATTGTATAGTATCTGTAGAACCTTCGAGAATGTTGTAATATTCGGGCCCGTGAATGGAAATAAGTAGATTTAAAGTAAAATTAGGAGTTTCTCTTTTTCTGACAATTTCAACACAACGTTCGCCGATCGGTGCACTTCCATACATACGCGTCCCAACATCTGGTGTCTTCATCCCGGCCTCATCAAAAAATTTAATTCTTGGATCTTTGGAAGACAAATAATTGATGAATAACTGAGTATATATCATATTCTCGTCAGTAAAACATTCTCTTGCGACGTGGGTGATGCGCTTTCTTGTGTATTGTTTCCCTGAGAGAAGTTTGGATTTTATTGCCCTTGAGATTGACGACATCGAAATTTCCCCAACATCACCGACCTCTTCCAACACAGAATACAACTCTTTGATCTGTATTGAACCTTTCACTGTCTTAAGAAACTCTATAAGTTCGAGATCTCCGTCGGACAGCTTGCTACAACGATCTCCTCCCTTAGGTAACGGGTCAACTCGTCGTTCTCTGAAGCAAAAATTTTCCCAAATTTTTGAAACTGTACTCACAGCAACGTTAAACCGGCTCGCTACTGACACATACGTGACAGGCAAATATCCAGAAATCGTATCACCACCAGAGTTTATACACTCGTCTATGATCAGGTGTCTAAGGTCGGTATCAAGTGCTTTTCCAGAATGGTATGATCTTCTTAGCATACTCACATTAATTTTTTACAAGGTCAAATATTTAAAAAACGTGAAAACAATGAATTGAAACATGCATTCACGTTGTTCAAACGTGTGGGCGGGATTTATAAAACGTCACTATTTGGCGGTTCAAACTAATTGTTGTTACGTTTCAACATGCACGTTTGACCCGCCCATCGTGTACGTTTGAAACGTAAACAAACGTGAAAAGTTTGGATTTTGCGGTTGCTTGCAAATGGTAGTAATCGGATCCGATCAATTTCCACCAACAGCAAAGTTTATATTTAGTATTCAATCAAAATCTCACAGGACTCAGGAGAAATTTAAATTTCACACAATGACAATTTCAGATCACAATTTTTGTGATCACAAAAAATATATCAACAACTGGTCATAGTATAATCTAATTAGCACCAACCAATCAAATGACAGATTAATTGCGGACAGTGGATCTTTTTCTCCACCATCTTCACCACATACCCAGCGATATACGATATGGCCACCTCTTTATACTCAGATAGTTCCATGGCGTTCGAAACATCACAGTAGTCGTGATTATCTGCAGCTGGCTGTCTCAACTCCAAGTTGTATCTCCTTGCAATTGCCATATCAGAAATTCCAGTAGGTACAGAGTTGATTTCATGTTGATCCTGGACACTGTTCAATATCTCTGTATCATCTTAAGGAATGCAGTTTCCATGTCCTCCTTCGATGTTGTGCCTCATCAGCAGTTGCTTGTATCCTGCTACGAATTGGCGAGTTGTTGGATTATTATTCCACCCACCACAAGCTTGCACAGCTGGGAAAAATAATTCCAAGTGATCTTGGCTCATCTTGTATGTCAGAAGATACTTGTACTCACTTGCCTCATCGAGAAACCTCTTTGTGAAACCTCTTCGTGTACTGACAGTTTGATCTTCTAATCGGCGCCTTGAAATTTCTCGCCAATGGATCCCTGGAATTCAAAACATCAAAAGATGATCAAAAAACACGAATGCATTGAACTGTTGGACCACAGCCTTGAAATTGTGGCAATTTCAGCTTACCTTCACAATTACTCCAATGCATCTGCAACACTCGAACTGAGTGCCTGTGCTGCTAGATTTACCTTCATTTTCTGCGGCTTCCATTTGATATGAGTGGATCGGAGCTTATTGGCAAGATGTAAGCCCTCTGACTCTTGTAATTTATGCAATTCCTCCACAAATTGCCACTTGATGGTGTTGCCATCCTTATCCTTTAGGACCTTCCAGTCAGACATGGTGTTTCTTACCAACTTTATCATGTGACAAGCATCTAGGAAGATATAGATATTGGCTTTCGGGTCACATGGATGTTGAAAATATGCTTTCAAGTTAACAGGTGACAGTTGAGCACAGAGCAATTTCAACATTGACTGGTGAGACATGGGGCCATCACACGTAAAAGACACCACCTTCACCCCTGCTTTGTGCAACTTGGTTATGCATTCTTTGGTCAAGTTGGCTTTCTCCTCCCCAATAAGACCAGTAAGTTCACCAAGACTGCCATAAAAGCAAGAGCATCTGTTGGTTCGGGCAGCGAGTCGTCATTGATGCCTGTGCCAAGGTCAACATAACCGCGGAACTGGTTGCCATCCCATTTGACATGCTTGTGTATGGCCATCTCATCGAGTATTAGTGCACAAACAACTTGGTTATCTCTTTTTGCACCAGTAACGTTGGCTTTCAGAACTGTCAGTGCATCCTTTGTAAAACCTGGTTCACCGTTCATTGAACTATACCATGACCGAATCATGTTTACATGTGGCAGTCCTAAATCAAAACTTTCGCACATAGTTATATGCTTTAGTGCAACCAAGATCAAAATTTTCCGGATTTTTGCACGTCTAGTTGTCAAATCTGCGCGTCTGGTATCTGAATTAGCGAGTGCAGTTTTAAATATAATTCATAGTTTTTAGTTTTCACCAAATGTGTTTTAAAATTGTTTATTACAGCAGTTCATGTTCTTTGATAGTTTATTCTTACAAAATTTAACTTTTTAAGAATGATCACATTCCCATGCACCACCATACGAAACGTTCACCAACATTCGTTGCTTGCCAGAGCCTTTTTTAAGAATTTGTCTGTGTGGAGAGAGCAATCTACAAAGAGGGACAACACTATTGTACGTAATAGTAAGGGGATTTTTCCACCCCTAGGACTGCATTTTGTGAACAGATTTTTAGATGCACAGCATTACATTATATTGTAGATATATTCTTATAGAATCTTCAGTCAAGTACTTCCCTGGATGTTTATGTGAATACCACAACTCGGTCACTAACTTGTTTTGCGAATTAGTCTAACCTTCCAACAACTGAAATCTAAATGGTCTGGGATATGCTATCCACAACAACATAGACAACATATAAACAACATAGGTCAACTGAAATGAGTGTTTGGACTGGCGTCCCACAGGGTTCAATTCTTGGACCACTATTATTTCTAATGTACATTAATGACATTGAAAACTGCAGTAAAATTCTTTCTTTTCTCTTGTATGCCGATGATACAAATGCCTTTTATTCAAATTCGTGCCTAAAAACTTTAGCTAGTACTATACAAAATGAAATGAATGAAGTTGTGCAATGGCTTAACGCCAATAAATTATCAATCAATGCATCGAAAACAAAATTTGTCATTTTTAAATCAAAAAATAAGTCACAGCATCAAGAAATCATAGTAAAAATAAATAATGATATAGTTGAACAAGTACCTTGGGTAAAATTCCTAGGTGTATTAATTGATCAAGAGTTGACATGGAAGAATCACATCAACTCCGTTCTGAAAAACATAATTAAATCTGCGGGTCTGATTGCTAAACTAAGACATTTTACGAACAAAAACACTTCAAAATTGATTTATTATGCATTGGTCTATCCATACCTCACGTACGGAAATCTAGTTTGGGGAAGTACATACCCAACAAGGTTACAAAAGTTACTAAATGTGCAAAAGAAAATTGTACGACTAATCTGTTTTAAATCTTATATGGATCATTCTGAACCAATATTTTTACAATTGAAAATCTTGGATATCTACAAAATTAATGATTATCTATGCAGCTTATTCATGTATCGCTTCAATTATTGTCAAAATTTCCCGGACTTTTATAATGATTACTTCAAACAAAATAACGAACTATACAACTATAATACTCGAAATTCTACCAAGTTACATGTGAGCTATAAGAGAACAAACTATCGCAAATACACTGTATTTAACAAAGGAGTTTCTATATGGAATTGCCTTGATGAAGAAATTAAAAATATTAAATCATATTTTTCTTTTAAGAAAACTGCAAAATCGTATTACTTGATGTCTAGTTGATGTAAATATTTCAGGAATATTAATGACAGTATTCTGTAATGTACTAAATATTCCTTAAACATTTTCCATATTTGTTTGTAAATAGTTTGTGTTTTTCATTGCAAATTGTCCTTATGTACATAATCTATTTTTATATTACTGAACACTAAAACTATAGGGGCCTCGTCTTAAAAGTCCAATAGGATTTCCAGAGGTCTCTAGCCCGTTTATATATTCTTAAATATTCAACTTGTAAATATTATTTGTGGGTAAATAAAACTAATCTAATCTAATCTAACGTTCCTTGTTAAACAGATTACCCTTTAATTGTTTGCAATCCTTAACAAAAACACCGATTTATTCAATTTTCCCTCTGCAAGGAATTTTAATGACTTCTCTGCTGGAGCCAGGTCGTCAACAGAGCTTTTAGCCTCTTTTGATGACCTTTTTTAACATTTTGACATCGTCAAATACTTCATCCAATTCGTCTGGTGACATTTTAGTTAGTTGCTTGATATTGTCATAGCTGATCTTTTCTGTGTTGGTGTTGTGTACTCAGGTGAATAATATGATGTTTGTGATGTTACTCTGAGTGTATATCCACACCGGGCAAGCTAGAAAAATATGTCCGGCCATGGTGGGAATCGAACCTACGACCTTTGGATTACTAGCCCAATACTCTGCCAACTGTACTACACGGCCTGGACGGTTCGAGTAAGTGATATTTCAGAACAGAATCTAGTTCCTTCGATACCAATGTAATCTTGTAATATGGTGTTGTGTACTCAGGTGAATAATATGATGTTGCTCTCAAAATTAGACCAATATTGTTCAAAGCCATTCTCTTTCAAATATATATTATACTTCATTCAAAGAATTTGAATATAAAACATATTTTGTATGTGGTCTCAGCCATTTTTAATTTTTGATCACATGATCGAAACAATATATTTATCTGACGTGAAGTCCTCTTACTGATCAACACCGAAATGCTCACGCGCCCATGAGACTGTGGGTGCAAAACCAGGCTATCTTCTCAGTATGCACGGCCACCTGCTGAGGTATTAATATAGTTCAAATATTGGAAAAAATGGTGGAACAATACGATACTTCTAAAAACGGTGCGCGATCATTTATAAGGAGTCATTTAAATCAAAGTCAAGTTGTTCTCAAGTCTCTTCAGTCATGTAAACTGAGTGACAATCTCTCGGTGCTTGAAACAAAAATTAAGAGCTCCTTGTGCCAAATTGGTAGTGCAAATATCCAGACTTTATATGATCAGAGGAAACGATTTAAGGAGCTTCTTCTTCATCCAGAGTTTGGTCTGTGTGTTTATGTGATCTCTTTCAGAAGTAACCAGTGGATAACTCTTAGATCTGACGATCTGGATTTCGAAGAGTTTTTCATTGAATTAATTGAAAAAGCAAATGAGGGATCAACCAATCGATTTGACCTCAATAAAGAAAACTTTCAAAACCTACACAAGGTGCTGGATACAGAGTGGGACAGAAAGATAGTCAGGGTTATTCTTGGAGCAAATCGCTCAAGATCAGAACTGGATTCTCTTAGAATTGAAAGTGAGTCATGTGTGTATTGACTATTGTATTTCTGACCAAACAACCAATAGCAATTTCTAAATTGGGCAATTGTTCGGCTGGATAACTACACCAAAACATTGCCATTTTGGTTGTTTGGGGGAAAATACAATAAATACGCTTGAGGAGATATAGGTCCACACTCTTAGTCTTGCACATGAAAGCCCAGACATACATAGATGAGTTATACTGTTATATTCTACTTCAACGATTTCCCAAACCATACTATATATATTTATCAACTGTTGTTCATGCACTTCTGAATGTCTTAACCTGCTATGTTAATGACCTTGTACAATGACATACCGTATATAACCATGCAGTATGACGGATCAACCAATACCATTATTCATAATATTATCCGATGAACTTAAGTATCGAAAGATTAGGTCGCATGTGCAATTAGATTCATTTTTCACGAGGTGCGATGCGGCGAATACTTATCATTGCAGTCATTAAATACTGTTTTCCACTGGGCAAATTTTCTACATTTTTACTCCTTGCTTTGCAAACAAATTCGCACAGTTGTAAAACAGGCTTAAGTGATGTTCGCCGGTGCGATTAGCCAACACAAGAATTTTCCGCACACATCACGTCTAAATAGCTGTTATCGTATAGTAATAGACCTTTCTGGTAATTACATCACAGCTACATTGTTTTCAACTTAGGACCACCTTAAATGGAATGGATTTCAAGTTTTTTTCTCACTGGCAGTGCTAAAGAAGCAGAGCATCCCTCTTCAACACATGTATGAAAATTTTATTTATTTTGATCAATAAATGTGAGACTAAGCTTTAACACGATTGTGGGCCTTTTAGCCTCGTTTTTGTGTTAAAGCTTATTACCCGATTTATTGGTCAAAATAATAATTTTTATCATGCATGTGTTAAAGAATGTTCTGCTTCTTGTCATGGTGCTACTGCGCATCCAAAATATGCGCAAACTTGAAAAACTGTCTGCCAACAATTAATCAAGTTAGGAGTGAAATACGATATGATTTATAATCTCTTCGTTACGCAGGACATCCTTGCTTTATTTTAAGAATTTAAGACTGCTGCATTTTATACAATCATGTAGCATTAATTTTAAACTATTCTTTGCTGGATATTTTTGGTTTTAGCCAAGCACACTGTTACACTGCCCCTTTAACATTGACCTAACATTACGCTAGTTTTAAACTACCTTCAGCTATCGTTGGGGAGACATCTAAAGTATACAAGCATCCTGGCTCAATAACATGTTCCACAACAATTTGGTCCTTTAAGGGATCCGAGGATTTCTCAGGTACATTAATGCCTGGGTCTCAGTTTGTGTATTTAGCGAAAATAAACAAAAAATCATAAAAAAATAAGTATGGCCTTGATTATTACCATTCAAGTTTTATATGATTTATCAAAGGAGTTTCTAAAAGTTGACCTACTTTTCGTTGTCATGGCAACGATCACGTGATGTATATTTCGAAAAACAACACAAAAAATGATACTTTTTATTCAGAGGCTCTGCAGCAGTATATTTCGTGAGTGAGAGGACGCAGAATTGCGATAATCATTCACACATAATATCACCGTTTATTGAATAAATTTGGAAAGTTTACATTTATACATGGAAGTTGTTCTTTCGGAAGATAGCAAGTCAGCACTGTTTTCATCTATATGTGTGCCAGACTGGGTTTATCTGCTGGCTAAAGTGCGGATGCGCATTTCAGATGCAGCATGGCAGACACTTCTAAACCTCACACAGCTCGGGAGAACAGGGGTAAGTTTTTTAGTACTTTTAGTTCTCTTTTTGGAAAGTTTAGAATATATATCAAAGGCAATTAAAGCGCTCATTAATATGTAATAGTTTATACATGAATAAGTATTTCCTCTGATTTATAAATATGTACAAGCAGGTTGAAAATGCAAGGGCAGGCGAATTCGAATTAGAAATTTAGAAAGCATATGAAGAACACTTTCTTAAAGGACATTGGCGGTATATTTTTTATTGTGGTTTTGGAAAGAACTAAAAATTATACATGAAGTCCCTTTACAAATTTTTATATTTATCTTGCTTACTTTTTTAAATATTTGTATCTGAAATAGCATGCCAACTTTGTCTGATAATTGACCAAATTAAAGTGACGTCACAACAGAGATAAATGTATTAAAAATTCCTTGTTGCTGACTGGATTTTATTGAAAAGTTTCTAAAATGCATGTTGCGAGTTATTTGGGAATTGAAAAAGGACAAAAAATCACGTTCTAGATTCAATTGGATATATGGTTGGCAAGATAAAAATTTATTTTTTATCCCAGTTGTGACGTAATGCATATTGAATGCACTAGTCCAAGATGGCGGACTGCCCACTATTTCAAATGGAGATATTTCGAAAATGAAGAATGATACTGAAAAGTTGTAAAGGGACTTCATATATCATTTTAAAAGTTCTTTCCAATACCACAATAAAAAAATATACCGCCAATTTCCTTTAAGAGTATCTAAACTTACTTCTCAAACAAACTTGTATTTTAAAAGGAAATCAAGAGCAGAATTGACAAAAAAACGGCTGATTTGAAAATACAGATTTAATGTGCATTTATTTTAAATTACTTCATTAATTATTCATATTTTGAGAAGTATAATTTGTTTTGTCTCACCATATATATCTAATCTATAATCAACTGTAAATGTTGTCTATAATCGTTAATTACATGCACAAGCATAACTCGTACTTGCCGGCATAGTCTTAAAATTGCCCATTTTAACACTTGGTTTCGTCACATTTTGTAGAAAAAATCTGATTTTCCTATTTTGCCAACGAAGCAGCAAATATGCGCGGTGAAAGACGTCATTTTCCGAGCAACAACGACAACAATGGGAGTAAAAGATTTGCCTGATCCAATTCAAGGAGGACAAGTGAGCCTAACAGCTGTGTTGACCTGGTGCATTAGAGAGATGCGTTTAAGCAAGCTTGATACTAGTAATGGCAGAGAACTAAACTTCAACTTAAAGCTGGATGGCCGACCATTTTTGGGTAAAACTTTTATGTTGCATACATTCGGAAATACGAAACTTGAAGGACATTGGCCAAAGAAATTTGTATTGCCGATTGGCCGTTTAGTTTTCTATTCTATCTTTTCTGGTTGCTAAGTTATAGGCAAGAATGTGCAAAATATATATTGCTCATTCATCACAAAGTGTTACATCATCTGTTGGTAAGTATGTTTAGTGAATATATACCTGGGGCAGGTTGTTCGAAAGGTGGATGACGCTATCCATTGGATAATGATTTTTTAAAACCTTCGTAAATTTTTTTATTGATCCATATAACAAAAGATTACGATTGATATTCATAAATCAAGTTTAGGTTTTAATATTTATTTCGTTGGCAAAAACGGTGTTTCGCCATTATTTGTCCACTTTTACGAAGGCTGAAAAAGGAAGGTAGCGCTATCCACCTTTCAAACAACCGCCCTTTGAGGTAGCTCAGTTATTATGAGCTCAAATGAAATGAAATTCTGCACAAAGATAGTAGATGATGATGATAGTAGATGAATGGTACTTGCATGGTAACGATTCGAAAATGCATATTATATCATATGACGCCCACATTGATAAATGTAACTAGTTATATAAAATCAGTGTAAGGGGCCTGGGAACGACTGTGTTACATTGACAACAAAATTAGAAGTGTTTTTCAATACGTCTCATCATTTACTGTCTTTGTGCACAATTTGATTTGTGTTCCTAATAATTGAGCTATGCTTCAGTTATATATTTGAACAAATGACAAATAAAGCAATTTATTTGTCATCTGTGCTGAATAAAGCAATTTATATTTTGCACATGTTTGTGTATAAATTCTCAACTAGAAGAGATAGAATGGAACAGTAAACGGCCAATATTGTGGTATATTTTCATATCTTTCAGGAAAAGCAATAAAAATTTATTTAGCCAATGTCCTTTAAAGCGTTAAACTGTTTATTAAGCTTAACCGCTAAACTGCGGCGAGCGCTGCTTCTGTTGCTTAAAATCGGGGAGAAATTACATCCCGGGGGGTTACGTCATGCAATTATTCTCACTGCCAATCCTGACTTTGATCACACCTGATGTTATAACATATCCTAGCACACTTAACAACGCAGAACTTAATGGTATAAATATAGTATGATGTAAATAATTTCCATGTCCATGCATGATATGCCTGGCATGAATGAAACCAGTTTAGTACCACACAGTAACGTGTTGCAAAGCTGTGTGCCTGCACTAAATGTGGTACCTCTTTACTAGAATAATAGAATGCTAACAAAAACGTTAGAAAATTCATTTTAGAAAAATCTTCCCACCAGCGCACACACCCATGCATATAGCATCGGGTTTATACAGGTAAACTCCCTCAACATGCTTTATTGTATATTAAATATACATTAAATCACATTTCAGGAAAGGATCAGATATATGTTCGTTTTGTAGTCTTAGAGTTGTTGTCGTTGTTGTTATTGTCGTTTGTCGCTTTTGCCATTGTTGTTGTTAATAACATATAACAACACATTCTATAATCACTGCCTAATATATGTGTCATACAGTGATTATGAAGACTAATTTCTTGTAAATAAATATTATCTAGTTTTTCAGTATATATAACTCCTCCTAGTGTAGTATAATACTGTTTTAGGAGTATTTCATTAAAGCATTAAAGCATTAAAGCGTGTGAGAAGTGTGCCTAAGCGCCTTGTGGGCGAAAATGGAAAATGCGGACAAATTGCACGCGTATGTGTGACGTGTGCTAGTTATAATTTAACTACAAAGTGGAAAAGATGACTAAACTACAGTATCTTAAAGCTTTTATTTTTTGCATCATTATACAGTACTGTTTAAATGGTTGAAATGGTTTGTAACTTAATTTTATACCAAGTATAATCCCTTATCCTTGAGCTATAACACTCATTTTAACTACAGCAACCGAGCAGACTTGGTACAGTTTTTTAAATGTAATAGCAAATGTAATTCAAAAATGGTACAAACTACTTAAAGCACCTTACCGACAAAAAGATTTTCTTCTGCTAACTACACACTAGATATATTCCTATCAATGTTTACGTAGAACGTTATAACCATTACATTTATATTTTAAAAGCTTACAAATCTTGAAGTATTTTAATTTAAATTTTATAAGGAAAAATATTCTAAGGCATGATTCAAGATATTTTGGTCGAAAAGAACACCATTAAATCTAACAGAATTTGCGTTGATGGCAGAAACTACACAGTTCACTTCACAGGTATATAAAATGATTGGTGATTTCTATTTGCATGTTTACGGTTTTACGGTTGTTTACTACGGTTTGTGCTGAAGTACTAGTAAGCACTAGCTGCATGGCTCGATTTTCCAGTTTGCTTATTACAACATTTCTTCAATTATTTACCAGTGACTTTGGACTACAAGGCTTTAATCCTAATCGCAATCAGAAAAGAACAAATGACGATTACCTCTGAAATCATCCTCGGAGGGAGAGGTTATGGTGTGGAGCAGGTTCTCACACGAGCCTGTTCAGTCGAGCAGGTTCTCACACGAGCCTGTTCTACAGTTCTACATGCACAAGTGATATTACGAACAAGCATGTACCGGTCCTGAAACATGGACCAATAACTCAATAATGAAAACATTAATCAAATTTGAGGCAATGCATGTTCTCGGACTTGGATTTTTAGTTGTTGTCAGATTAGTTGCAGAAAAGTGTAGTACGTACTTCTTATTGAGGGAGATCCATGCACTAAATGTTTTAGTTGTGTATGTACCATACAGTAATCCATTCTGTAATTTGTTCCAGGACTGTGCCTGTTCTGGTGTGCCGGCTGGTGATACATGTGTGACCTGGTTTTGCAAAAGCAAAGGGAATATTGGGAAGTACATTTAATAACACTTTATTAACATTAAGCTTCAACGACATCTGCGTGGTAAATCTGACGAATTTTAATGGGCATCCGCCAATGGTAGAAAACTGTTAATTAATGTGCTGAACATGTTATTTTAGTTGGAAGGGTATCCGTGATGACTTAACCCTCCTGTTAGAGGAAGACATGACCTCCGTCAACTTGTGTGCCTTACACTGCGAAATGCGCAATACAGAGCAGCTTCTGGGTTCTATTGGTCTATTTGCATACAAAATTGGTTCCTTAGAAAACCTCAACAAAATTCTAAAACAACTGGGACCTGTAGCAATGAAGAAAGACTTCGTAAGGTAGACTTGGATCAAGTCCGTCTCTCTAGAGTCCGAGTCGCGAAGCGATGAGATTAGAGTCCGAGTCGCGAATCGACGAGATCAAGCGCGCCGCAAAGTGGCGCGCGAGGGAGGGAGAGACGGACTTGGCTCACCCACAATTCGTCGCGTAAGATTTTACATTGGCGTAAGAACAACAACGTCTGTGAGCAGGCTACTAAAACCTCAGTCGAACAGATTTGTCTAATGTTAATAAAAATACGAATCGCTTCAATCGTTTCTGGGGAAGTTTCAGCGTCTAAACAAGCAGCTGAGATGTCTTTTAACTGGAGACTGGCCACTTGATCTCTCATGAGAGATAGTAAAGGGGCGATGACCAAGCAGACAGAGCCAATACTTTCTCGTACGCCATGGCTTATAAAGTTGAAGACGAAGGGAGCTATTTGAAAAACTAGACTCTTCCCTGACCCAGTTGGAGCAACCATAAGAACATCTTGACCAGCCACATTATAAGCTTCGACAACTCTTTGCTGAATGGCTGATTGTCCATAATTTTATCGTATCCAAGTTTACGCAAGCCATAATTAACACCATGTTGAAACGAATTCATCATTTAATATAAAGTATACTTATAAAATTTAAAACCAGACACGAAGAGAGACAGCACGCTATATATTTCGATTTTTGAAACAAGATGCTTTGTAATTTCCGCTTTATTGCAATTAGCATAAATGATTGTAATCTAGTTATGACGTGTTACTGACGGAAAAATGGGTCGGTAAATTTGGCGCGCTTGCAGGTGAATCAAGTCCGTCTCTCCCGCGTTATTGCACCTTGTGGCGCTCTCGATCCCTCGGACTCTTGAGAGATGGACTTGATCCAAGTCTATTCGTAAGGTTAAGGGAAAGACGCAATATAAACCTTGGCAGTGCCAAAGAATAATATCAAAGTTGCTTGGCTTTCAGGTAAAGCTCCGCGTTAATAAATTGAAAAAAGTCGGATAACCGAGATAGAGGCCCGAGTATAGATGGGAAATCGATCGATGGCCATATTTTGTCTGTGTTTGTATGTTTACCCTGTACAATAACATTAAATGTAACTGATGTCTAAATTTTATATAATGTCACTGTCAGGGCCAACAGAAAGAACCTTCCTGGATAATATTACAAAAATCGTCTGTGAAGCCCTGCCGACGAAAAACCTTTGTTCCTACCTGACCACAGATTCCGCGGAAGATTACCCACTGAAAAAGATAATGTTCTGCGAGGAAATGAAATTGGTATGCTTAGAAAGTCCAAAACCAAATGTCACAGCTATACATAAGTACTGCAGTTCCGAAAGATTGCGTTTTCTGTATGATCACATATTTTTTTTAGTTTTTTAGTAATTTTTCCGCGGGAAAGGCTTATATCAGAGACTATGGTGTGCGGCAGGAAACAATTACTATACTTCCATCCAGTAAGTATACATATACTAATTCGGAGGTTTTATTAAATAGTAACATTGAGTATTTAATTATTTATTATAGGACGTAATTCTCTCTAATTACAATATATCATTGATGCTGATTCGTCATTTTCATCAATGCACATACCGCTGGTCCCCTATAATACAATGCAATCAAACTGAAGCCGTTACAGGATATTACCGTTATAATTAATGATATAGGTAAACTTGACATCTATGCTACGGAAAGACTGAACTTCTGGGATCATATGAGCAAGAGAATCGAAAAGTTCTCCGCACGACATTCATGAAGACGATGATGAAAAGAGCGACGAGGAACAAGACGACGAGGAACAAGACAAGGAACAAATCGGGGAAGATATGATTATCTTATTTGCTGCAAAATTGCATCGAGAATTTTTCCAACAGGTTATATTGTGCATCTGACTTATATTTATAAGTATGATTCTTATTCTAACGACATTCATTGTTTACCTATAATGCATATCCTACCTACCAAATAAATGTTCGCATTTAATAATTAGTCGGTTATTTAAAATGGTTTCGGATAGCTCATAGTGTATTGTCACTCTGTTTTTCAATTTGGCCTATTAATTATTTTATTCCTTAATTTTAGTGCAAAGAATGGGGATTTCAGCTTCGTGAAACATTTGGACTACTTCTTGGCACTGGCGACTACGGGCACCTGGTCATTGAGCATGCCTCAATGTTGATGCGAACGTTTGGTTCTATGCGAGATTTTAGCAATCAGGGTTTCGAGAGCTCTCATAAGGTTGACCGGAGACTTTACCAACAGGCAACCAATCACGATATGCATAAAAAAGATTCATCTGGTTAGTTTTAAAAAAGATTCATCTGCTATAACTATTCTTCAGTTCTGACAGCAAATTGGAAATTTTTATTTTCTTTCAGTTAAGCAAATTCTTGTTCACAACTACACAGATAGACTTCTATTCCTACGCATGTGCTTTGAAAAGGCGAGGGAATGCGCAAGACATGGTAATTATAATCAATATCTGGCCCTATTGTAGCTATATTAATTGGACCTTACGATACGTCATCTATACTATTTCTATTTGGACGGATATATATATACTAAATAAAAATGAAAATTGACCCCCCAAGGCCAGGATGTTATCAAGCCAGAAAGTTGTTGTAACTGATATTACATGCAGGTATTTCAATGACACATTTCTTATACCTTTCAACCATTGCAGATCGAGAATACTTTTTTCGTGGGTGTGGATGGAAATGAACCAAAGTGAAATGGACAACAGAGGATATACAGTGGATATGTGATACAAGCAAATTGCTGGAAAGTATATTCGGTCCAGATACTTTCAAATTTAGGACGGAAAACAAAAATGTAGTCGTGCACGAGAATTTACTTCCAAATTTCACCACACTTGGGCAACCTGAAAATGTCAGAAAACCAACAGTTGACACGAGCGGAGTGAACGGAACGACAATTCTTAAAGAGAAACATAAATCGAAGGAAGTTCTCAGGCTGACCACTGAAAAACTAAAGAGGAAAACAGCCAAGTGCTCACTTGCATTGACACATGATCAATTCAAGAATAAGTCAAGGAAAGATGCTGAGCAACAAGTATTGTCAGTTCCAGCGTTGGGTGGATATGCTCTCTTAGATGGGAGTATCGCGGTTAAATTAATTAACACTTGCCCAATTGATAATTATTTAACAATCCTCTTTTTGTACCTAAAGCAGCATCCAAATGTTTTGGAAAAACTTGAGTTTTCATCAGCAGAATACGCCAAGCGACTGGTAGAAGTAGTAAATGCGTTCAATAGAGGGGACTTTGGAATCGACAAGGTTATTTGGCTGAGACAGTTTTCCGTGTTTGATTTTTCTATGTCAGGAATGGTTGACGTGTGGGCTTGCAAACTTGATATGGTCATGCCACCTCTGGCTCCCATTTTGTCAAGCACCTTGCAGATGAGTTGCGATGCAAATGATTGTCCTCGGACAAACATGAATATTCAATGCAAGAGTATCTTTATTACGGCATTAAACAGGAGAAAAATTGCGAATCGATCACTCCTGGAAGAGATCGTTCACGATTGGCTATCGCCACCATCTCAGTCATGCAATGCGGTTATGGACAACCAGTTTGTACCAGATACGAATAGCGATGTCATTTAGCTACCTAACGTCCCAGAAGATCAATCAATGAGGTGCAAAAGTACTCTAAGATCCCAAACAAGAGTATTTACAAATGGCCATCCTTGGGTACTGCCTATTTTCTTTGGTGATTTAGCAAAACATGCAGTGAACTATCCAGTCCTAAAGATATACCTTTGCTCCTGTTGGGCACAAAATACTATTTAGGTGGGATAACGTTTTGGAATGGAAATCATTATATCGCTCGACTTTACCATAAAGGAAGATGGTTTGACTATGATGGTTTAGCTACACCTCTGTTTCAACCAATAGCAGGACTGGTCGTTCCAGTTAAGCCTGGATATATGATGACATCTATCTATTTCCACCAACAACTCTAAGAGGTACGTTGTAAAGTATCAGTTTGGTCCATTTTAAATTAATAAGCTGTGTTCATAACGTAAATACAATTAATATTTAATTTGGTGCATGATGCAAGTTAAATTAATAAGCTGTGTTCATAACGTAAATACAATTAATATTTAATTTGGTGCATGATGTATTGGGGCAATATTGGGGCAGTATCTCCAAACAATGCATTTGATTGATGTAATGTTAATATGCTTTTAACAACAGCGTACTTGCTTAGTCAATTAATTATTCATCATTTCCCCAAGATATGCATTAAAACATGCCAATAAACCTTCTGACATCATCTACTGAACACGGACTAAACAAACTTATAAGCTTAATTAAGCAATATTTTCAGTCATAATTGTGCTTAAAGTAAAGTACCGTTTGTCTTAGACTTTAGCTAACTTAAATTTTTACCTCAGCAGTCAACAAAATGTCACTGACCACATTCCACTTTCCGGAAAATTGTGGAGAAGGCGTTAAAAGGTCTCTCATTCGCAGTGTTTATAAACTCGAATGTCTTTGAGACATGATGAGCTATATTCACTGGGCATGAACGCTATTCATACTCATCTACTTTTAAGTAATGTCAAAACTAGTTACTAAGGTGATTTTAGCAAGAAAAATTTAGTTGATTCCGACAAAATATCCAAGGCCTTAAGGTGCCGTCATTTCACCATTTATAGTTTAGCAAAAGAGTACCACTACAATCATATTTAAAAAATTTTAACAATAATAATAGGAGAATATAGATCGATGTTTGTACACGATAAATAAATTTAGTTAACTGACCTTACAATTAGTTATGTCACACGAGCTCAGCTGCGTTTTAAATATGATTAAAATACTCATTAATAATTCATAAACCTTGTGGCAAATCATGTCAGCCATAATATGTCACGTGGAGTGACTCTATATCTGATAAAACACATATGTCATTATATAATTGTCCATCTTAATTAGCATGATTATACTATGGTTCATCCTAATTAGTATTCTTTTGTAGTCGTATTTTCAGCTATTCAAAACACTCTGATAAAACACTCCTACTCGTGTTTTAAATAGTACTAAAACGTTCCTTCTCGAGTTTTAAATACTACATATACATCTGAAAACATCAAGATATGAAAAATCGGTAAAAGAGTTTAACATATAATTTTAAAAATGAGACAATCTACTTTTGTGTATTGCGCGATATCCCTTTTTAAAAGAATAAAGTGGATTTCTTGGGAAATTCAGAGGTTGCATTTACTTTTCTACGCCCTATATATTGAACATTCATAGCTAGTTCATGCATACGCAATGCAGTGTTGGATACATGAGGGTCGACTATTCATTGTTTGATTGCATAGTATCTATGGATATAAGTTCAATATAATTTTTCTGACTAATTTTTTATATAAAACTAAGCACACAGAGCGTTTGTTCAACATTTACACACCGATGTGTTCTCAGGCTCAGCTCTTCGTGCATGCAGAGACACAATTAGGTGAATGTTTCACTGAATGTCACATTTTTTAATAAAAAATCGGAGCTGAAACTTATACTGTTTGGAAACCGTGTATAACTCCGGCCAGTGAAGGATTTCCACTTCTCTTGTGCCATGCCCCTCACCTTCAGAAATAACGAGAGAACTACGTGATGTGGGTACCTGTACACGTTCAGCATACCCTAATTTAGAAGATGCCTTCATTCTGGCAATTTTTTCTCTCATGGATAGTTTTTCGAAAGACATATTTTTGTCTTCTATTTCATGAAAGTTACGGAAGACAGCTGTTTCACGCAGCTTTAGATCGCCTTGCTCATCCAATGCTTTCCTGACTGGAGAAATCAAGTCAGTTGTTTCTTCAGCAATTCGTGCTATAAAATGTAGTACGAAAGCTTCTGGGACACAAGGATCTTCAATTTGTGTCCATCGACCTGTGAAATGCGTTAAGTTGAGATGTAAATCGCCACTTGTAGTCTTGTATAATTTAACATTTTGTTAATAACTTAATTCGCTAGTAAATTTACCCTAGTCTCCGGCATTTAACTGAGATGCACGCTATGTAAATATATATATTGCGTATTTATACCTGGTAGAGCAGGATGTAAGGCTTCATTAACTCGTTCCACGATTGTTGATAACCATATGCTGTATGCATCCAACTGGGAGCTTGACCCTATCAAGGCAGGTTTAGCGAATGTAATGGGTTGGTTGTTTTCATCCAAAAACTCAAGAGGAATTCTTGAAAGTTGGTGTGATTTCAACATATGACTCCACATTGACTTCGAAGTTTTAAATCTCTTCATACACCGCGAACACTCGACCGAACAGCTATATCTCGAGACAGACATGATTGTAGTGTGGTTTAGTTTGTTTCATGCAGTAATATGAGCTTATACTACAGCCAGCACGCAGCGGGGTATATTTAAATCCAGGCGTGCATCATAATGCATAAACATCGTACACAGTAAATTTCCTAAATCATTATGTAATATAAATAACGAATAAATACTAAAAGCCCTCACTGGCCAGGTTTATTTCACACAAAAAATATAGACCTTAACAGCCCACAGAACCATACACACATGTGTGTTAACATGGAACTGCAAATATTTAAATGCCACTGACAGGAAATAGCACCTTAGCCCCGTGGCTGTGGCACATTTAGCTTTCTAGAGGTTGTAGTATAAAATGGCCTTCATTCTAAAGATGGTTCGAACCACTGAGGGGAAAAAACAAATGCGTAACGAAAGAAAGAAAAGAAAAAAACAGAAACGCCACAAGAAACATGTAAATCTGCGAAAGAAGCAACTGCGCGAACAAATTGATTCTTCAGTTAGCGCAATCCGTAAACAGTTTGACACACAAAAGCAGCTTGCGTCAAAATATTATAACTTGTGGAAGGGAAGCAGGAAAATAATTCAGAGTGAAGGCATAGAGACAAGAAACAAAAGAGTTAGTATATAGATAGATAAATGTAGCTATAAAAGGCAGCTTTGTTCGCCTTGAAACCGTGTGAGTTTTGAATGCTACATGCATAATAATATCATTTGTATAATAGCTAACCGGTTATAACTAATCAAAGGGGATCTTTATAGTTGGGGTGTAAGTGAATCTCGGAGTCTATTAAATGGTATTAAATATGTTTTCATGTACTTTTAGATTCGTGTTCCATCTAATCAAGACGATCGATCTGTCAAAGTACTCAGTCTCAAAGATTTCACCAGAAGAACTGGAAGAAATAGATGCCGACCACCTGTATTGTTGGAGCTGGGTCCTATGGTCAATGTGTTGTAAAGAGATTTACACGGCTTGGAATAGAGGTAATCGAGAAGAAGCTTCACGAAGGTAGCCTGGAAGAAGTATATAGAGAAGCCCATTACATGCAATTGTTTTCTCATCGATGCGTCCCTCATTTACTGGGCATACAATTCGAAGATAAGCCTTTCTCAATTGTAATGGAGTTTGTTGGCGAAAATTTAGAGTCAATAACTATCCAAAAACTGCTTTATGATAAATTGAAGAACGTAGTATTGTCAACTAATGATTGCTTTCAGGTGTGCTATGATATTGTTGATGCATTGCATCATCTTCATCAAATAGGGTACTTGCATTGTGACTTAAAGGCAAACAATGTATTGGTACACAAGAAGAAAGGTTACCTTGTTGATTTTGGCAAAGTGAAAAAAATTCCAAATAAATCAACAAAACGTTACACCAAGGTCTACCCACATATTGCACCCGAAGTACTGAATGGTGAGCCAGCTAGCCCTGCTAGTGATATCTATTCGATGGGAAAAATCATTCTAAGCATAGGTGATAATTTAAAGAATGATCACCTATTATCTCTTGGAAAATTGTTCAGTGATCCAGAGCCTAGTAAAAGACCAACAGTCTCAGAGTTAATGGGAAATTTGAAATCTGGCATTAACACAAGCTAGTAACATAACATGTATAGCTACATATTGCCTGCCATAGCTCACTTATTTATCATGAAATCGCTTCACTAGAACATTTTTAATAATGTCTATGGGAAACTTTGTTATTTTCTGAACTAAAAGTTTATGGTTTTGAGGTGTTTATTTTATAAAATAGCATGCGCGACAAAATGGCACTAATGTGGTTTCTCATGTCTGACAAACAACCAAAGATGAAAGTCCTCATTTCACCCTTTTATAGCTAAGTGGAATACCTGAATATTAGGTTATCTTTTTCATTTGAGCATACAGATAACATTTCTACACAATTAGTCCTTATGAAGACTTATTTCAAACTAAAAAAAGCGGTTGTTTTTTAGAGCCAGACTTCAAAAGAAAACGCGTGTCTGACATTTTATAGCAGCCTACATTGGTGCACAAAATAATTTTGGCTAAAAACCGTTTCTTTCCAAACAGAAACATGAGAAAATTGAGCGAAAAGGCTTACCTGATGTATGTTTAAAATGTTTTTCTCTTTATGGTGTTTTTCAGTGCTTTGAGTAGAGAAGTGAATAACTTTTGGTTTTGTCACCGCAATTTGCCTTTGAAAATGTCGGCTGTCATTGTCTGTGTTAAAAACACCTCAGAAAATTCCTATTTTCTCACCTTCCCATCCTTGGTTTATATTGAAAATAAATAAATTCTTGTACCATATGTCCTTTTAAATATATTTGAGGTAATTAAAAACTCCAAAGATGAACAAGCACTGTGTTTTGGCTTGCACATTTTGTTGAATTTGACATAGCCAGAAATATGCGACATACGCGACTGCGAGGCACACACACTTTTGTCAGCGTGTCAAGTGTTGCGCATGAGTAATTGAAATATTTTGTGATATACGATCCGGAGGATTATCAATATTCCGCGGCTTTCGTCTGGTCTTTGGTTTCATTAGGATTGCCCAAAACCTGAGATTTCAGCAGTATTTAATGATAAAAACTTGCGTGTATGACTTAAAAGCATGTTATTAAAGACAAGCAAGAAACAAGCTTCAAAAAAATAATTTAGGAGAAGAAATTGACCGAAATCGCACCGAGTTATGGCCATGCTATTGGAAGCAAGACGAAGGTCGAAGTTCAGTTATCGGTCTTGGATACTCAGTCTAAACTACCTTTAAAACAACAAGGCAGGGACAAGGGAAGGGAAGATTATATTTCTTCGTTTTTATATCATTCAAAGCCGTAAGAACCTTATCGAATGTAGGAATTTGTATTGTCTACAACGCGCAGCGAAGGAATCGTATTGTATTGCTGTATTAGTACATGGCCAGAAATTGAAACCGTGTTGCGAAATTATCCTCGCTCCACTCTCCTAAACTATGCGTGATCCCTTGCAAAAGTTATATACAAAACTATACAAGAGCGACTTTACACTCGATTTATAACATTCTAGGGTTGTATGGTAAAAAGTTGAAGTCCGCACATGAATATTGGACATATACGCTAACATAAAATTCAAAAATCAATTACCTGGGTAAAATATAGACATTTCCTTTTTCGATGTGAACTTTTCTTATAATCTACTACAAAGCGCCCTATTATGCCACTATATAATGTTATCAAAATCCAGAAAATATGCCAAGAGTAAATCATTATTTTCCATTAACTAAGAACGTAGCGAAAAAATTGAAGTTCGCATAGTGAACTCTAATATATCGAGAGTGCATTCGAACTGTTCGTACTTTTCACGATTTGGACTCTTCCTTAGCAATTGCCGGAATCAAGCTCCAAATTACGATTATTCGGGAAGCAATATTTCGACAAATATTCATCGCAAACTACCAAGTTATGCATCAAACTGCAGCTTGTAAACAGCAGATTTCAGATCTTTGATGCGTGAAAACGCTCGGGCATAATTTAATGCTAATACACGCTGGCCAATGCTTGGTTTTCAGAAGTTTCAACTGAGCCTGAATCTGGTTCGAATCAGCGGAGTAGCTAATAAATGCGCGTTAATGCGCGTTGAATATTCATGACCAACTAAAGTTCAAGTCGAAAATATCATTTACGTCGGAAAGCTGTCTTAACTATATTCGAAGGCAGAATTCAAATGAAGTTATTCTAACTTTAATAATTCCTGTCGAAATATTAGTCAAGTGGAATAAAATTATAAAGAGCAAAAAGTTCTCTGTATCGTTTGTGGATTTATTGTGCATTTCACAAGGTTTACTAGGTTGTTGCCTAAAGCCAGAGATCGAATTGAGCACCGTTTAAAAGAATTATGTAGCATTGCTTCGAAATCATGTGTGGGAATCTCTGGGAATAATAGGGTAAAAAACTTAAACAAGTCAAGAAATTGGCTATACATCGCCACGAAGTAGAAGATCCAAACGAGCTCCCACGCAGAATCGCCAGCCTAGAAGAAGAGAAAGCCAAGCTACAAGAACAAGTAGACAGTCTTGAAGCAAAGTGTGAAAGTCTTGAAATGACGTATAACCGAGCTTGAGCAATCAGTGGAAAATGTAAATGATGAAAATGAGGCATTGCAGGCATATATACAAACCCTTCTGGAAAGAGACTGTTGCAAACACTGTGATTCCACTAATGCGAACAAAGGGCTTACGTATGATAGTGTCAGTAAAACCCAAAAGCAAAGGAAACTAAAAGAGTTAAAAACAAATGCAGAAAAATCTCTCTGGTTTCTGGAAACCTTTGGATTAAAGCTAGATAGTCTCTCCCTTATTGCCTTGGATGGAGAAAAGGTGAACTTACAGTATAATGGTTCACAAAAGTCAGCATACCAATTCCTTTCAGATGAAGATAAAGATAGAGTGAAGAGTGTAGTGTACATTACGGACAAATTTTGTGTTAGTGATGCTGCATATCATGAGTTTTCCATGATTGACCAAGAAGGACTAGTGCGAAGCTATTTGATAAAGCAATGCAAACATGCCCTGAATAAACTGTACACCATCACAAGAACACCCGGGGAATGGCCTGGTGCACAGCTGAGTTTTACTGCAGAACTGAAACACCAGATTTCAAAACAGGTAAGTACAATATTACACATAGACCATCTGTACACATAAGCTAAATGACCAAGTTGGAGTCAAATAGGGAAAACTATTTCCCATATTGGGGAATAAGCTGAAAAATGCAATTTGTCTATCTCAATTATACAATACTGACTTCTGTCTTATTTCATTATAACAATATAGATTGAACAGTTGGGTGAGCAAATGCCAAGTACTCAAAAAGTCAAGATCAGTGGTGATGGGGCTAAAATGTCAAGGGTCACAAATTTTGTAGTCTTGTCATTTTCCCTTCTCTCTGAGGGGGAAAAGGTCATGTCTGCCAAAGGTAAGCACTATTAATGTTGTTCTTATAATCCTATTACCATTGACAAGACCTTGGGGATTTGTATTTTCTTAAAGTTCACAGCAAATTTTCCAACAGGGACTTGGGGAATTGTCAAATTCCCCACCCCATGGCAATGCCAAAAAATAATATGAGAAACATTAGCTCATTGCAATTTATTCCAAACTTACCTAATATAAAACTCACAAAATAATCCCCCTCCCTGGAATCAAATATTGTATTGTATTGGCCTAGCCGTGGTGAGTGGAGGTAGTAACAGTATTAATTGACTCTAATGCATAAAGCAAATTAACATTATCTAAATCCACATAAAAGTACAAATATAACACTGTGTATCTACACAGTGTCAGGGGCATCGGAGCTGCTAAAAGTATAGCAAACAAGTTGGGGGAATTAACAAATTAGTTTCCTACCTTTCACCAATTTATGTTGTGTTCCCGTTGTGTTGAATATTTACCAATTTATTTGTTGTGTTCCTTAAATGGGCCTTCTAAAGTCATTTTGAAATGGCTTAATGTCACCCCAAGTATTGCTTACATTTTTTGTTTTAATTTGTTTATAATCTTTTGTAATACTACATGTAAGATACTGGCAAAATGACTTCCGGTGGTTCCACCAAACTTAAGGTGGCAAAGCTGTTTCAAAAGAAGTTTTGTAATACTACATGTAAGATACTGGCAAAATGACTTCCGGTGGTTCCACCAAACTTAAGGTGGCAAAGCTGTTTCAAAAGAAGTTTTTGACAAGTTTGTTGTATATTTATATATATCTTATGGAATGAAGGTGTTCATCCAGTTGGAATACTTAGTGGAAAAGAGGATTACAGTGTTCTACAAACTGCTGGGAAAGATCTGTTTCAGGAAATTAATGAGCTGATAGCTGCTGGAAAGATAAATGTCAATGGCAGGGAAATAACATTGGAGTTTTACTTAGGGGGAGATTACAAGGTCAGAGATTATTAAATATCAATATTTTAATGACACACAATATCCAGCCGGGATGCCAATTAAATGCTAAAAGAACTGCATGGTAGTATACTTTGAACTTGGTTTGATTAGATCTCGAGATCGATCAACTTGTCGAAAGTCTATTACACAATATGCCATACAATAATCTATCATTTTTTAATTTTTTAGTTTTTGCTTACCTTGCTGGGCATGAATGCTGCTAATTCAAAGTATGCCTGTATATACTGTAAAATTGCATCATTTGAAAGGTATCAGTTATCATTCCCAACATTCCAATTGAAACTAAATAATCACTTACTAATACTATATTATATTATAATGTTTCTTTTGTTCTCGCCGGGTGATTTAAAAATCACCAATATTCCTGCCAAGCTTTTGGAAGTCCCTCTGGCTTGTTTCTGGATAATTTCTCCGGGCCGCGAACAAGGGAATTTAGTGATTAACTCACCTGGCGAGAACAAAAGCAATCAAGGTTTGGATGTATGTCTACTATCATATTTTCCATGTCATACTGGTGTGTGAAGTATTGGGGGATGGCCCAAAATCTAATAGTTTGAAATATTTGATTCCAAACAACATTGTACTACATGCAGGTATGAATAATTAATTAAAATTAAAACTGATTCCCTTTTGTAGAGGGGACATGTCAAAGCCAGTAGATTTTTATTGGTCTGATGATATGAGAAGATCTATCCAGGAAATTAAAAATCTTTCCCTGAAAAGTGGCAATGAGAAGTTTGGCTGTAACCATCCACCCCTTCTTAATATTCCACTGCAAAACATTGTGCCAGACGAGCTCCATCTAATGCTTAGGATAACAGGTATCGTATGTAATATTTGTTACTTTCTGTGTAAAAAAGTGTTAAATAACTACAGATATAATTACATAATACTTGAAATCAATGAGGTCTGTGGGGTGCAGTCCATGCAGGCACTAGGCAGTCTTAGGCCCTGTTTATATGGGAGCCGGGCTGGCCTGCTTGGCGAGACAGCCCGGTAAGCAGGATGCAGCCCGGTAAGCAGGATGAATTTGTCTTGTGTTTACATGAGAAAATTCATCCTGCTTGCTGGCACAGTTTTGTTCTAATTATAGACATTATACTAATAGCTGTTTTGAATGGCTTCTCACACGGCTTCTTTGAACTGTCATCCGGCAACCGGGCTAACCCGCTTGCGGGTGTTTATATGGAGATATTTTCATCCCGGTAGGTGAGATCTTGGCTGTTGCAAGTGAGATCTCTGTAAGCGGGCCAGCCTGCTTGTCCATATAAACACACAGGAATTTTTACTATAAATCCAATATACGGTGAGATCTTGCAAAGCGGGCTAGCTCGCCAAGCGGGCTAGCCCAGTTCCCATATAAACAGGGCCTTATTCAACACATTAAATAAGCAGCTTCAAATTTACACTATACCTGAAAAAATAAATGACACTTAATTCTAGATGTTTCCAGCAAAACCTCTTTGAAACATTAAATAATCTTATTAATTAATTTTATCATTTCTGGTAGTGTGAAAAAATATTTGGAGCTGCTTATATAATGGCATATACTTGGATTTTGTAGATATACTTGAAAGAAACCTTATTCAAAGCACACTTGCTAGAGATAAAAAGGCTGAATTGTTGAATACAAATTTAGCAAAGGGAATTTATCAGCATAAACTGTGTGCAGCTATCAAAAAGTGTGGTGTCTCTTTCAACATCTGGCAAAAACCTGATGAGAACGGCAACAGCACTGATAAGTATGACTGGACCAGTCTTATGGGGACAGATAAAAAAAAAGTGCTTGAGAAACTCCCGGATACTTTTCCAGATTTTCTTCCACCAGATACTGTTGATACAGTGACATAAATATGGAGGGTATTTAATGTTAATTTGGAAGAATGCTTGTATTGTTATTATCACATAGCAGTACATTAAAGATGGGTTCAAGATTGTTTGCAGTTTGTTTACTTTTGAGCACACATAATGTTCACAAAAACCCAATATTGTTCTTATACCTTACAAATTAAATTTGGGAGGAAATGTTTAGTACTGTATGCAAGTATACCCTAAAAAGGTTATACTGCAGGGTATGGAAAGCAGATTTGAGCCCACCTTATTGACTGATAACCCCTGAACACAACATTTATCAACTTTTATTATTTTGCTCTGGCTAATGTCAGATAAATTTATTTGTCAATGAGAAAGCTCCAGAAAGTTGAGAATGAAAGCAATAATGACAAATTTATCCTTTCCAGGATTTTCAAGATGTGTATGGCATCCTAACTACTTGGAGCCCATCTCAGGAACAAGTTGATAGTTTTTTTGAAAAGGTATGTACAGTACTGTATCAATTAATTTTAAAATAAAGAGCAAGAGCACTGAAAGAACTGATTGGCAGAAACAACTAGCAAAAGTTAAATCGCAATCCTGGAAGCTAGTATTGCAGTTGCCTTGTACATATTTCCACTAGTTACTATACATAGCAACTAATGTAATGTTGGTATTGTTTATGTAGGCCATACAGTGGGTGAAACTATTTTTAACCCTTGACGGAGTTGAAGAAGGCTATGGAAAAGCCAACATTACCCCATACATACACATGATGTGCTACCATGTGCCATTCTTTCTAGCCTCTACGGGATTAAAATGTTTCACAGGGCAAGGAGTAGAGAAAACAAATGATGTTATTCGACGGCTCTACCACCTAAAGAGCAATAAATATGATTCTTGTAAAGATGGGCTCCAGGCTGTCAAAAGACTGGATGAACTACAAGAATTTGAGCGACATCCTAGGAAGTACAGGCAATGTGACAGAACTTATTGGGAAAATGGGATAATGGAGGAACGACAAAAACGACCACGTCTTAGTGTGACCCCACTGGAAGGTGATGCAGATGAACTAAACATTGATCTATTAAATCATGCAGAACTTAAAGCTAAATTAAAGCAAATGAATGTGAAAACACGAATTAAGAATGTAGACAGACTCAGACAGTTGTTGAAGGATCATATTTATGCAGCCCAATAACCCACATAAATCACCTACACAAAGAGGTTCAGACTTTTAAAGAGGGATATAGTCCACTTTCAAAATAATTTGACATGCCTCATATCTTAATATACAAGAATGAAAAACTTACTATTGTGGCAGTGATCTCGGCAAATAAATTGCTTTGATGTAAGAGTAATAGGTAGTTGTAATGAGAAATGCATATCCTTCCATAATTTGATATGAGGGATGTCATTTTATCTTGAAAGTGGTAATATTATATAATATTAATATGAACAGTTTTTAGGATATATACATGATTAATGATATTATTTTTAAATATATTATATATTGTTAGGATTACATGCTCTTTTTACAAAATAAATACTTAATTTTTCAGTATATAATATAGGAGCTTTCACAATTGCTCCATCATCCCCCACAACAAAATCTTTCACACACGATTTCCCCAGGAATGGCCTTACTTTTATGGGGAAATCGATTCCTCTTCCTGTGCCATGGAGATTCATGATATAGCTCCAATGATCTGGCCAATCGACAAACCTATCAAAGTCTTCCTTTTGATATAATTTGCTACCTCCATTGATAGCTTCCCCTTTACCTTGCATGAGGTATCTCCAAACATCAAGGTGGAATGGCACATATAAGTGAACATCCACCCCAGAGGACTTCAGCCCATTTATTATGGTTGTTCGACGAGCAAAACATGACTCTTCGACCCTTGACATGTCTGGCTGTGGATGATCATAGCTCCTGTCAAAAATACAACACAGATTATTATTTTAACAATCATGTCAATTTTAACATTTTTAGGCATTTGTGTGTGTGCTTTTTTCAAATACTCTACATTCAGAGAAACACAGTTGATAGTACATACCATCATATCATTCATATGGCTTATTATGACCTATTAATAGCATCAATATGAAATTGCTTACCTTAGCAAAACCTCGTTCAAGTTTTCCTCCGGTTCCCAGGACGACTGCGACATTGGGTAGCCACACCATTTAACTAAATACTCTCTCTAGATATTAAAACATAAACCAAATCTGAAATCAGCAAATTGAGCATTGAATTTGAAGTGAACTACACTAGATAAAACCATTTATAAAATTTAAACAATTCATACATACCGATTCACGGCCGTTTCTCCTTTCAATTATACGTTCCGCTTCGAAAAATCTCCCTGTTGCCTTTTTAGCTTGCTTTTTTTTCTTCTCCGAATATATATTGCTTAGATTGTGCAAAGCTGAATAAGAAATGGCAGGCTTTGCACCCCTCGTTGCTATACAATCCGCCATTTTGAACTAAATTTTTGGGTAGTGCTGCTGACCTGCGACGACTTTGGGGAGTTATCGCTGACCATTAACGGCGTGCGCCACGGTTCTAATATCTGGCCATGAATACAATTTACTGTAAATATTGGGAATCAGGATCGGGTGATCACTTAGTATTGCGTGTAGAATACTGAATCACTGACTTAAATTTTTGCTTCTGCGGGATGCTCAAATACTCGGACATTTTTGAGGTCTTTTGAGTATTTGCAGTTGGCGCGTTATTTAAATTTCGTGGGAAAATGAAGCATACCGCTGCGCAGTACAGTATTGAAGTCTCACAAACATGAAGCCCTGACTGCATTCTAGGCCCCTCCCGCCAAAGATCTTTGGCGGGGAAAAATTTTCTACTTACTTTTGGTGGCGCATTTTGGCGTAAATTTTAGCTCATCCACTATTTTTGGCGGCATGCAGTCTAGAAAAAATGGTGGATACGCAAGCTGCAAATGTTGAGATATGTTTAATATACTAATTACTAATGAATAATACATGTTTGAATAATATATGATTTATTTACAGGTAATTGTTTTATTTAAATAAAGTTCCTTTTTTTCTTAACTTGTTTATAACCTTTTCTACTTGCACTGTGCAATTTTGTCATTTTTAAATCCATGCCGATTTTACTAAATTAAATTATAAATATATAAATACTCTTCAGGCATTCAGCAATTCCGTGATAATTATTTTATTTATGAATTGTCTGTCGAAGTTGTAGAACTAATAGATCATAAAATAACATATTCAAAAGTAAAACAATATCCCAAGTATGCCTGTTTTTGTTATATACCTGAAAATAAAGTGTTTTACTGTTGCAAATATCTCCAGTTGTCATCAATAAAATACTATTAATTTATTACTGTTTTGTCTGTATGTGATTATGTACATCATTCTGGATAGGCTAAATATAGTTGAGTGCTCTAGGAGTGTAGATTTTCAAGGCAATACAACAGATTGTTACTCTAAAATTAGTATAACAAACAAAGCAATCTGTACATGGCCACATGGCTGGCATGGACACAATGCTGTATCTTTGTGAAGTATCTGAGATATCTTAAAATTATTGTCAATAATATTTAAAATAAACCTCATACTTGTAAGCATCTGTGTATTTTATATCTCTACAAATTTTGATGATCTGCTATTATGACAATATGACATGATATACAACATGTTAATTGTTACATTTTATATTTAAATAAAGGAAACTTGTCCTGATTCCTAATAAATCATATGACCTCTTGTTGTGTTTGTGGACTGGAGTCATCAGGTGCTCATTCATGCTCATCATGTCTACAAGATGTTCATGTCATCTGTGGAAAAATAAATGGTGACGAAGGCTGGGGTTGTTCAGTACTTTGTAATAACTGCACAACAGAGCCACCTGCAAAGAAAACATCCTCTTGGAGCATTGCATATCCTTCCAGATCACAAGAGCTAAAGCATAAGGTTCCAAATCTGAAACAGCAAACTGAAAAAAGTGAATGGAAAACCCATTGTGTATGTCTAACATGCTTTGAAAATGGAATGGAACCGAATATCTATGTTATGAGCAGAAGGGACAGCTCTACAAAGAATAGACATGTTTTGCGACGTCACCCTCAAGTAACATTGTCTCAAATTAGCATTGTAAACTTTGATTCAAATGGCAAAGAAGTCTCATTGGCCAGGGAAAAGTATTATGCAAGCACTAACAATGACAAATGTAAGAAAAATACTTCTAAAACTCAAGGAACATTGTTTAATTTTTGTTCAGTTAAACCTGTCGGAGAAGATTCCCCCACATTTATCTACAACAACAAAAAAGATGCAAGCAGAAGCAATAAAGTAACGATACCACACACTGAAGCAACAAAGTCATTTGTCAAGGTGCTGTTGCAGAAGTAAAGACACCAGACACTGAACCAACAACAACCAAATCAACTGCTGGGGGGCTTGCTGAAGCTGATTGCGAAGATACAGTTCCACATCAGAGTCACTCTTGTACCAACCTCGTACCCAGGACTAGTCGCGAATTGAAGGCGGGCGACATAGCCCTGGTAAACGCTGGTCACGTGACTCCAAAATTACGTAATTGTTACTTTTCTCAACCGGGGGGTGAATAGGTGAAACTCGAAGACAAACAGTTTTTATCTCCGAAATTCTTCAATCTTCCTTCTGAATTTTGCACTTCAAGCTTTTCTCAAAGTGCGGCGATCGATCAAATGGATCAATACTTTCTGTAGAAAAAACTCAGTGAGATTTGTTCGTATGAGACGTTTAAAAGACATGGGATATGTCGCCAAAGACGCTCGATCATTGCACAGGTTTATGGAATAGTACTTTGTTCAGTTTGTTGCGACTTATGCAAATTCAACTCTTGTATAATGACTAAAAGTTGGTTTGTAGAGGGACAACTTATACAAAAGATATGAATACATTAGCTTCAAACAGGGACAAGTTCATGGACAATGGACATCCCTAATATACGGACATTGATATTTCACCAATATGTAAATATGACTATTAAATATATAGGGGGTGTTGGTGTCGGCACTTTGATCTTTTTTTCTTAGGGGTTCAAATTTTATTGAACTCCTCCATAGGGGGTGTATACATTAATTAATGGAATGGCCCAATGCACCCAGATGCACCCTACTTTGTTAGTTTACTCTGTCTAACGCCAGACAATTTTACTCGTCAGGTGGAGGGTGCATGGCGCCACTCAATGGGTTAACATAGTCGATGAACATGCCAAATGATCCTTGACCGTGGTAGTACATTTTTGCACTTGCTGGATGATATTGCAACAAAGCATTGTTTCAGAGGAAGAGCACTGAGATCATGCTGTGTAGCAATTGGAATCTCACATAGAGCCTGCTCTCACATAAAGCAGGCAAGACCTTCACTCAGAAGCCAGTCCTGATTAATATTAATTCCCCACATAAACACTTGGAAACCAGACTGTCCCATCTGCCATATGCAGGACAAAAAAACATGCAGCCTGGACTTTAACTGTTAAACAACCAAATCAGCATGATAAACAGTGTGATGATTTTTGTTTAGCCCAAACCAAAGCCAGGTTTCTAGAATTAATTTGCAGAATCCTAAGAATTGGACCTCCAACTTGAAGAGCTAGCTGTGCTAACCAAGTTGCATGGGCAACCCTGAATTGACGTGACTAGAGCAAACCTTCAAAAAATAATAGAGAGATCAGATTTGACTTCCACTGCTGCTATTGCTACCAATCAGATTTGACTTCCACTGCTGCTATTGCTGTCATTAACTAACCAGATAAATTTCATTTATCCAATCAAACAATCGGATGCAACTGCCAGATCAAGTAGTGGTAGTGGAAGTCAAATTTGAACCCTTTCTATATGGATTTCAGAGAGACCAGTCATTATTTGCTGATATATTATTATAACTTGTTTAATCAAAAGCTACTATATATTAATTTATGATATTAAAAATTGATATAATTTTATCTATAAAGTGAGAATAATTTAAAAAAAATATTCATAACATAAAATGATTCATGCATGCTGGTGATTGAATAAACCATGAAGTGTGCATTCTGAATCTCTACAAATTCCTTGACATTATTTTTCCAGTACAGTGTAAAACTATATATATAAATGTGACACAGGTTGCAGGTATTAGGTTGCATGTCCACCAGTGTGCTGAAATACCATCCAGTGACCCGGTCTTGTTCATTGTTTATACTTGCATCTTGCTTAATTCAACTGTTTTTGCCCCATTTCTTGTACCCATAAAGTTCTTTTCAATAATCTAGAAAACTTCAAAATCATTCAGTAAATTTAATCTTAAAATTGGGTGAAAGGTAAGGGGTCAATAATAGATGAAGAAATCATTTCTTATTGTTCATACATATGGCCCCATCTCTGTAGGGTATTAGAGTAGAGATTTATTGAAGCCTGAAGTCAGAAAATAAATATGGCAACAAGGTTACATGCCATACTGCAGAGTTAGGCAATTTTTTTAAAGATCTCAAGGGCACAAAAGGTATAAATATAGATTGTAGGGGTAAGGGAACAAAATAATGAAATAGTGAGATTCGGGGGCAGGTTTTACAATGGGGTGCTAAAACTTTTCCCTAAAAAATCCCTGACCAGCTGGAGTGCTGAAACTGATGTTTGACTATTGAAATATCCTAGCAGGTTAGGTTCATCAGATTTTAGCTTTGTCAACCTGGCCACTCTGTTATAAATTTACAGTAATGGCTCATTTAAATAATTTCAGGTCATTACTGTAAATGTAAATACAAAGTATTTGAAGTTAATACTGCTGTAAAATGTAGTTTAATAATATTGTATTAAAGTGTAAACACGTTTCTCAAGTCTGGCCATGTGTTTCTCAATATTCACAATATTTAACTACAATTGTACAAATTCAGCTAACTATATTAACATACTGTATAAAATATATTACAGTAAATAGCCTTTGAAATATATATTTCATAGAGCTAGACAGTGTATAAACAAATAATGGGAATCTGCTAAATAATTTGTAACAATGAAATACTTCTAAACATTTTCAAATTCATATATACTGTACCTTTTTATACTTGATGGAAATCATCACAAATAGTATGTACGAGATTGGCTCCATTTTCACTGCTTCGAAATTCGAAACATCGCCTCCTCGGCGATTTACATGATGTGATATAAAAGAAGATTGATGTACATTCAACGTAATATATAAACGTAACATATTAAGAAGAAAGATTACAACAAAAAATAAAAGAATATAAATAATCCGCAGCAATTCAAGATCCATTCGTGAACTTTTCGTCGCCCCCTGTCTTCATTTCCACAAAGCCCGCTTGCAGGCTAATACTCCAAGAATCTTGGAGTATTTGCCTGACACGTGACCAGCGTTTACCAGGGCTATGTCGCCCGCCTTCAATTCGCGACTAGTCCTGGGTACGAGGTTGCTCTTGTACTTGTAAGCATAATACCAACCTGTTAAATTCCAAAATAGATGAAATGATTCAGGCAATGAAAGAGTTTAAAATTAAACATCCACTCCTGCTCCAACTAAACCTGTTATTTCGTCATTTCTCAGTCTTCAAATTAACAACGTGACTGACTGGAAGAAAATAAGTAACATCATAGACTTGACACAGTCAATTCCAGAAATTAAATTCTATGATGGAAATCACGAAAATAGTCCTTCAGTTTTGAGATGTGAAGCATGCTTCCAACTGCTTTCAAGTAGGTTAACAGGAGTCAATGCCGCAGCAGATCCACGAAAAATAGCACTTAAAGGGATAGGAAGATATGCAGGGTCATTGTCATCTGGACTTCTTTTAACCCCAGAGAAAACAGAGAGTATAATTAAGGGAGGCAATAATTACTGGTATGGAATAAAGAGTGCAGTCAAACAACATACTTCTTGCGATGGAGAACATTCTCAACTTCACTTCGAGGCACTCCAGTATGCAGCAACGCTGAGGAAGAGGAAGTCAAGAGGACTCGAAGTAACCGAAAAGCTAATACGAATAGCATTGTCTGTGGTAAAGTCGAAATCAGCAGCTCAGCAATTTGAACACCAAATAGCAGCACATATTGCTACAGGGAGTGATTTGGGTGATCTTGGTCATAGTAGAAACCATTTCAACGAAATTCTGTCGACGATAAATGTGTGGCTTGACAAACAAACAGCCAAGCAAATTGGAAAACCCTTGCCTTCAACAGGTTTCCAGCCTCATTTCTATGTTTCTTGTGATAAAAGCACTCCTCATCGAATTTCCAACCATGCCATTATGATATGCCCAGTCGTTAGTGGAAAGCGTGTCGCAATTCCAGTAAATTTGCCTGAGATTTATCCAATAGATTCGTTGAATAAAGACGGTGTTTCTGGGGGTTGTGCAAAACCATTGGTGAAGAAGAAAGCTTCGATCTGAAAGCAACCTGGCAAGGTACCTGTTGTGATGGACAATATCAAGCAGATGGATTTAAAACTACCATTTATCAAGAGCTTGGTGTCCTGATTGATCCTGTGTTTTCAGTGGTAGTTTGGGACCAATCCCATTGGATAAATCTTGCCATACTCGATATCAAAGATGGAAAGATTGGCTCATCGTCTGGCTTCTTGACATCTCTTGTGAAGAGGTCAAAGAACATCCATTCAACGTTCCAAAGGGGAAAGATGCTGAGTAGTGGTTATAGCGCTCGCAAATTCCGAGAAGCTCGAGCTAAAGATGACAAGAGGCAATTGTGCAACAAGATTTTGGTCATCACAATACATGGAATTCAACACCATCATTAAGAGCTACAAAGCTTATACAACTGCCTTCAGAAGCTATGGCTACAGTGAAATGAAAGAATATGATATTCTCGGCACGGACTTTGTGTTAGACCTATGTTGCATATGTGATTCAATGAAAAGTGTTGTTGACTTGATGATTGCTGTCCAAGGACTGGGCTGCCCTTGTTGGAAAATATGCATATTGTGGCCCCGTGTAAAAGCATTTTTAGAAAGTCTACTTGAGGAAGTTATAATTGACCCTTCTGAGTCGATGCCCATCTTGAAGAACCACGTTGATGAAATAATGAAGGGAAGTTTCAAGGGCCAGAAGCTGGTGCAAGGATGGAAACTGGTGTCTCAAGATGAAACCAATTGCTATTGGGAAGCAAGAGACATATTGTCAAAGCAATTTCGAAGTATTTGTCAAAGATACAGTTGAGTTAATGAGCAGAAGATACGACATATGCGTGCCAATAATGTGCGAAATGTTGACGTGTCTTGATTTAGAGTCCATCATCACTTTGCTATGTGGTAAAAGGCGAGATGGCAAGCCATGCATGCATAAATGAGGGAGATCTTGAAGAATATGGGACGGAAGGCTTCAAGGCATTTATAAGTCATATATGCAGCATTACGCGTGTTAAATTGGCCATTGAGGATGGTGCCATTGATATTGACCCTCGGCTAAGTCACATTGTGCACCGAAAATTGAAGCAAGCACTTAAAGATATTTTGTGGCAGGATAGAGAAACCATGATCAATTGGTTTGATTACGTCCCGTCTGAGATCAGTGGGAAAATTAAACCTCTTTCATCTGTTATTTCTAAAGATAGTGGTAACCTATCTTCCATGGAGAAAGTATTGGAAGACCACTCGTCCCAGTCGTTTGTCACCACTAGATTTCATATGCGATTCACGAACTTCAAAGGTGAGAAGATATACACAGTCCAGTTGAAAAAGCCCGCGGTTTATTTGTCGTTGTATACAGATGAATGTGTGTATTCGAAACTTGGCAAAGAAATATGTTTGGTCATCGATATTGCACTTGCAAAAGGTGGACCTGAAACAATCGTCGAGTCATTCTACTCCCTGATGAAGTGCCACAAGAAAGCTGTTGTTAAAAATAATGAAAACCTTTCCTTACGAACAAAGTTAGACTGGAGCTTGCACGGACCGTTCCAAGCCGATCGCATGGTTAAGGAAGTTGCCCCACTTTATCTTGACGGAAACAAGAGGAAAGGCCTAAAACCTCATTTGTTACCTATTATCGGGGACAAATGTAACTATAAGACAAGCAAAGTTATTGACAGAATTGAAAATGCTGATACTAAGTAATTGCCATATGTTTTGTAGAATTTGACAACTGTCGGGTTAAAAATACAATAATTGTAACGTTTTATATTAGCCAGAATATTTAAATTCTCTTGTGTAATACTTGTTTGAAACTATACTGTAGTTTATTCGAAAATTAAACTATATATGTTTTGATTAACACATTTCTGCTGCTTTTGACGTTTTTCGATTTACCAGGTTGTGTGTTTGATCGATAGGTCAATTTCAGCGCTTCTGACTGGGAGCTAGCGATAATTACGTCATTTGGCCCTGCTGCCACTGCGTTGGCTCAGATTAATTACGTCATTTGGTCTGGGAGCCTTGCTCTCATGAATCGTGAGCCAATCACCATGCGTAATTTACTAATGAGAGCAAGGCTCCAGGACCAACAAGTATGTTTGACGTAATTGATGCGTCAAAATGATGTCATCGGGCTCCAATTTCCATAGAGATTTTTGCACCTTTGGCGCATGTAACTTGACTTTAGATAGTCTTTGGCGGATCGAATTTTAAAGCTGAATTTCTGGTGTGAATCTTTGGCGGCGAGAAAAGGTGGAATGCAGTCGGGGTTGTGAACATAGATCACTTGTATATGTCGGGCAATGAAATTGGTTCATTTTCTGAGGCGGGCGGGTTTTGGTAATTTTTTGCACGTATTAGTATAAATTTTCACTACCTGGAGGGGCCGAGCGGTCCAGAAGTACAGCAGTAGTATTTAAAATGAAGAAAAACAAAGAAAACTATATAATAAATATATACCGCTATTGGCGCTTGAATACTTCAAATATAAATCATCGTGCCTGTAGATTTAACCTGAAGTTCAGGCCCTAAGATTTTGATTGGTTGCAAGTTCACATAAACAACAGTTTTAAAAATAGCTCGGTCAAGGGCTCAAGGGGGACAATAATAATATAAAGGTCAAACGCACGTAACAAATCCATTATCGATTTCTTCGAATTTCTTTTCTTTTATGCTTTATGGCAGAAAATAAATCAAACAAATACTATTTTGAAAGGTCTTTATCAAAATCTTTGACGAATTTTGGACACACGACGCTGAAAGAACAGCCAAACTAGTCATCTATTCGAAAGCTTGTTGTTGACAGCCAAGATGTTCTGCCAACTGGCTTCGCCGGCAAAAGTCTTATTTTTCAGAAATATCAGGTCCTACCGGCGTTGTTTTCTGAGCTACATCGCCTTCTTCGTGGTACGATTGAGAATTTTATTGTTGCTGTTAGCCCGTTAGAGTATATCCCTGGTATATCCGCGTCCAGCAAGTTAATTGAGACCTGGAGAAAGCTTGGCAGTCAAGCTGTACACGGAGTGACTAATTAAATCTTTGTTTGCTGTTCGGTTAAATAGAGAAACTGACTCTTAATTCTATAAAAGTACCTTGAATTTTAAAGTTTAATTAAGAAGCAAAATGTGTAACGAAATCTACAACACTTGTAGCCTGATCACAGACAAAGAATAAGGCACACAGAAGGGCCCCTGGCCGCCATCTTCCTAGCCAGTCGATTACATTTTCTGGCCAATAAACGCGCTGTATTGCTGGAGGCCCCGCCTTCTGGCCAGTCAATTGCACATTTTTGCATAGAAAAATGGCGACACGTTGCACGGCTGAGTGGCCCTTCTGGTACTGATCTTTATTCTGTGTCACAGACCTACATTTCGCCCGCCGTAAAATTCGCGGGTCCACGAAAGGCGAAACGTAGTTTCGCCCTTTCCGTCGACGAATTTTAGGGCGGGTGAAACGTAGGTCTGTTATCAGGCTACAACACTTGTCAATCATATTGCATGCTGTGTCTAAAAATAACATGTGAGCGTCCCACGGTCTTGACAGGTTTTGTGTCAGGCCTTATTTAGGGGCGGACCATTTGACTTTTGAGGGGGGGGGGGGAGATTCAGTCTGTGCAAGAATTTTTTTTCCGCCCAGGCGAACAAGACAGATATTTTTTCCTGTAAAAGTGCAGCGCAAGATATTTTTTCCCAATATATTTGGCGGCAGGATATTTTTTTTGTTTACTTACAAAGAAAGTATAACTGCACCAAAACCTAAAACATGCAGGGATAGAGTAGAGTACTCGAAAATGGGGGAGGGTACAGTATATGAATGATCTGTAACCTTGGGGGGTTCGGGGGCATGCTCCCCCCAGAAAATTTTAAAATTTGAACCTCGGAAATGCTATTTCCTGCGTTTTAGCCATAGATTCGTCCACAACAACTTTGCTGTACTAAGCCTAAGGAACACTTACTGTCCCTTATTTTAAACAAGGGAAAATCACAAAATGAGCTTTGATTAATATGTAATAAAACAAGATTTCAATAATGCAATTTTTAACTGCCCTCCGAAACAACAATGTTCCACCAAATATAGCTCTGTAGCTTTTCAATCGTTCATACAGATAGCTTGTTGGGGATCGGGTTGCATCCTCTTCAGAAATTTTTTAAAATCTAGACTCTCTAAACTGGCATTTTCGCATTAAAATCATCGTATATACAGTACGTTCAACTTGCATCCTGTAGATGGGCCTTTGAAGCTTTAATAGTTTGGATCTCTAGATGGGCCTTTGAAGCTTTAATAGTTTGGAGCTATGATATCAAAAAACGCACACAGCCTCAACCATCCAAAAATACTTTTTCTACCATGCATATTAGATATGTATAAATAACTTATAAACTTGTACATACTTATCTTAAGCACAGATTTTCTCAGGGGGGGGGGCAACAATTTTGCCAGGGAACACCACTGGCTATCGTATGTCAGAGGCTCCAAAGGCGGTAGAATCCCTGTGATGTTATCCACTGTTCACCCCGTGTTCTTTTAAGCAAATGTGCCTGCTCAAAAATGCAAAATCTTGCAAGCCTGTGGACACAATACTGAAGTGAAGAGCATCAGTAGAGTTACATGTAGAAAATTTTTTTTTGAGCGCTCTCTTTTGCATGATATTTTTTTTTCTCGATTGTGTGCTGCATGATTTTTTTTTTTCTTTCTCCTTGGGTTGCAGGAAATTTTTTTTCGAAATCTTCCCCCCCCCCCTCAAAAGTCAAATGGTCCGCCCCTTAAAATTAGGGCCTGCATGAACTTCAGGTTAAGTTAGCATGTTCTCATAGGTTGATATATAATTAACTAAGATTTCCGATTATACGCCACGCCTCCAAAAAACTTCTTATGCTAGGAGCGGTCATCTCATTGGACGATTCTAAATGTAATTGACGTTTCAGCAAGAATACTGGCAAAGGATTGGATAACTTTGATCTCTGACGTCACTTTCCTGTGATATTGCTCGAAACCAAATACAGTACCGTTTCGTTCCTGCGGGGAACGAAACAAAAACTGCCAGGCAAATTTTATTACGTTGGGCTGTGGTGAACAGGTGCTCACATTGATAAGGCCAAATTACTTCTTTTTTGTAACAAACAAATTTTTGTGAAGAGGTTATGCTCATTTCTTGGTGCAGAATTGAAACAACAGCTGGGCTTCATTCCAGATATTATCAGTATCCTTGAAAAATACAATCTTTCAGTCTATCTGGAACAGCACATGGAAAACTTGGTCTTTCCAAATAAGCTTGTATGGCGAAATCTTGTGCTGCAAAATATAAAATCCATATAGAGGCACAGGGATGCCTAAGTGCTCTTCCGATGTAACGTAATTTGGCGACGATGCGACAGCCGAAGTTCGCGTTATTCGATTGATTTCTGTCAGCGTTTGTCCCAATTAGTCCAATTAACGGTCAAAGTGACCAGCCTTCTATTATTTCTTGCTGTTAACCCTCATGTCAACCCCAACCATGGCCGTTAACCTCATGTCAACGCCAATCTTGGCCGGTTCTCGTTAAAATCTTTCAGGAAACACATGTACAGTAAGTGATTTTCAATATACTATTATATAAAGATATAACGTAATAAATTAATAACACAGGATTTTCTAATGATTTTCAATATACTATTATAGTATTATATAAAGATACAGTATAACGTAATAAATTAATAACACAGGGTAAGATTGGGCCGCCTGTGCTCACAGTGGCCCTCATAAGTGGCCCTCATAGTGGCCCTCATTACTATCTTGAAGACTGCCCAACTGGCAACTACCCAAGGGACGACTGGGGAAGACACAGGAACTTCCAGTATTTACTCGCAGCATTTCGCTTACAATTTGTAATTCTAGTATTATAAAATATTTTCGTTTTTCTACTGCTCCATACTCCGTGTTTTAGTAATAGCCGTAGATAATAGCTTTCTGCATGTAAATATGACATCAACCCTGCAGAGAATAATGCCAGCAAAAACGGGCTTCTTTACATGCAGAAAATATAAAGCCATGGCGAGATTTGCCTCCGTAACTAAAAAAAGAAGCGAAATATACTAAACGAGCTACAAACTAAGACAGCATCAAGAGTGCTATAAGAGGGTGTTGATGGGGGTATATCGTGAGTCGTGATTAACTCAATTTCTGTTACCGTTAGTCTTGAAAACACTAAAAAATTACCGTGAAGCGTGAGGAAAAAAGTACTGTTTATCGTTTCCGAACATGCACTTTTCAAAGATTTACCGTTAAAATACCAAAATTTTACAGTTAAAATACCAAAATGTTTACTGTTTACTGATTTTCTGACCTCCCCGCCCCCCATCTAGACCCTCTTATATACACAACCTCGGCCTTGATAACTTTCAATATCATGCGAAAACCGAATTCAATAATTATTTATTATTCTCGTAATAAATTTTTTGAACTTTAGTGAATTTCATGTCCGCGTTTTCCATGTAACCCAATGTTCAATTAACGGCCAGGATTACAAGATGCATCAAGGGGCGTAGGCAGCCCCAATCGAGTAGGGGCGGTCTCGGCCAGGAAAATTGTTCTATTTTTAGGGTCTGCGAAGCTATATTTTCGTGCATTTTAGTTAGCCTCCTTCGCAGGCATCGCCTTTAGATATCGGGCAAATTTCTTGCAGGCAAAAAAAATTGTAGTGTGAACTACGAGATACCTGCGGAGGAGGCTACATTTTAGTGATGTTTTATGATGACCTGAAAGCCACAGACGTCGTAGATGAAAATATTAAAAGGTTACGCACCAACCTCGTTCCCAGGGAAAAGCCCTGAGAACGAGGTTGGTTACGCGCACCTCCTCCAAGTTTCTCTTCAGTTTTGAAAGAATTACAAAATTGCTCCTGAAGAGAAGTGGGTGTGGGGTGTGGTCCGGACTCCGTGGCTAAGTCTCCGGATGTTACCTGCAAAGTTGAGATTACGATCTCAAGTGGCTTTAATAGGTCAATCCTTATTTTCGGCTTTGGAATATTACAACAGGAAAGTCTGCACGGAAGTCGACTTCAATGGTTGGAAAGATCAGGATAATATGTGCCAAAGTCCAACTGACAACAATTTATTTTTTATAGAAACTATTATGATATTACTATAAAAATGTTAATATTTATCTAATTCTATCGTAATACATTCATTTAAAACACAGCATATGCATTTGGCGATATAATGTATATGCGTTACATCGTCTGTACAGTATAACAAAACTATATTAACCTTATGTATGTCCAAACTATAGGTTTTACTATCCCAAAGTTATGTATAACGATGTCTATGAAGATGTTGGTAACTAAGCCATTTCTCCTCCACTCTTGATCTGGCAGATCATCCATAATGACATCACCATACCAAGAATCTATAAAAACAAAATATTTAAGACTCCTCAACCTTCAAAAACTTTACTGTGCAATTAACTCTGATAAGAAAGCTTCAGATTGACAAGGATACAACTACATGAAAAATACAAGGAGAACGTCGACGTTTCGAGCGAAAGCCCTTCGTCGCTACTTCTCGTTGACAATTTTGAATATCTGCGTCTCGAATAGGGACGCGAAATTCTAATTGGTCAGATACTATAATAAAATAAATTTATTTATTTTTTTATTTGTGCATGCCTAGTGGTATTTTTTGATTTCCTGCAATCTGATTGGCTGCAGCAGCGGGCAGCTTTTTACGATATCTTGACCGCGGTCTAAAAGAGTTATTTTTTCGCGAAAAACCGAGGAGTGAGGACAATTTTCAAACTCAAAACACTACCCAAAAAATTTTAAAATCCACCCTATCGATACTAAAGACAGTAAAATACAGTGAATTGGCTTCAGTGAATTGGCTTCAGTGCCAAGCCCGAAATGTACTTTTCTCCCACCAAACTGCGAAAAAACCACAAATATAAACATCGAAAAACACTTGCCAGTGCTACATGTTTTGATTCAAATGTTCTACATATATTCAGCTATTCTTCGAAAATATATACGTATAAATATAAATAGTACAACGTACAACTTGTCCTTAAACATAAAATTTAAAAAAAAACACCTTAAATGCCAGTTTAAAGACGATTCCTGGGCTTATTCGGGAAAAATTGTTTTTATAAATGTTGTAAAGAACAAATTGTTTTTCGGCAACTAAAATTTGTATTTGTCTGTCAAAAAGCATTTTTCAAGCATGTCCATGCTGCAAAACGAATCGGAAAATAAATATTTTTACTTTGTTTACCTTCTGTTTTCATGTTGAGTAGAAAGCGTCTATTGCAATGAAACTAAAAGCTTTTTATCCAGCTTTTATCGCGTCGTTTTAGCAGTTTGTCAGCCATGCTTGCACTATTAAAGTAACAAACGCAACAGATCTCAAATGTGCTTCGCAACTGGAATTTTATCGGAATTTCATTGTAACCATGAACTATCAAATAAAAAAATAAACACGTTATTTACCGTTTACGTCGGTCCGTACTAAAAAACTATTTTCCCTCGGCCTCAGAAGCGTCCCTCGGCCTTTGGCCGCTTCTGAGACCTAGGGAAATATTTTTTCAGTACGGACCTCGCAGCTGGTAAATAACATATATATGTTTCTGCTGAGCTCTATATATGTCAACTGCTGAAGCACTATGCATTAATGCATAAAAACACATCAATTGATCAAATTGGTTTTGGCCATCTTATCTCAAAACACGAAATGTTCTGTTTTGAGAAAACAGCATTTAAAATATTTAAATTTTTCCTGGAATATCTTATATTTTGAAAAAACAGCATAAACTGCACGGTCTAAATCTAATTTGCACGAAAGTTGTAAACAACACCAAAGGATAGACATTCCTGATTCCATATTTGCAAAAACGAACGTTTCGGGGCAGATATTCAAAATTGTATGTCATCAGTGCAAGCTCTCATTTCACCTAGAGAACCTGCTCGCAGGCTAGTTGGCCTTCCGCCGCTACTTCCTTGTTGTTGGTCCGATAATCACTGGAATGACATGCATAACTGATAACTTTCATATTTCATAGCATACCTGAATAACAGCGAAACCAATACCAACACCAATCACAATGACGAGATTGTTTTTAAGATCATCTTTGATTTGATTATAACAACCCTATAGTTGACATGGTTTCAACATTAAAACAGTCATCTTTAAGTACTATGTAAAACACGAGCAAGAGTACTTTATCAGATATAAAACACGAGTGTTTATGTACATGAACATGATTTTTTGTCACATATAGCCTGGTCGGCAATGATTTCTTTTGTATTTTTCTCATCAATTATTAATGATGCTTGTGATGTTACATTGAGTGTATATCCACATAGGGCAAGCTTGAAAAATATGCCTGGCCACGGTGGGAATCGAACCTACGACTTTTGGAATACTAGCCCTTGGAATGCTCTGCCAACTGAGCTACGCGGTCAGGTCGGTTCGAGTATGTAATATTACTGGGTCAAGTAAGTTCCTTCGATATCGATGTAATCTAGGAATCATAATTTTTTTCTGTGTTGGTGTAATGTACTCAGGTGAATATGATGCTTGTGATGTTACTCTGAGTGTATATCCACACCGGGCAAGCTGAGTACATTACACCAACACAGAAAAACTCATGATTACTGGATTACATCGATATCGAAGGAACTTGACCCAGTTCCGAAATAGCGTAGCTCAATTGGCAGAGCATTGGGCTAGTATTCCAAAGGTCGTAGGTTCGATTCCCACCGTGGCCAGGCATATTTTTTAAGCTTGCCCGGTGTGGATATACACTCAGAGTAACATCACAAGCATGATATTCACCTGAGTTAGCTGAGTACATTACACCAACACAGAAAAAGTTCATAATTATTGATGAGTTTTTAAATTATACTTATGATTCAGTTATATTTCGTATACTCTGGACGACGAAAACTGGCCATTGCCGTGTTCGGGAAACTGCTGTAATTTTGAAACATTCACATCAGGAAAAGCACATGGACTACCACGTTCACTTCAAAATTTAAAGAACTTTATGCATGCAAACATGGGTTCTTGCAGATGAACATTTCGAAAAGTATATTACGATAACCGCGAATGCTTTTTTCGCCCAAAAATCGTGCCATGGTTTTGTGTCAAAACATTCCAAAATGCGACTACATTCCTACGCCTATTATTGTTAAAATGTGAAACTATTATTTTTTAGTTGATCATCAGACTCGTGAAATATTTGTACATGTAGTGGATAACAGACTCAGTTCATTAAGACATGATCAACTTAGGCATCCGCCTGTTTTATACGTCGAATTTTAGTCGCGTCGAATGCAATTAAGACAATAGATGAGATGATCAACCTCATTAAGCTTCATTATCTATTGTTTGAATTACATTCGACGTATAAAACAGGCCTAAGTATATGTAATTTATTATAGGCCTAACACAATAATTTGTCATTCAATTTTGGTTAGCTCGTGTTTTATGCATTCCTCAATGTTGGAACAATACTACAAGATAAGACATTATCATTTAGTATACATTGACTCCTCTTACTCTGTGGTATAGGGCTTGGTTATGGTGAACTCAAAAACTATAACTATCATGATACGTACCTTATCTTTATACGCCTTCCCCATGCAAGTGTCATTGATTTGCGGGTGATATATGTAGTCACTTTTACCATTTACTCCGCAACACTCAAACTAAAGATTAAAGTTAAAAAAAATTACAGTGTAACTCTGTTAAATAAGGTGATGAAGCACAGCCCAAAAACGTTGCCAGCGTTACCAGGCTGTCAATACATCAACCTTGTTATTGTTTCAGAATATGTACTTTGGTTTAGAATAACTTTACCAATTATTTTTTATTTGGTCTACACATATGGCCCCTAATATGCCATAAATTTCAAAACAACAAACCTCTTCTTCAAACTTTTCCCAAGCCTTCCTGTAATCATTGTCAGTAACGGTCCCATTCAAACACCCCTTCAGTTCATCTTCAACCTGCAAACAGTCACGTGATAGATTTAGATAGCACGTTTACTCAATTCACCGTATTTACAGTATGAAACTGAATGATAATGCTTTAACTGACGGGAAAATTTTAAACAGGGGTTTACTACAGAACTTACATATATGCATGTTTCATTTCAAATGTTTCTTTAATACCTTTGATTTTTCTGTAGCAGCATAGATACCAGCAGCAAGCTCCAAGACGAAAATTATCAACAGAAAAACGAAGAACTACAAACATAAAATATTTCTATTGAATTCCTTGTGTTTTGTTCAAGATTACGATAAGGGAATAAGAAAAGGTGAATATGCTTCAGACCAACATTGCTGCTCGGTGACCCAAGGCACTCTCTTGGCTACTATATGTAAATCAAGAATAAATGACATGATATTTGTTTTTGTATTGAAAGTTTGAAAAATGCCTACATTTCATCCCTGCTGCCGCAAACGAAAAAAAGAGTCAAATCTTTTATTGTATGGATCTCCAAGTTCATGTACGTATTGGGGAAAACTGTAAATTGTTTTACACTGAACAAAACTATATTTAGCGGTCCACACAAGAAGAACAATTATAATAAATCTTAATTCTGTTTATCTTGGAACTATATTAATTTTATACAAGTAAATGAGAAAACTTTATTTATTATTTACATCAAAATATGTTTTATACATGCAGTACATAAAGCATGCAGTTAATCCATAAAAAAACTTAACGTGTCCTTTAAAATCCTTTCTTTATCGATCGCATTAAATCACTATTTGTGAGGCAATTCAAGCCAGACAATTAATCCAAACAAAAGGATGCAAGAACAGTCACGTGCCCAAAATAACAGGTCTGTACATGTTATGCATACACAGTACAATAATATAGTGGGGTATATATTAATTATGCGTAATCAGGGTTCGTAGTCTCCAAGACCAAAAAAATTCAAAGACTTTCAAAGATTTTTTCTGCCTATTTTCAAAGACTTTTCAAAGACCTTTGAGAGCAATCAGCTGTCGAAAAATTGCGAGTGTAAGCACCATTTTTACCCAGTAATTAGTCCGGTCAAATCACATCCTAAAATGCGCATATTCGTCGATATTTAATGCGAAAATCTTGATTCAATCGATCTATTTTATTAGCTAGGAAATCGTATAATCAATTCCTTACTAAAGAATTTAAAGACTTTTAAAGAATTTAAAGACTTTTAAAGATTTTCTTCGCTTTTTCACACAATTTAAAGACTTTTCAAAGAGCTCAAAGACCTGCATTCCAATTTAAAGACTTTCAAGGATTTCAAAGACCGCTACGAACCCTGGTAATATAGAAATTTAGATAAACTTACAATTCCCAGTAAACATGAGCTTTCTTTCCAGGCACCATAGCAACCAAAGAAAGCGACAACAAGGATAATTGCACCAACAGCAAGTAAGAGATTCGCCCCAGTTGCCCATGAATATTTATCACAAAGATCCAAATAATCATCTTTTTCTATACGCAGGTAGGCCCCAGTTCCTACAAGGCCAGCACCAGTGATCTAAATAAGATATCAAACATAAAAATATAAACTGTATATGGTACATCATATTGGGTGTCTTTTGCGACTGAAAAATTTACGAATTAAAACAAATACAGTATCTCAGGTATAGAGAATACTCCATGAAAAGTATGAATTTTTTTCAACTAAACGTAACAATTTCTACACTGGCGATTTTTTCACAAATTAAGTTGGCTAAATAATTATTTTTACTAATAGAAAACGCTCAAGGCAGTGAAGTCATTTTTGTTAAATTTTTTATACTCTTCACGAACCATTTTCTATAACTCAGATACCATTTGCTTTTCAACAAGTAACCATTGTTCAAAAATTCCTCCCTAAATGGTTTAAAATTTTCCTCTTGCCCAAAAACAGTAGGGAGCCAACCTTAACGCGTTAAACCAATAATGATCAATACTTTCCCCCTGCTGTGTGAAATTACCTTTGTGCATGCTGAATAGGTTTAACATGCGGGCTGATTGATAGACTGGTTAACTCAATTTAATGCCCAGCTCCATAGCCTGTCAAGATATAATGGTCTGGAAGCCCGGTAAACTTCAAAGCCACAATACAGAAGGCCTTTGTTTGATGTAGAACTGTACCTCACCATGCACAAATCCTTTGTCTCAACTTCATTTAAAGTGCCTATGCGACAATTTTTATGATTGAATTGCAAAGTTCATTTAAAATTATAATATAACTTGTTTTTTAAAACTTTGTAATCTTTCCTATTTGTCAAGATTTTCGACTTTGTTTGATATACAAATGTGACTTAAATGACGTCACACTGCATAATGCTTTTACAGAAGACTGTGTTGTAGCTTGTTAAAATTCTCATTATCTCAAATTTACAGACGAAATGATCGCTTTGATAGCTCTTAAAGTATATCACTTTCAATGTCAGTGGAATTATTACATGTTTGGCAAGGAAACGTTTTCTTTCTGAAAACTCATTATGCAGTGTGACGTCATTCAAGTCACATTTGTATATCAAACAAAGTCGAAAATCTTGACATACAGGAGAGAATACAAAGTTTTAGAAAACAAGTTATATTATGATTTTACATGAACTTTGCAATTCATTCATAAAAAAAATTGTCGCATAGGCACTTTAATTAATATTATTCATTGTGGTTGCATACTTGCATGTTTCATCTCAGCTATCCCTATTGGACGATTACTTTAGTACTTTGCTATATGAAAATACAATGAGCTCAATCACTGTGATCGTGCACAAATTAACATAAGCTCAGACAAAAACATAGTACAATGGCTTCTGTTTAGTTTCCAGACTATCATATCTTGATAGACTATGCCAGCACTTTCTCACCCATAACGAGTAATATTGCTGCTGTGAAATAATCGTAAAACAGAGTACACACACTAGACAGAGCAAAAATAACGACATATGGCCGTAGTGTACATTGCAAAAAACTTTGATTCAAAAACGTGAGTAAAATAATGCACCCACAAAAAATTGAGTACATTTGAAATTTTACTCAAAAAATGAGTAAATTTGCTAATAAATTTGCGAAAATTTGAGTCACTTGGATGCATTATTTTACTCACGTCTTAAGTCAAAATACTCGCGGACTTTTTGCTAAATGTAATGGGCTCAACGTGTTTGACAAGGAATATCAGAAATTAATATATACACAAGGTCTGGATATGAGGTATTCTGCAATCTGATTGATTCTCTACTAGCAGGATATTAGCTCAAATCCTGCTAGTAGAGAAAAACAAAATGGCGGCTCAAATTGAATTTCCGACGATTGCGAACGTACGAGAAAACGGCAAGTTGTTCGCTTTTTATAGCCTTTACAGGATTAAAAACACAATGAAAAAACTCCCACAAATTGTTTACAGGTTAGCAACTTTTAAATTTAAAATGGCTAAAAATATATATTTCTGAAAAAATAATCGGCCAAAAGAGCGATAAAAACATAATCCGAAAAGCAAAGTCTGTGAATTCAGACATTGTGTATATAATAAAACAGTTATTCCACTCAGTCTCGTTGAATATGAGCGAGGGAATATCAGCTATCGAATATGAGCGAGGGAATATCAGCTATCGAATATGAGCTAGAGAATATCAATATTCGACTTGAGTTCGTAGAATAACTGTTAAATATTAAAAAATACATTTCGAGCAAAGGCTCTTCGTCTGAAAGCTCATTAGTAGAATAGACTGTGGACTCACAGTGTAATAATTTCCACGCAACTAATTTCCGGGCAAGGGGTATTCGCTCAAAATGTCGGATTTAATAAAAGTTCTCAGTTTCTATTCTTCGTCACCTTAACAGGCACCCTGACGCACCAAACATTCCAGAACAATATACTGTACAGTTGTCTGGTTAGCACATTAATGCCCTCTGTTGACATTAAAGTAATCAATTAACCATTTAACCATTATACGAAAATATCCTATAGGAATCACTCTTTCAATTCTAGAAATTCCTATTGGAATTCGTATTAAACATTGGCCCAAATTCCTATAGGAATAGGAAATTTCCTATATAAGAATTCCTTATTCCATAATGGAAAGTGGAAACTTATTCGTACAATCTCCGTTGACCCGATAGGGGACGATAGCCACAGTGCGCTTATGAGAGGCAATCACTCCCCTGGCGCTACGCCGTGCGGAAGTAAAGACCCTGGCTAGCGAGGTTGCTATGGCGTCAGCATTTTGATGACGAATTACGGTTACGCCAAAATCATAGGAAAAACCAAGAAATCGATCTTCTGTTTGTCTGTATTATGTGCTAATACTTATTTCTACAATTATATGGAATAGTGGTATACAGTACTTAGTACTTACAAAGAAGATAACATTAAAGAAGAACACCAAGTATCTTATGCACGTATAACCACACATCTTGCTATCTTTCTTTGAAATACCTGAAGATAAAAACAGAGCTAAATCAACGGTTTGTCTGCAGGTGTAAAATACGGGGGGTAATTGTACAATTAATTCTACGGTTAATTAAAGAATGGTACTAGTAGCGCTAGCTTCACAAAGCAACAAAATTTGGTCAACAGGGGGAGGTCACATTAAAGTTGGCCATTTTATGTTCCACACCCCCCCCCCCCTATATTTTTGGCGCCGGTATACGCCCATGCTAAAGACTAAAATGTGCGAGCATTGAGTAACTACTTTAAATACTTCATGTTCGGAAAATATAATGGTTTTGTCAGGTTGTCAGCAAGGTTGTCTGCATGCATGTATTTCCTAGTCCAGATTAAAATAATTGATGCATTAGGTTCGGCGCATGAGAAGAGCGACGTTTGAACTGCTGTCGCTCCAGAGTCGCATAGTGCGCCCAACGTCGCTCCAAATGCCTCTGTCGCACCTATTCCATTCTGTCGAACTTTAACCTAATCAAACGTCGCTCTTGTAGAGTCTTAATTGTGAAGCACCTAATACAGTTATTAGGATCGGCGCATGAGAAGAGTGACGTTTGACCCCGGCCTCATGCTGCATATGAAGCGGCGCCGGAAGCAACGTGAAGTGGCAGGGCAGAGCAGGGCAGGGCAGGGCAGGGCAGGGTATTTATTTGCGGATCTCACCGAACTGTGGCATTGAAGCAAAAGTCATATCGCTGTCACTCCCGCAAACGTCTGCGACCACACTTACATATTCTTGCAAGTCTGCAATTCTAATTTTAATCTTGGTAACAAATGCTATAAAACGTTGATATTGACGTTTTAATTTTAAAATTAGAATTGTGAACATGCACAAATATGTGGGTGTGGTTATAGAGTGGGAGTGACAACGATGTGAATTTTTGATTCAATGCCACAGTTTGGTTAGATGCGTAATACTTCTGAGCCTTTTCTGGGTACGAGGTTGTGCTTGTCACAAACTTGGTCAGGCATATTTTTCGAATTCGGCAATGCTTGGTACATTGATTATTCAATCATTGCATGACACTAAAGAGTCCATGCATGGCGTACTGGACAGGGGGGGAGGCGGGGAGAAGCAGTTCCCAAAATTTCGACAGAAATTTTAAGTCGGGCAAATTCTACTCGAGAGTTGGGCATCTTTGCATCTTCGTGGAAGAAAGGTCAACCAAAACTGTACCAAATTAAATTTATTCATAACGAATTAAGTTTGTGATCTGAGGCACTTCTAAATTTCAACAAAATTTGGTCGACAGGGGGAGGTCACATTTAATGTCGGGCAATTCCATTAAAATTGGGCGTTTTACTGCATGGTACCCTTTATCTCTATATTTTTGGCGCCGGTACGCCCATGCTGAAGACTAAAATGATTCTCAGCGGTGAGTGCGTGCATTGAGTAATAACATGACAACTAATCAGTTTCAAGACTAAAAAGGCTTTCTTTTTTATTTGGTTTCTTGACACCAGAAAGCTGAAAACCTTGATAGTCCTCAATTTCAATTCATGCGAATAACGCACGTGCATGTCGTAGTGTAGTTCTTGACGAAAAGGGCAACCTGTCGCGTGCTGCCCCCGCACAGTGACAGCTGTCATCAGCTGCTCCGGCGCCCATGTGAATATGATTATAACAATTTAGAGTCTGATTGTCAAAATGCACAGACACTTTCTCAATTCACCCGTAAAGTACGTCACCGGCATAATACCCCAGAATCACCCTCTTAAATACTCTACTGTTCCCCTTTGGGATTAAGAAACATGTAGATTCTGTAAGCTAGAAAATTAATTTCGATTTATATCATAGCTATAGCCATGTATTCATGGATAAACTGCAAGAATATCACTTATATATATCACTTATTTGCGGCCCCTCGACCGGTCAAAATTTTTCAATTTTTCAAAAGTTCAATTTTTCTGTTTGCCGATTGGTCAAAACTGTATCACGTGCCGGTTCACAAAACTACATGTTCACTGCATGCTTTGGCAAGGGGGCACCGGTCCACAATGAAACAATTATTGACCGGTCAATAATAGAATGGGTACAGTGCACATGCGCGTCAACCGTGAAGTTCCTAAGTTCATTTTATTAAACGTTTTTAGTAAACATTTATGGCGTTCCATTTTTCTAGTTTTGGTTTCAAAGTTCACTCCAATACCCGGTGAATCGTTCATACTTTATATACTATGTAACAAAGCACTTATTCGCTGAGACCAAGGGAGACAGTGTGAATGTTTTGTGGCCACTCGACCGCCGTATCAAGTCCACCAAACACACTGTTTCCCTCGGTCTCAGTAAATAAGTGATATATACTAACTACATTTTATTTGAGACTAACATATAATGCCTCTTACGATCCTATACGAATTAGAATGCGTTTCCAAGTTTCCTGCGGAAACTTTCCTGTTCCTATAGGATCCTCTAGGAGTTCCTATTGGCATTTAGGCCAACATGCATCTGCTAGGAATTCTTATAGGAATTCCTATTAGAATGAGTTTAATGTGAAGTCAAAATAATCAGGGAATATAGCCCATTGGTGTCCAAATCACAACTAACATACCCCATCACCCATAGTCCTGTGGACAAAGATGCCATCACTTACGAGGGCAGGAACAGTAACGAGAACACCAATTTTGTCGCGGAATGCCTGCTTTTTGGGTCAATGTGTTCGAGTCGCTTTTCATAAGAACGAATTTCGGCAAAAATATTGTAATATTCGTCGATAAGTTATGTTTGATCGAGTTTCCACATGCAGAAGAATGCTAAGGATGGAAATATCGACAAAGCGCCGGTCCAAAGGAATTTGAAGGAGAAATTTACGTTCAGTTCAAGGACATGGATCGAATACGGCAAAATTCAGGTGTTTTGTAGGCAAAGAGTATAATGTGACATTAGAGAACAAATTAACAATGTCAATCAAAGACAAAGTTACGAAGTAAGTTCATTGTATTAAGTCTTTATTGTTGTGACGTATTTTTGTATTTAATTAAGCTAAGTGTAGTACGCGCGAGAGTCACGCGAGAAGACACGCGACGTGAGAAACACGTTATTGATTGAACAACCGCCAAAATGACTGTTTTATTAATTTCGTGACTTGTTTGTATACATTTTTGTATAAATATATGTTATAAAATTGATTAGGAACCTTTAAAATCTAAAATTTCTTGCAACTGTTATTCAAACTGCGTGAATTTAATTTGGTCGCAGTAGCTATTTCAATTTTTAAATTTATTATACGGCACTCGTGACAAGCAGGGGCCGGTTGTATAAAAAAGTGATTAAAGTTAACTATAGTTAGTGGAAACGTCATCCAATAAGAAGCGCCTATTTGAGAGTTAATCACTATTTAACTACAAAATAGTGATTAAAAAAGTGATTAAGAGTTTTATACAACCGGCCCCAGGTGTGTTTTGATTGGTTGCAGAGGAGTGAGGACTATACCGGCATGCAACGCGGTCAGGCGCGGTTTTTTACATATTATCGATTTCTCGCTCTGCGCCGTCATTGTTCGGTCGGCTTTCGCTGTGTTTACACCTCGAGGTTTCAAAAGATTTGGAAAAGATTTATCGAAAAAAAATTGTAAAATGGTGGATTTTTGCACTATGCATGGAAAGAAAGCTTCGTTTTTGGGTGGACACGAGCTTCTGTGTGTTCACTGTGGCCATGGTCAAAACAGCCTTTAATCTTGATTCCGGAAGAATTACCGTGTGATGAACTTGAATGTCGTGAGGACGTGAGGTTCATGTTTATAGTTTTTAATACGGATAGTTCGAAGAATAGTCCTTTGTCCAGCTGTGGTTAACGAGATAAAAATTGATGAGATGTTCGCTGATTGCGGTAGTCCTCCACTGGTACAAATTCAC